GCGGCTTCACTTAGGCTGGGCTCATTCTTCTAATGCTTGGGAACGTTTTTGCTTCGTCAGGGAGGCAAAGACCCCTGTTGCCTAGTGAACCAGGGAGTTGCTTTTAGATCAGCAGCCAACTGTTGGGGTGGGGGGGCACCCTGTTCACGTGACTGTGTCATCAGGGGGATTAGGAAGCGATGGCATGCTGTGTGTGCAGGCAGGCATGCCGAGAGAGCAGTGGCTGAAGGTGGCCAGGATTCCTTGGGTATTTTAGGAATTGAAAAGCCAACTGAAAATTGTTGGGAAGGAAATTAATGTGCCCTTTTCTCCCTCCCTAGTGGGAACTAGTCTGTGCCATTGCAGATACAGTGCAAGAATTAGGCTTTGCAAGCACATTGCACCATATAGACGGATTCCACCCTCTCTCTGGCCAAGGGGCCTATGAGCAAAACAGAGTATAAATCCCAGTTATATCACTTGTGTTCATGTCGTGCGTGTATGGCCCTAAAAATGACGAGTCTTTTTTAAGACTCGTCAGAACTGGGTAATACTGCTGTGCTCCTGAATCGTCGAGCCCATTGAAAATCTTGAATGGCTTGCCAAGTGACAGAAGTGGAACTACGTAATCTTTCTGAAAAGACAGCTGTGGGTCTGCACTGCAGCTCTGGGCAGATAGTTAACTCTTACGTTGCTCCAGAGTCCCCTACGCATCCTAGTTGCGCCAGAGTTTAAATAGAATAGACTTTCTCTCTGCTTGTTGAAGTAAACTATGGGCTTTCGAGTGATGGGGAGAAGAAAACCTATTTTCTGATGGAAGATCTGGATCCCAGCTGCTAACACAGATATAGTCAGTGGTTATGGACAGCCATGTTTCTCGATGCCCCAGGCGTGCCTAAGACCATTCCATAAGCCCAGGCATGCCAAGCAGTGCAGGGCTGGGCTGCTGGTAGCCTTCCCTGCAGCACCACTGGCGGTCAAGGTCACTGCTGCTGCAGCAGCCAGGGTGTGATGGTTGTAAAGGCTCACAGGCTCTGAGTACGTGCCGAGACTGGCCTGGGCTGTGGTGTCGGCTTAATGCTCCCTTGGGCGGGTTTGGCGCCAGGCTGTGGCCGCTGAGCGTCACTGCAGCAAACGGGATGCCTGCGATAGGATGGAGCTGTACCCTTGTCTGTGCTAGGCTGGTGCTTCCGACCTGATCTGTAACATGCATGCAAGGTCAGAACGGTGATAAAGCAGCAGACGAAACAACACGTTGCATCAGGCTGGGACTCCTCTTTGTCTTGTCCATCTCCAGGGGCTGCTTTATTCTATCCTATTTTGGAATTTAACTTTTTGTGAGCTGCTGAGAGAGTTTTGGCTACGGGGCAGTATATGTCTTGTAGCAGTGCTGTGAAATACAAACCATTGCTACTGCTGAGGAAGAAATGTATGCTGTTTTCATTTTGAAAAGTGTACAAATTATTCTATCTATCCTGAGAAATAAAAAAAATCCCTTTTTGACCATACTGTGTTGTGCAAAGGTGTTAATATATAATATATTATATAATTCATATATATTATACACTGCCAGACTACGTAGATCTTATACACAACTAAAACATTGTTTTAGTATTAGAGTAATTTAAAATGTTTCTGCGGAAGTGTGGAAACGAGCTGGCTGTGTTAAAATAAAATGGCTTCTGCTTCCTTCCAGTAGTGGCTGCCTAGTTATTATATGGCATGCCATGTTATAAGAAAAAAAAGTGAAAATGCTGCAAATTTAATGAAGTTCTTGACTGAATCCAGGAAATCTGTTTCTTTCCCAAAGACAGGTTAATTGGCTTGAGACAATTTTTATCTCCTCATTTGGGGCAACACTGGAATTGACCTTGCTGGCTGGCAAGTGGCCACCACATTCATTGTACAGTTTGGTAGAATTGCTTCTTGCAGAGTTACGTGTGTGTGTGTGTGTGTGTGTGTGTATCTGCCAATCTGAGGATAACAGTTCTTGTATCTGATGAAGTGGACAATGTCCATGACTGTTTTTTTCCCCAAAGTAAATTAGTTACAGTTTAAGGAACAACAAGATTCATTGTTATTTTCTCTCCCAGAAGGAATTGTTACCACTTGATGTACACAATAGGTGCAACGTATTTTTCGTTGCGACACAAAAGTAAACAAAAACAAACTGGCACTTGTTGGTTGCATAAGTATCTACCCCTTTTGCTGCAACATGTCTAAATATGCTCTGGTGGAATGTGCTGCTTCCAGAAGTCACACATTGTAAGCATGAGTTGAATGGAGTCCACCCATGTGCAGCGCCAGTGCCGCATGTTCTCAGATCAAACATACCCCGGAGACTACAGAGTTTGTCGGGGAGCGTATCTAAATAAACGGCATCAAGAAGATGAAGGAACTGTCAAAACAATTCCAGGCAGAAATTGTTCAGAACCAGAACCCCCAAACAACGTTAGGCTATTAGAAAAGACCCCAAACAATCAGCATTCTTTGGAGCACAGTTAAACCCACCATTGGAAAACTTAAAGAATATGGCTCAACAGTGATTCTGCCTAGAGAAGACCACCCACCAAAACGTAGGGACTAGATAAGAAGGACATTTGCCAGAGAAGCAGAGCAAGAGGCCAGTGGTACCTCTGAAGGTGCTGAGATGCAAGAAAATGCCCATGAGGCACCTATGACTGGGAGGACCCACAGAGCTAGACTCGGCGGAAGAATGATGAAAGGAAAGCCATTGCTGAATTTGCAAAAGGGCGTGTGGGAGACACAGCAAACATGGGGGGAAATCCTCTCTGGTCTGTCGAGAGCAAAATTGAACTTCCGGGCCTTGCTGCAAAATGTGGTGTGCGGCACAAAGCTAGGAGTGCTCGTCGCCCTGAGAACACCATCCTCACGTTAAAGTATGGGGGCGGGAACATCAGGTTGTGGGGATGAGTTTCGTTGACAGGGAAATCAGCCAGGACTGCGGGCAAGAAGTATGAATCCAAATATATTGCAATTCTGGGGGCGGGGGGGAACTTGTTTGATTCTGTGGGGGACCTGGGATGGGGAGGAGGTTCCCCTTCAGGCAGCACAATGACCCTAAACAGCCAGAAGAACTGGAGTGGTTTAGAAACAAGCTGAGTGTCTTAGATGAGTTGAGAAGCTGTGGCAAGGAGTGAAAGTTTCCAGCTGAGAATCCGTGGCAAGAAGGGAAGGCTGCTGTTGACCAGTGGTTGCTAGTCAGAATGGGCAAACATTGCAGGATCCAGATGTGCACAGCTGAGAGAAACTTGCCCAAAGAGACTCACAATGGTAATTTTCACCAAAGATCTTCCATGAACCATTGGTGTGGGGTTGAATAGGTCTGCAACAAACCAGTGCCGGTCTGTTTCTGTTTACTTGACCTCTGTTTCACAATAAACGTATTTTGCACCATCACAGTGTTGAGTATCTTGTGTACATCAAGTGGTAACCATGCCAATGAAACCCATTTCTATTCCAGGGTGCAACACAAAAAAGGTAGAAAAATCAAGTGGCAGGGAGGGTGCGTACTTCCGTAAGGTGCTCTATGGCTATTTGGAAAGTTACCCAGAAGCCATCTTTTTACAGGTGGAAGTTAATGCATGAGAGCAATGGCTGCTCAGGATCAAGGTACTGAGATAGGATTATGACTGAGACTAGGAATTTGATTCCAGTTTCGTATTGTCGGACCACTTATCTCAGAAGTAGGGAGAAAGGAAACCAGGGGTTCAAGCTATCAAGAAAACAGCTCTCCTCAGCTCCTTTGTATTTTAGGAGATTTTTTTTCAGCTGCCAATGGCTAGACTAAGGAGCAGAACTCATGAAGTGAATGGGACAAAACCTGGGGAAAAACCTGCACCACCATGAGAAAATGGCAAGAGTTCCTCTTGTGCAAACCAAGTTCAGCTATGTTTGGAGACATTTCGGTTATGTTTGGAGCAGTTGATGTTTGAGAAGGTAGTTTGTGGCAAGCTAGAATTCTGAAGGCCAAACCTGGAAGTTCAGAGCAGACCTGTTAAAAACATTGGTTCTGCACTAAAAAGTGTAGCCAAAACTTTTACAATATCTGGAAATCCATATACTTTTCTCATGGTTGTTTAAGCATCTAGCTTAAGCTCAGTACAGATGATATAAACCGCACCCTGTATAAACCGCACTCACAGAGTCGTCCTGTTAAATGCAGACAGGAGACTCAGGGACACAAATGGAAAGGGTAAGATTATATAACTGTCCTAAAATGTGATGCTTCATGACTTCATTGAACATGTACTTCTGGGTCTAGGCAAAAGCCGTATTGGTTTTTCTGGTATTCTACCATGCCTGTCAGAGCCTCCCTCCATGAAAAAAAAAAAAAAAAGGTACCATCGCTTTTCAAGACTAATGGGTTATGCATAGGCCACTGAAGTACAAAACGGACTGAGAGCTGATACATTAACCTCCATGGCAGGGATCAGCTGTGCAGCGGTATTGGTATCATCACAGCCATTTCAAAAACTTCAAAATTGTGAGTTCCCATAAAGCATTACATTTGTGGTTATTTTCATCTCTGCAGAGATGGGTTGATAAAAGTTTATCGAAATCAGATCATTAGAGTAGAATTGGAACGCAGTCTAACTGAAGGTTCTAAACACCTGTAATTTTATTCTGAATTCTAGTCCTGTTCAAAGATGTGTCAACTTTTGCACACACATCACTGGAAGCTAGTTTTTATTTTTACACTGATGAGATTACTTTTACAGTAGTATTTCCAACACAGCAAGACACACAGACAATGTTTGAAGGTGTGTATCTAAGAAGCACTTCTCTGCCCCAGCCTTTACTCTTATTTTAGCCAACTTGTGATGCATATTAAGAATACATCAGGAAAATGCAAGTGCTGCTTTGAAAGGGTAGAAAAGATCCTCAGAATGATGGGTGCTAAAGGATCTCTGGAGTGGTTACAACAAGCTTAGCTGAGTAAAAGTTAACAAGTCTCTTGAAATCCTGTTTCAGTATTTCTAGGTAGAGAAACGGTAGATAGGTCAGCCAGCAAAATGAATCACCGCAGTAGCTCCCCAATAACGGAACAGGGCAGCACATCCGTTAGTGTCAAAGTTTTCAGGTAAGCAAATTTCTCATAGGGCTTCAGTTGGAATTCAAGTATAGCTTCCTTCTCCACGTGTTTATAGAGTCACCAACTGGTGGTAAGGTCTTTTGACTTACACACTTTAACAATACTAATGATAGGTCTGCAGATGCACAATAGTGCTTTCATAAAGGCTCCTATTCCATGTATATCTACAAACTAAGATCTCCGCAATGAACAAAGGCTATGGCTTGGAGCAGAAAATGTAACTGTTTGAGGTCTTCTGAATATTCCTTTGAAAGAATTATTTTTCCCCAAGGGAGCAACTCTCGACCAGATCCAAGATATTCAGGGGCTTCTTCTTGCATACAGTGAACTCATACTGAAATTACACTATAGTTGTGTGATCTATGGAAAAACATATTCTGGATATTAAGACAGCTTGAATATAAAGCCCATGTTAACATAGACAGGAACACTGGAATGTATTGTCCATGTCTCCTTGCTTGCCTGTCTTGGTGTATTCTGTGCTGAAACATCACAATTGTGATTCATGAGAGAACATACAGAAAATAACTAACGGACTTGTGCCATTTACATGCTCAAGGGCATATTTACTGTACATGATAGACCCATTCCTTCTGTCCTGGGGATTATAGTTCTATTGGAACTGCAATGTCCCACTCACAGAACTTTCAACAACCTCATGTGTCTGCAGTTCCCAGGAAAGGGGAACCCATGCTAGACCCTCTGAATCTCACCCTCTGAAATGGCTAACTAACAGTGATACGTGAGCAATTTCCATGTTGAATGGTTCAACAATTGTAGCCTGTAGAAAGCATACCTGGAAGTGACCAAACCTTTGAGCCAGCGTACACTTATTTTGTAGTATACTGTATCATCAAAGTGTGTCAAAAGTAAGAGTGGAGATCCTTTTAAACTCAGAGTGCTTAGGAAGAAGGATAAGGAGCTCTGGATAACAAAATGGCAGCCCAGTCATCTTTGCTAAGAAAACTGTTTTTGGAAATCTTGGATGTTAATGACAGAGTTTTTGGAGAAATAATTGGGAGTATCTGGAAAACAAGAGAAGATAATACAAAGATTATATCAACTTGTATAATATCTATACTAATCTAATGATCTCCATCTCCTTTTTGAAAAATCTTGGGAATGGTAATTAAAAGAAGTTGCTGACAATAATTTGAAATCTCAGATTTGCTCCTATCTTATCTATTCATTAAATACCCTGGGAGAAAGGGTATTTAAACCAATTAAAACCCAATGCAGATCTGTGATTTAGCTGCTTCTGTCCAAGCCACTATGCTTACCCCTTCTTGATTCTTCCAGACTTGAGATCAGTGAAGGGTCTCCTCCAAAGATCTCTCCTGAGCCAGTGCCACCCACCCCTGTACCAGAGCCGGAAACAGCACCACCAACCCCAGAGCCAGAGCCAGAAGCTCCTCCTCCACCACCTCCTCCACCTCCACCACCACCTCCAAAACGTATGGCTGAACTAGCTGTTGGGATCAATGGGTAAGCATTTTCCCCCTCTACGTGGGTAAGGATTTATATATTCATGATATTATAGCTGATTATCAAATAGGCACTTGCAAAGAGGCTTTCTAGATTTTTAGTGAACATGTATTTACACTGATGACAATAAAATAAGTAGCTTTCTTACTGGTTTCTTGCAACATTTTTTAAACTAGGATGGCAACACCCACCAACTGAAGCCAAGTACAGAATGGTAGCTTAGATGCAAAGCTAATTGCTTACTGTACCCCTTGAGCCATACTTTAGAAATACTAATCTCAATCTGCATATAAAAATACCAGCCTCGATCTGAGTTGCTAAAGATCATGGATTCTAATTTATATTCAGGACGGGGAAGGTGTTGCTGCTCTTCAACAAATCAATAATCGTAACCCCTTTTGGATCTACGGCAAATCACCCAGTGATCAACCTGTAGACCCAAATCTGTTTTTCTCCACCCTTGCTCTCAGGGCCCAGGTCTTCTGGTCCTCAGTCAATCTTAAGAAACCGAGCACAATGCTCTGCTATTGAAAGAGGGGAGCAAAATATTTGAAGAACTTCCTGATTCTCACCATGACTGAACTTCTGACTTAAGAAGCTTCTGGATAAAGTTCTAAGGAATCCCAATACTCCCAAGAAAACAGCTTGGTTTGAATATACCCTGTAATGAGCAACAGAGTTGAGTACTATTGGCAAGTTGAACTTCGACACGTAACTTTTGCAATCATTCTTTAATTACTTGAGATGGAGTCTTGTTATTTTCTGGAGTTAACTAAAAGGAAGCTCCAAGTATCCAAACAGAAGCAAAGAGCTTGGAATATCTTTCCTCTGCATAACTGTGCATTCTAAATTTCAAGGCAGGCATGTGCCCATGGGCTCTGAGCAAAATTTTGAGCTTATTTGTGCACACTGCATACCTTCATGACAACTGTGGGTCTCAGTAGAAAGGGGCCTTTTAATGCTGAAGAAACCTTCATAGCAGCTGAGAGAAGGACTGTTCCAGTTATATCTTCCCCTTGTCTAAATCGTGTAGCAGGATGGAGGGAAGTTTGCCACTCTAATGGGTTGGCTTCTCTGTTTTTGCAGATTTGGACGTATTGGGCGCTTGGTTCTCCGAGCCTGCGTTGAGAAAGGGATCAAAGTTGTGGCAGTCAATGATCCTTTCATTGACCTGAAATACATGGTATGTGGCCATCGAACGCCAAACTTAAGTCTGTTTCCCTGATAGACTCAAAAGGAGGAAGTTATGTAGAAAGCTGAACTAAATTAAGCATTCTTGATCTTGTTGGTTCAGCGGATGTCATCCCAAAGCTTGAGCTGAGCTGCAGTACACCGACAAGTAAGGTACTTCCTCCTCCTCCTATGTTCTTGGAGTACCGTATGCAGCCCATCTGCTTGACTTCTGCCACTGTGCTCTTGTACTGCACTACAAGGCAGAGATCTGTGGCCTTGTGACAACTGGAACATGAGCAAAGGGTACACCCTTTATACCAGGGGTGAGGAACCTCCAGACTTCAGGGGACCCTTGCCAGGTCCAAGGCAGCCTTTCTCTAGCATTAAGTGGAGACTTGTGCTTATGCATGATCACTGATGGGAAATATGAGTGCGGACCCCTGATCAGTGTGAGAGGGAGGCTGTCTTACCCTAACCAAAACACTGACCAACCGTTTTCTCCACCCATGCAGAGGCACTGAATGAGTGCTTCATTCCTCTCTGCGCATGGAGAAAGGGAGTCCTGTGACGTCAGAGGTGGGGTTGCAGGGGAAGGGACGACTCCCAGGCAGTGAGGGGGAGGGCAGTCTGGTCCCCGGGGCACAAACTGAGCACTGATTGGGCCTATAGTAAATAGTTCTTGCTTCAGAGGCAAACTCAGAACAGAGGGGTAGCTGGAGCAGTAGGCCTGGAAGTAAACACTCTTGCAGTGGGATGTTATGGCTCATGTGGATTTATGTCAGAGGAATCCCATCTTAGGACAACCTGGGTGTTATATCCTTTTAGCTATTTTATATTCCATAAACTGGGACAGCTAACTCACTCCTCCGTACCCACCATTTTACAACTGCTCCTAGCAAATGACCCCTGATCCTTACAGTCCTGGCTATGTGGTGAAGGATCATTGCAGCTGCCCCTGACCAGGCCCACCGTGGGATGCAACTTGCAGCCACGTCCTTACCTTGTTTGGACATAGCAGTGCTGTCCGGTGGCAAATCCTGGACTGTGTAACCCACAAACGGGAGAGTCACACGCTGTACCCAAGCTGCATGTGAGTCACTTCTTATGCCCGTTAATTTCAAGTACAGCATTGGAGGCTCATTTCTGTCATGTCCAAACAGGGACGCTGAAGATTGTTTACAGGTTACACAGCCCCAAGGTCAGCCAGGAACCAGCCGCAGGAGAACTTCCAGTTGTTTAACTAATGAGCCCCCCAAATGCCCCCATGTGGATGTTGCAGAAGCAACCCTTGAATTTGGCAACTGAAGGTGGTTAATGGGAACATGAAGCGACTCAGGAATCGCAAATGTCCCCGCGACTCCTGTTTTGTTTGACCCACACTTTAGGGCAAGATATTGTATAAGATGCCATTATACAGAGACACTGGCATCATGCTTGCAGAGGAGCTGACATGAGTGAAGTCCAGGCGCAAAGCACATGGAATTAGAATCAGGAAACTGGAGAATATGAGTGGCATAGCTTCTGCCTACACAAACTGGCTTCTGCAGAAGCAACCATAATGATATCAGATGGTACACTCCTCATGCTGGCTGCACAGGCCTCCTTTCCTAGTCAAGAAAGAAGAGACTGTACCATCTGTCTTGCAGAATCTGGTTTGGCTGACTCCTACCTTCTCCCCTAGGTCTACATGTTCAAGTTTGACTCTACCCATGGACGCTTCAAGGGAGAAGTGAAGGCTGAGGATGGCAAGCTAGTAGTGAACGGTTCAAAAATCTCTGTATTCCAGTGGTAAGTTGGAATAAATCTGCGTGCTTTTGTTCTATAGCTGTGTGGCATCTTAGCCGTGGTGCTCGACTGATGGCTTCTGAGGCTTACTGCTCTTAAACTGGCCAGAAGGCTGTCCTAAACTTTGCATCCTCATCTGCATGCCTTCACAATCTGGTTTGCATGCATGTTGATAAAATGCATGCCATCTTTCCGCAGGTGGTGACAGACTCAAAGAGCAGAGTCATTGTACTGCTTAGCCCTTGGTCAGTAGTTTTAAAACACCGATCATCTGTAGGCCCTGCAGTTCATCCGGGTCATGACTTTAAGGCTGCATGTGTTCTTTAGCTGCTAAGAATTTGAGGAGGGCAGTGGTTCTTTGTACAACCAGCTACTTAACCTGCTTGAGCAGAAGCTGGTTAGGCAGCTACTGATAAAAAGGACTACGCTCTTTTGTTTCACAGCATGAAACCCACCGAGATCCCCTGGGGAGAGGCAGGAGCTCTGTATGTAGTAGAATCCACTGGAGTCTTCCTCTCTGTTGATAAAGCTTCAGTAAGTATCTGGAGGCGTCAACCTTCCAGCTCCCTCTGAAAAGGGAGGCCAGGCTTGGGCCCTCTCATGATGTTATCCTGGGCTTCTCTCTATGCTGGGCTTCTGAGTGTCTCAGCACTGCTCCCTGGCGTTTTGGAGCATCTTTTGATGGACTGGTGTCTCTTCTGTCTGAGACTGACGTAAAGCCTTCCTTCGACAGGCTCATCTCCACGGGGGAGCCAAGCGCGTGGTGGTGAGCGCACCATCCCCTGATGCGCCTATGTTTGTTATGGGAGTGAACCATGAGAAATATGATCCATCTAGCATGAATATTGTGAGGTAAGATGAAACCTCTGGAACAGGTGAAAAGCTGGAATAAGAACTGCCCGAGTGTGATAAGATGTCAAGGTGAAGCTTCTGCGTTTGTCGTTAAGTGAAAATAACATGCGTGCAGAACGTTTCCGCTGGTGGGGATCACGGTTGATAGCTAGTAGGGAGATGATGCAGCAAAGAATAATGAAATCTTTCTTTGTGTCTCCACAACCTGAGTTGGCATTATAAAATAAAGTGCAGAGAAGTATATAGACAATAGAAAGTGTTCTCAGATGGTTTGGGAACACTTGCCCAGCTGAAATTTGGCACCTGGGAGTAGCCTGTTCTGCACATACGGATTACCAGGTAAGTATGAAAATGGGGCACTTCCCCTAACCACTGAAAACAGAAACAGAGAATTTTACCTCGCAACAGGAAAAAAAACTAAAAACAGGCCAAGCTGTTCATAAAATGGAATACCAGGAGTACTTACTTGAGCAGTAGAAGCTGTAGACATACATCTTGCCAGGTTCACTTGCGCGTGCACGTGTGTGCAACATTGTCACTGCCGATAGTAGTAATGCGGAGCCTTCAGCAGCGTGCAGGCTGGTGGGCTGATGGGTCTGCTGAGAATGTCCCCTTGCCTTTCAGCAATGCTTCCTGCACTACCAACTGCCTGGCGCCCTTGGCCAAGGTCATTCACGACAACTTTGGAATTGTGGAGGGCCTCATGGTAAGATTCCCTGTGGGAACAGAGCTTGCCCCCAAGAACAGGGCTGCTTCCTTGGCCAAAGCCTTGGGTATTCTCGCGTCTGTGCTCCCCTGCACATTGCACGCTTCTCAGAGGATTTGTGAATGTTTCCCACTTTGAGTAACTCAGTGTAGGAACACTGGACATATCCAAAACAAGAATGTTCCAGCTCCAGTCCTTATATACTAAGTCTTCTAATTACAGATGCCAGGGCAGTAATCCTGCCTGCAAGTGTCTATGACCATGAATTTACTCTTGCTCAGAGAGGCAAAATATACCAGAGGTGGTTTTAGGATGCAGCTCAGTCTTCATGTTCCAGCTTGCTTCTCCTCTGAAATACCTGGCAATTCTACGCTAACCGGCTTCTCCTGTTTCCAGACCACTGTCCATGCTTACACTGCCACTCAGAAGACTGTCGATGGCCCCTCTGCCAAGGCTTGGCGTGACGGGAGGGGGGCCCACCAGAACATCATTCCAGCTTCCACTGGTGCTGCGAAAGCTGTGGGCAAGGTCATCCCTGAGCTCAATGGGTATGGAATGCATCTCATTCTTGGAGGCCGCTGGGGAGGCTTTTTGTCCATGTCTTCCGAGCTGGCCTGGCTGTCTGGCTCTAGGGAACGCAGCTTCCACATTGCCGAGTATGACGAATGCTGCTTCAGTGTAGCCCTGCGGTGTGCGTGAGGACTGTATCACTGCCCCACTCTTAGGACAGCAGCTTCAGGTCTCTGCATCAGGCCCCTCGAGCATTTCCACCTGATTTCTTCTCTGTGGATTTTCTGGAAGAAGCTCAATATTAGTGGTAAAACCATGCGAGCGCCTTGGCTTGTTTGGCACAAAAACGCAGTCCTAGTCCTTAGCAGGACCATGATGGCACTTACTGCACGCCGTCCAGGTTTCCCCAAGAAACGCATTGTGCAGAGTTTTGGTCAGCCTTCCTCAGCCTGCTGGCCTTCAGAGGCATTTGGACCACAGGTCCCAGCATTCCCATCCAGCAGGTCATGGCCATTGACTGGGGACTGGGGGTGTTGCAGCCCAGATGTGATGGGAAGGCACACGGCTGGGGAAGCGTGGCTCTAAGGGATGAATGCCGTGTCCCAGGCCCACTAGTCGAACATGTATGTACTTCGGCTTGTATTAATAGTGTTCTTGGCGATCATGTTTCCCTCTTGATAACTAAACGTCCTTTTAACAGGAGGCTCACTGGCATGGCATTCCGTGTGCCCGTCTGTGATGTCTCAGTTGTCGACCTGACTTGCCGCCTCTCGAGGCCAGCCACCTACGCCCAGATAAAAGAAGCGGTCAAGAAGGCATCTAAAGGGTCAATGGCAGGGATCCTGGGATACACAGAAGATGAGGTGAGGATGGATAGTATTATCAGTTGGCCAAGGTGAGGAGAACTAGCTGTAGGCACTGAATCCGTCTGCCTCATGAATAGAAGAGAGGCGGCCTTGGGTTCTACTGGAGCCCAAGAGCCTTCCTGCACAAGGCAGTTATTGCGCACCCACGGGTCTCACACGTGGCCGTTTCTTCTGCATGAAGTCTTCATCCTCCAGGGCCTCTGCCATGCTTCCGAATGGAGTCAACCCATCTCCTACTTGTGGCTGAGTAATAGAACATACAGAAAGGCAGAGAAAGAAAACTGATGGAAGCAGGACGCCTAAAGGAACCTACCTTCACCCCATGAAGAATCTGGAAGCAGAAGCCTCATCAAAATGGAAAAATCCTAAACTTAAGAGTGTGCTCTTGGTCAGCAGCTGCTCTGTTCTACTCTCAATATCTAGAGAGTGTTCAAAAGAGCGTATTCCTTAGTGATGCTACCTCGGGTAACACGGACAAGCCTTGTGCACTGTTGACCTTGGGGTGCTGTTTTGTCACCTGCCTTTGCATCCCATTGATTTGTTAAGAATATTTTTTACCCTGCTCTTCATTCAAAAAGGCTTCCACAGCAGCTTACAAAAATCAATTACGTCCTGCCCTCAGACATAAAATCTAAAAGTCACTCCACAGAAAAGGATTAGGAGGGAGAAAGACAAAAGCGTGGTGGGTTGAGTCAGCTTCCCAAGGGAATGGCAGTGCACCTAATCTGGACGAGATTGCACTCTGATTTGCACTGCACCTGCTCCTTGGGGTTTGTCTGTTCTTGGATGACCTATTCCTGTCTGTTTCCTGCTCTTTTCTTTCTCCCTTTGCTTCTGAGCATAACATGCTGCCTCAGGCTCACCTTCGGGCAACCTGCTTTTCTTCTGGCGGCAGTTGGGTGGGTAGGGACAACCAGGCATAGCTGGATGGCATCTCAGGAATGAACAGTGACCTCCCCACCCTTCCTTCTAGGTTGTTTCTACTGATTTTATTGGTGACCATCGTTCCTCTATCTTTGATGCTGGAGCAGGGATCGCCCTCAACGATAACTTTGTGAAGCTCATCTCCTGGTAAGAAGCAGCAGAGGACTCTGCTATATCTCCTGGCTGGGCCTTCTTTGCCCAGTTATTCCCCGCTGGGACAGTCGGCCCATTACCTGGTAACCCCTTCCTGTGAGAATTGGCTGCAAGGAGAGCTGCTTTGCTTGAACAGCAATTCGACTTCCGTTGAAAGCTGAGCCCACCTAGTATGGGGCATTCCTTTCTGACTAAATGGGGTGCAAGTCAGAGCTTGCAGGTAAAGGTGAGATCTGGTTTGTCACTGAGTAACCTTACTGTTGAACACCAGCACGCAGATGAGCAGGCACACACAGACTGGGGCCAAAGGTGTGGGGAGCGCCGCGGGTCAGAGGCTGCGTGAAACGGGTACAGGGGCTGCTCATGAGGGTGTTTCTGTTCTGCAGGTATGATAACGAGTATGGCTACAGCTGCCGTGTCGCAGATCTCCTGAAGCACATGTTCAGCAAGGAGGAGCACTGAGCACGGCCCACATGCTACGGTCCAGGCGATCCGGCAGAGTGGCCTCACCCCTTTAGTCCGTAGGTTTGATCTCCTGGCCACTTCTTTGCTTCAACCACAGCATCCTGAACACTGCACCTTCTGTGTCCCTGTAAAGTTTTGTGCGTGTCCATGTGAGTGTGAATCCTGCTTTCCACAGCAGCTTGTATGAGCTTCAAAACTGTAGTGAAGAGAAATTGCACCAAATTCCCCCTAGAGAAAGAGAGTCCAGCCTCCAGGGTTGCACATTGGTTTGTGTGGCTGTAGTGTCCTTGAGATCTTGTAAATGTTGAATTAAACCACTGAAGTTATGTGAACCTGGAAGTATTCTCATGATTCTTTTAACTCCCCGGGAGTCCAGATACTCAGATTTTGGCCATATCAGAAATGGTACTGGAAAGGCGACAAATCCATATCAACTAAACATCTGAAGTTTTTAAAATGCCTATCTAGACATCTGAGACCTTTCAAATACCAAACTACATCCTTTGCCATTGAGTTAGAACTCTTTAAAGCAATTTTAAAAAAAAGATAAATTAAAAAAACCCTTAATTTTCATGGCGATAGAGCAGAATACTGCTGCTTCTGCCAAAGATACTGCCATTCAGAGATGGAATGCTGGGATATTCTGTCCTCAGGAAGGCAGCCATACTTCTAATGGTGCGCCCATTGCACAGCCCCTTCTGTGGCCATGGCTGCCAAGCGAGCTTGATGTGCTTAGTCTACTGATGATTTTCTTTGTGACTATGGCTCTTCTGTCGCTATTGAGATCTTGAATTGTTCATACCATGTCATCTTTCTCTTGGTAATCCTTAGAGTCCCATAGCTATTATCACTGATTGCTGGTGGGCAGCTAAAGCTAAAGGGGTGGTGATTTGCTTAAGACAAGCCTAATGAGTTTATGGCTGAGAAGAAGTTCGAACTGCGGGGTTTACTAGCTCACAGCTCAGACTTAGCCCAGCATTGCTGTACCAGGATCCTCTCCTTTGTACTGGAAGACACTGGGGGCCTTATAACCTACAATCCACCCATCAGAGGTCACTAACTGGCTAGGTAAGTGCCTCCCCACTAGTCAGATTCTTCAGATGAAGCTGCCCCTAATCTCCACCTCCCAGCTTTTTGAAAAGAGCTATTCAGTGTCTGCAGAGCGCTTATCTGAAAAGTGCTAAGTCATGTCCATAAGAACGGCTGTCAGTTTTTGGCCTGGCAAAGGCCCTTTTCCTCTTGCAATGCCTCAAGGAGCCCATTGTTGAGCAATTCTATCTCTTCCAGAGTTGGCGGTTTTGGCAAGTCCTTCTTGCCTCCAACACAGAATGGAATGCTTTCTGCTCTTAACTCTCCAGAAACTCTAGCTGTTATTCCACAAGCACTTTGCACAGTCAATGTATGACTGTAACAGCAGGCGCACAGTGCTCAGGATTGCCAAAAGTTAAATTGAACTTGCATATTGACTGCAACGGCTGGGATTGTTTCTAGGCTCTTTCAGGATATTCAAAACTCGTCTTTCTGGGTAAGGTGGGGAATTGATGTCAAGCACTGGCAAGAAGAACCTGCCACAGAAGTGCATGGGCAGGGGAACCAGGACAGAGCTGTCTGCCGTTTTAATGGCATTTTACTGCTTTTACAATACCTGGCCTACTTCTTCCCCCTCTCAGCAGCACCTGTGAGAATCTCCTATGGCTTACAGCAGAGGGGGGCAGAAGGTTGATCACCAGCCATTTAGGACTTCAGCTCCAAGAAGCCCCTGCCACTATGGTCAATGGTCAGGAATGCTGGGAGCTGATATCCGGAGATGTATCTTCTGCTCACCTCTAACTTAGAACTCACTGAGTTCCAGGTTCCAGACTCGATTCCTAGTACGGCCAGGTGAAGGACCCTGGGAAGCCAGGCAAGGAAAGACCCCTTGCAAAGCTGCTGCCAGTCAGGGTCAAGATACTGAGCTCAGTGAGCCATATTCTGACTTGCGCTCAGGCTGCTGATGCGTTGCCGGTTCTCACACTCCCAGATCCTGCAAGTAGTTGCGCACACCCTTGTAGCAAGAACTGCTTCAAATGCTGTGTTGTGGCCACGCACAAACAGCAGCGCAAAGGGGCTTAGAACTGTTGTTTGTTCAGAAGAACTGGGACTGGAAACGCTAGTCGCCTTCCTAGTCTTAATCTGACAGCAAGTGCCCTATGCTCCAACTGGTTATCTCCGTTGCAGATTTCCTGGACTTCAAACTAACTTTAGCGCACTGGAAACTATAACTGTTAGTGAAAGAGAAGGGTGTTGCCATCTCTGATGGAAGTAACAAAGATTTCACAAAAGCCAAGGTGGGTCAGCATAGAAGGCCAAACGCAATTTAGCCACCCAGAATACTTTCTATTTTCTTGATATGGAATAATAGCCTACAGTGTTCTTATCAGCTACAGCATCCGTCACAGCAGTTATTCCCTTAAAATGTTGAGAGAAACAACACAAAGGAGGATGGAATGTAGAAGCAATGTGTCAGGAGCCAAAGTTCCTCCTCTGAGCATTCAAAAGCCATAGGTCATTATCCTGGCAAAACATTCTTTGTTGACCCAAAAGCGCAAATCACCCAGAATGAATTTCTCTCTGAGCATGCGCAGAGCGGTCTGTTGAACCCAATCTAGTATTCACCTCCAGAAACTCTCCTTATGAACACATCCAGGCCCCATCCCTTCTGGAGGGGCCTTCTGAAAGCGAGTGCGCCACCTCTCCTCATTCCTATCCTGTATTTGGGCCTCTGCTGCCACTGCATCATGGGGTCACGAGCCAGGGCTGCCCGGCCTCCTTCAGGAAAAATCCCGTGTTCAGGGTCCCCTCCCACTCGCTGTATATCTTGAACATTCTCATGGGCTGCCTCCGCTTCTTTCATCTCCATGTCTTGGCATGGCCCATCCTCTCCAGCCCCTTCCTGTTCTGTTTCGCATTCCATTTTGGATTCTTCTGAAGTCCAGCCAGCAGTCCGTGCGAAAGAATGCCCACTCCCGACACAAAGGGCTGGGACTCTTTTTTGCTTCTGTTGTTCGAGAAGGGCTCAGCCGGGAGCTTGGTTAAAGCAGGGCAGTAAAAGGAATTAACCAACCAGGTCAGATGAGGGCGGGATTGCCTTGACTCTGCGGTCCAGCTGGAGTGCTTCACTCTAATGCAGCTGTTCTCTGCTCACGTCTGAGCTGTGCATGATAACACACCAAGAATGTTCCCAACTTCTGAAGAAAGTTGGCTTCTTGGCTACAGTGCCTCTGTGCACATACAGAGTACCACCTTAATTTTCCTTTCTCCCCCCCCCCCATCCACCTCACCACAAATGATTAATTTTCAAATAGAGATCCAAGCCCTGCTAAGCATATGCGGACTGAATGTACGCAGAACAGGGGTTTAGAAAAGGGGGCCCACGGAGCTTTACATGGATGTCCTTGCAGTAATGTACAGTTGATAAAGTACAGGAAGGGGCTGCAGTTCAGTACAAGGGCACAAGCTTTGCTTGCAAAGCATCCCAGGTTTAATTCCTAGTTTCTCCAGGGAAAACTCTAGTCTGAAACATTTGAAGTGCTGGTAGTCAGTGGGGAACAGAGGACTGCCTTCCTAACCTAGCCTCTCCCAGATGTGTTGGACTACAACTCCCAAAATGCCCTGGGCAGCTATGCCAACACTGGTTGGGCCACAGGTTGGCAAAGGCTGAGATAGACAATACCATGCCAGAGGCCGCAATGCGCTTGCTCAGCATGTAGCAGGGTCCCCAGCCCGTTTGGGCCCATAAGCACACTTGAGAAATTGCTGTGGACAAATGCCTAATTTGTGGCCCACCAGCATTTGCATCCAGCCACCACAGCTATGGATCTCACTCAACAAATTGTTCGCACTGTGTCTGTCGGACCTTTTACATCCCTTTCAAAATCTATAAACATCTCTTTAATAAGGGATAAATTGATTCAGCTAATTGCAATAAAGCTAATGGTTCTTTTAAACATATATTTTGGCAATGTGAAATAGTTGCTTTCCTGTGGAAGATTATTACAGAGATACATTTTGTACTGGAACAGTATGTAATATTCACCAGTGTATACACTCTTAAATAATTCACCTGCTTCATGAAAATTAACAGATGGACAGGGAGATGGATTCTGTGTGTCCTTTGGCAACAAAAAACTGTTATTACAATCCTGAAAGAATAAACACCACCTACATTGCAATGGTTTAAGCACCTTATAATGCTTTCAAGCTATGAATAGGGGCATATAGACAGTTATTTGGATATTGGGCTTGCTTGTTGAAGTCTAGGTATACGTGCTAGAAAGCTGTATGCATTTAATGCAATTTCATGTACATATATTAAAAAAGGGGGAAATTGTTATTTTTTCAAAAGATATTTGGGACTGGCTGGTTGATCCCATGTGGGGGACCCATGGCATAACAGATAGTTTCCTCCAGTCTACTGTCCCTTGACTACCCACAGGACAGACCATGCTCAGTCCAAGGTAATTGTGCATAGGCTCACAGCATCAGTGTGCCTGTCGCAGGACTGGAGGAACTTGTGTCCACCAGATGCCATAATCCACAACTTGTACAAGCTTCAGTCAGCATGACTACAGGGAGGTACAATGGAACTGTAGTCCAACGACATATGGAAGGGGCCAGGTTGACCATCCCAGCCTTGAGAAAATGTCTTTTTCAGTCTAAGAAATTAAGAGAGCGGACCTCTGGTGGCAAAGCTGGGAAGTTAAAGGGTGTCTTTCAGCTGCAACAACTGAAGTGTAAACAAATAAATAAAGACCGCATTAAAAGGCAGCCATCATTTCACTTGGTGTGATGCTCAAGCAGATGTAGATCTGCCATGGTGAGACATCTGCATGGAAACCAGAAAAGCATTCTAGAGAAAAACTAAAACCTCTGGTTTAAGTGAAGACCAGTTCCCCTCCTGACCTCTAGACTTGCCTAAATCTGAAATGGAGGTCGAGCTGATGCTTTACGGCTGGAAAATACGGGCTTCTCTCAATACAATTTCGCAGATGACCTCTTACGCTTTTCCATCTGGGTCTGCCTACAATCAATGCGTCTGTTCTCCCACAGTGCCGCCTAGAGCTTTCTCTTGCCATTACACAAAAGCAACCCATTTTTCAGCTCCTCAAGGTCACCCCGCCTTTATCATGTGGTTCCGTAGAGGCGCATGATGGTGTATGAACCACTCAGGTGATCACATCAGCAGCGGGAGGGGATCCTTTGACACAGAGAGAAGAGCACTGATCTGAAATGGCTGCTTTGTCAAGCCGGGTATACGCTCTCCATCCTTGCAATTGTGAAGACGATGCAAAATGGTGGATTCACCCCTGGCTGTCTAAACTGTGCCCTGCTTGTTTACAAAGCAGATTAGGGGACTAACTGAATTCCACTTCTTTCTTCTAACCCGTTCATAATCAAGGATCTGTCAAGCCAGAGACTTCATAAGCAGCAATATTGTTAAAGGATGCGTGCTAGTTTTTCACCAGTGAATGCAAAGATATGCTTGCAGTTCAGTGCTGTTGGGAACCCAAGTGCTGCCCAGTTGCCCATGCTTAAGAAACAACTCGACTGCCCTTCAGCTGGCATTTTAACATGGATGTGGAGTGGGGGCAGCAAAATATCATGTAAAGGCCCTGCCTCAGAGTCTTGTCTGGGAGGGCATTAGCAGGGGAGATCCTCAGTAAGAACCAGGGCTGGCGTTGGGTGCCGTACAGAGGGCGGCGGCAGCCTCCAAGCTCCTCTCTCCAGAGCCGTGTGCCTGCATGTTGCCTGGGCCATGGGCTAAAGGTCTGAGTGATCCCAAGGAATTGACATGCTAGGCCCAGCTTTGCCTACAAGGAGGCTTTATGGTTGCAACAAGCAAATTATTAGCTAGCTTTTCAAAGGTTTAGCAGCAAGTCACTTACAATGCTCAGCATGGACTTGCCTGCAAGGCAGACTCTGAACAGCAGGAACAGACATTCAGCAAAACCCCCTTGAGGATGGTGGCTTTATTCTCTACTCTTTCTGGCACCAGGTAAAGACCTTTTTATTTAACCACCATTTAATAATTAATATCAATAATTTTAATAATAATAATTTTACACAGTTGCATTTTCTTTTTTTTTCTTTTCCATCTGTTCTTTGTTCTTTAGTTATGAATTGTTGTTTATGCCATATTATTGAATGTTTAATTGTATTTTATATCATTATTTCTATTCTTTGTAAGTCATCCTGAGGTTTGTTGCAAAGGACGGCATAGAAATGTTTTAATTAAATTTAAAATTAAATGGTGGTAAGCAAACAAGACACAAAGGAAACTGGCTAGCTTATATAGACCATTTGTGGGAAAGGGGCCGGCTGTTATACAGGTACCGTGATTAAGTGGTGCAAAACCTGCTTACTCATTAGCAAGCTGAAATGTATCCCATGGGCAGCTTCCCATCATTAGACTCCATAGCCCTTGATGTTCCCCATCCTTGATAGCATGTCTCAAGACATAACAGTGGAGGTTTCCCATTTTAGCCAGTCAAGATTCTCATACACTTGAGAGTCTTATTCCTGTTTCCTGTGCCAAAATGAAAGGATAGAATAGCATAAGCTAATTAAACTAAGCACACAGCAAAGTATAAGCTCATTAGGTGGTTTGATAAGATGCATTCACTCAAAACAGGTCAGCTGCATGTTCGGACTTTGGCCATTTTTCTCAGGGCCAGCAAACAGTAACTAAAATGAATTAAGCGCAGCAAGATAACTAGAATGCAGCCCTCCACTCATGCTAAGCAAGGCTGATACTTTCAGGGGTTGACCCCCGGCCTGGATTTTTACAGCACAGGCCCATTGCACCCTGCCCTCCGTAAGCCAGCCGGAGGCCTTCAAGAGTTGTGCAGAGGCTGCTCCATTCCCAGTGTGGGCACAAGACAACTTCCAGTCCAGCCCGGTTCTGTAGGTATAACACATCATTTCAGATTACAAACCTATGTGGAACGGCTGCCTTGTTTAACCGATTCTGTGTAAGCCATTCCAGAGCTGTTTTGATTGAGCAGCTGCGTATGAATGAAGAAATAATTTTGGACAGCAAATCCCAACAGCCCCAGCCAGTATGACTGATGGTCAGTAATCCTGAGTGTGTTTACGAGCAGCAGCGGCTTTTGAGCATGGGGTGGGGGGAGCCAGTCAGGAGATGCTCTTCAGCCATCGAATCAACTGAATTGGAGATGGGAGTCAGGCTGGTATCCATTCTCTCCCCCACCCCATGCTCTGCAAACAAAGCTTCCTGCCTGGATGTCAACAGTTTTGTTACAGTGGTGGTTGGCTTCTTTTGAAAGGAAGCTTTTGTCCAAAACAAGCTTCAGTTCCAACTGGTCTCTTGCGGTTGTAGGGGCCGGCTGGGCTGGTGACTAGTAAAAGCAGCAAGGTGGGACGGGTTGGTCCTTGTTCTGATCTGTACCCCACCCCTCTGATCCTTTCACCTAAAATGGGGAAAGATAATCCCCCTTTATGTAATGGGATTAGGCATAAGGAAGAGAGAGAATCCCAAATGAACTGCGGAGGCATCAGCAGAGAACATCTGGCTCTGCTGAGATGGATTTAGCCTTCTTTAGCTTAGGAGAGGCTGATTGCAAAGGGAAGGGAGAGAGTCAACAGTAGCAGACTTGCAGGATTCATTCATGCCTTCATAACATCAAACGAATGGTGCCATTCAGGCAGGACTTTGGGGAAGATGCTCACGGCCCCATGCAGCAGAATGGGCAGTGGGGCATCTGGATGAAGCAGGGCTGGCTTAGCACAGTTTGAAGTAGCTGCAATAATGCACAATGCTAGCTAAAGTGCCTGATCTGTGCATGGCCGGGGCACACGCCACTCGCATGTTCTCATGGTGGCCTGCAAAATGTTCACTAGCTGCCCACAGGATCCCACAAACAGGACATGAATGCGACAGCGCCCTCCTGCCCATGTTCCCCAGCAGCTGGTGTACAAGGGCACACTGCCTATGCTACTGGAGGGAGCACTGAGTCTCAGGACCAGTAACCATCGATGGCCTCATCCCCCAGGAATTCGTTTCATCTCCCTTTAAAGTCATCCAAATTGGTGGTCATCACAGCCCCCTGTGGAAGTGAAGTCCATAGTTTAACTGTGCACTGTGGGAAGCAATCCAGCTTATCTGTCCTGAAGCTCGCCAGATAGAAACGTAGAAAACAGAGCGAGTCCGAACGGGTCTCCCGGGCCATCTAGTCTGACCTCCGGCACCAGCCGGCTCCGCTCACGACATGCCCGCCATGTGCATGTCCAGCCTATCCTTGAACACCCGCACCGATGGGGCCTCAACGACCTCTCGTGGAAGCCCCTTCCACACCCTCGGGGTCCTGACTGTCAGGAGGTGCTTCCTGGCATTCAAATGGAACCTGGGTTCCCTGAGCTTTGCTCCGTTGGAGCGCATCCTGCCTTCCTCTGCAGGGGAGAACAGGGCTCTACCCACCTCCGTGTGACACCCCCTCACATACCTGTATGTCGCCACAATCAGCTTCATGACATGGCGCCGCTGGGCTCTGGTATTAAGACAAAGGGAGAAACCTTCTCCTCACCCTGCCCCATTCTACACACCTCTGTTCTGCTACCCGGTGCCCCAACAGCAGAAAAATCTCCAGCCATCAGTGTTCTGGCAGAGGAGGCAGCCAGAGGTCTTTTTATTCTCCCAATATTTTAACTGTTAATTGGTTTCATCTTTGATTTTATCATTAATGGTTGGGTTGAAAACACCACTTTCCTCCCCTTGTTACAGCGGCGGGCCAGTGAAAGCTGATGGAAAACCACAATTCCCATAATGCAACGCAGGGATCAGTTCCCCTCTCCCGTCCTTCCGCCGCGCCGTTCCCAGAGTGCATCGCTTCCGGAAAGACGTATCTTCTTCTTCCCGTTCTTGCGGAAGGGGCGTCGTGGCTGCCGCAGGAAGGGTGTTTGAACGAGGGACTACGACTCCCGTCATGCAGCAGCTCCGCTCTTCCAGTGCATTCTGGGGATAGTGTTGTGCCGCGCGCCCTAGGCTCCGCGGAAGGAGAACCGGCGAGGGAAAGAGCTGAACTACAAGCCCCATCATAGAATGGGGCCGCTCCGAGGAGGGCCGCGGACGCATGCGCAGACGCCGCAAGGCAGGAAGACTCGCCCGTGTCCAGTAAGTTCCACCGGGACAGATGGAGGCGGCAGGGGGGGTGGGCCGCGGGGCGAGGCCGCGTGCTGAGAGGGGGCTGGGGCGACGCTGGGGCTCGCCGTGGTGCGCGCTGCTGCGGGTGAGTTAAGCAGTCCCCGCCCCGAGAAGCTTGCAGTCCGAACCGGGGTTCTCCTCTCTTTGGGACCGTGGCCCCATTTGGCGACTCGAGAAACTGCTGTGGGGACCGCCACGGACGGCCTCGCCCGTGCATGGGCGCGTCGGCCTCCCGTGGAGGGCCGGCGGGTTCGCGGCTGGGCCTTATTTGGCGAAAAAGTTCGTGCCGCGTTCGCGGGGCTTACTCCTAGGTAAACGTGCCGCAGCCAGGGGTGACAAGGGTGTGTGTGTGTGTACGATCCCTGATCTGGCCGGGAAAGGATGTGCGAAGGGCCCTGGTCCTTTGCTCTTTTTTCTTTCTTAACTCTTTCTTTCCCTACCCTCCACCTGCTTTCCCAAGGAAAATCCTAGCTGTGCTAGGTAGCGAGAAGCCCACGAAGCCAGCTGGTCCTGAACAGCGACCTGCCAGGCTGGCGCCGAGATGACCCTCTTCCACTTTGGGAACTGCTTTGCCTTGGCCTACTTCCCCTATTTCATCACCTACAAGTGCAGTGGTCTGTAAGTGGTGGCTTTGGCCTGGGTTTGGGGCTGTAAGGTGGGGTGATGCAGGGAGGTTATGGCAGGACTGAGGCAGGCTGGCTGGCTTCTTCATCGATGCACCATTTTTGAATGCTGCAGCGAAGTAGCAGATTTTACAGGCACTGCAGTAGTTGAACTGTCAAGATCACCAGCCTGGCAAAAAGCAGCAGTCACAGATAAAATGTCACATCCCCCAAGTATCTCATTCAGATTGCAATTTTCTTGCAGCTGCTGGGAAAAGAGCCAACTACCAGGGTTGCTGGGAAGTGTATGCACACATATAGGGGTGCGCCAGACATAGGTGTGTGCACATGGCCTTTAAGTCAGCATCTCTTTGGGGGCCTGGAAGCGTGTGCATCCTGCAGTAAAGGGTTAGGGCCCATCTCTTGTTGAGGGCTTGGCATTCCTATTCACTGTGTTTCATTTATTTCATTTCTGCACTTCTCAATAGCCAAAGATTTCTGGTTGGTTTGCACAGATTAAACATTTAAAATACTGTATATTTGTTTTCATACACATGCACAAGCAACATGCACAAATGTATCTAGAAAAATTAACCCGCAACAATAAGAGACATCCAGGACCAGATCCAGCCTTTGTCCTTCTAGTTGGTTTGGTTTTGTCCCTTGGCTTCTGTTGGATGGTGTGCAGCAGAGGACCTGACTGGGAGGCTCCAATTTTATTCTTGTTTACTGTCTTGGCCTATGCTCCTGCAAAATTCAATTTCTCCCAGTTTCTGTGAATGAGGTAGAGCTCATAGGGAAACCTGAGGCAGTCCATGTGCTTGTAAACTTCACCTCTCAGGCAGCATGGGAGGGGGAGGATAGGAGCTGTAGTTGAACAATGTCTGGATGGCCAGAATCTCCCCAGCCTTGAGATCAAGCGAGCATAGCATGGTGCTTTATAAAAGGGTCACGGATGTTGTGATGTCCCCATCTTTCTATTTTTGTCTCTTTCAGGTCAGAGTACAATGCCTTCTGGAGATGTGTGCAGGCGGGAGCCACCTACCTCTTTGTCCAGCTCTGCAAGGTACTGTTTTGCTACTTGCTTGTGGCCCTGGAAGCTTAGGGAGGAATGAAGTTGCAAATGAGAGCCACATAGAATGCCATTTTTCATAGAAAGTTGGGGTGTAAACCAGATAAAGCAATAAAATATTTGCTACTCAGTGAAACTTTTAAAATGCCAAATGGTATTAACCGTTGTTTCTTCCCAAATAGGCGGCTGATCTTTCTCTTTTTCTGTGTCGTAGATGCTGTTTTTAGCTACTTTCTTTCCAACCTGGGAGGGTGGTGCAGGCGCTTATGACTTCATTGGCGTAAGTTGGGTTCCGGGCCAGTGGGCAGGGGTTGAGGGCAGCACTGAATGCATTTGGAGATGGGGAAAGGTTGGCGCACCTTGCAGACAAGCAAGGGCAAAGCAGATTGGGGCTCTCTACAATTTTATTTTATTGGTTTTCATACATGGAGATCCCATACTTCTAAATATAAAACACTCAGACCATTGAATGGTTTCATTTAATAGCTGGCATTCAGGCAGAGCAAACCCCACCAGAAGAACTCAGCAGCAGTGTTGCTATGATTGAAGTGGTTAAAATGCAGCCAGGTTGGAAATTTGCTGAAATAAGATAGGCTTTTGCTCCCCACGTCAAGGGCAAGCAAAGACAGAGTAGCGGAACGGTTGTTGATAATGGGGTGCAGGAGAACATTTTTTCTTCCAAATACCTATTTTTCTTTGTTCTCATGGTCAGGGGGTGATCCTTTGATGCCCTGAATAGCTTTTTGCTCCTCCTCAGGGCTAGCAGAAGCAGAGTAAAGTACTCTTGTTTGATTGATTGATCCCGCATGCAATTCTTTGTTCTTCTCACTATAACATTGGGGTGTCTTGTTTCAGAATATTTGGGGAGTTTCTGCATGATGTGCATATACTCATGTCTGAATAGTAACATCCTATGTTTCTATTTCTGGATATCTGTATCATCGAAAGTACTGGATACTGCTAAGCAGGGATACTGCTTAGAGGCAGTATTGTGGTTCAAGCTACTGATAGTTGGTCCAAGGAGTGCCTATTGCTAATGTTTTGATGTTTGGGGACAGAGCTAAATGGAAGGAAGTTCCAGGGCTGGTTTGTTAAGGGCTGCAGGCCTGGCATTAAGGGGGAAATTTCAGGGGGCAAGGAAGCCAGAGGGGTGCCCATCCCACAGCTCTGAACCCTTTTTGTCATGGCAGGAATTCATGAAGGCCACCGTGGACCTGGCTGACTTGGTGGGGTTGCATCTGGTGATGTCCCGAAATGCAGGCAAAGGGGAATACAAGATCATGGTGGCTGCCATGGGATGGGCCACTGCAGAGCTCATTATGTCCCGGTGAGTCGGGTTCCTGGAAAAAAAGGATGGAATTGGATGCAAGTGGCAGCTCACATCAGCTGTGGGCAGAGCTCAGTTGGAGTGGCTGGTCACACATCCTTCGTGCCCATTGGCTTAGTGGTCTGGGATGTTAGAGCATGGGGTTGAAGGCGTTCCTAACAAGATTGCATGCCCATAATCCTCATTCATCTGAGCAATGGCTCGCTCATGCATTTAGCATGCAATTCTGTGCATGATTAGGCAGAAGAAAGATCCGCAACTCCCAGCCTTCTCCAGCTAACCATGCTGGCTGAGGGATGCTGGGAGTTGTAGAACTTCTTGCTCAATGCACATAGGATTGTCCCTTTAGCCATTAAAGGACTAACTTTCTGAATTTATCCACAGCATATGTTTATTTAACATGCACTATTACTGTTTTTCAAAAATATTGGTGCATATAATTCATAAGTCTTTTAATAAGAGAAAAACCTTCAGGGTGGCAGGTCCCTTCTTGCTGACCTCCCTGCCTCTGAAGCTCAGATGAGCACCAACATTGTTTTGGTTTTGGCATCAGCTGAAAATGCTTTTATTTCAGGAAGCCTTCCTGAACTAATTGGCCATGGTTTTATTGATTTGGTTTTTAAAATACTGTTGTTCATTTACCTGTTTTATCTTTTACTGTTCACCATTCTGAAATCTCCATACCAGACTATGGAACAGTATAAGAATCTTGTAAATGAATACAATATTAGTGCAGGAAAACAAACTTTAAACAGCCTTTGCAGTTTTGATGTCTTTGTAAAAGCTTTCCGTATCTTCCAATGTTCCTTTGTGTTTGTGTGTCTCCTGACTCCTTTTACACAGCTCCCCTAAGTACAACTGGGCATTTAAGGGGTACAAACAGGGGAATGCTACCTCACAAAGGGGTGGTCTGGGTTCTGAAGTGACAGATGCTGAAACTGAGGTTGGCCAGAAAGAGCTAATTTTTAACTACCCTGCATCTTGTCTCACAGTTGTTCATTGAAAGACAAAAAACACTCTCCACATGTTCAGGGGGATTGTCAGCATGTTCCAGTGTTAAACTGTGAAATTAAAATTGGGTGGTTGCATAAAACCAAACTCCATTTAGTTCTTGTGATAGGTAGTTTTTGAGCTGCACCCTTGAAGTTTAATACTGAATTTGGGAAGAGCTTCATACACAGACAGGAAGTTCCCGGGCTGTGGCTCGGAAGGGGATTTTTGGACTTGCCTTGTTTGAGTGGAGATGTGGCTCCTCTTCTGTTTTAAGCAGCCCTGTCCGCGTGGGTAAGTTTCCTGGCCCCTTTTGTGTTTCCAACAGATGCATCCCGCTGTGGGTGGGCGCTCGTGGCATCGAGTTTGACTGGAAATACATCCAGATGAGTATTGACTCTAACATAAGCCTGGTGAGTCCTAATTATGCCACTGCTTGCTGTGAGCTTCCCTTAAACTGTGCCCAGCTGGCGAAGAGGAAACTCTGAATGAAGGCTTTTGCCTTCGTAGCATTCTGTGACTTTTTGTAGTTACGTATTATTTATTTATTCATTGCTACATTTACATCCCTGCTTGGTTTCCTCCTGCAAGGACCCCGAGGTGGCTTACATGGTCCCCTTCCTTTCCATTTTATCCTTGCAAGACCCCTGTGAGGTAGGTCAGGCTGTGCATCTGTGCCTGGTCCAAAGTCACCCTGTCAACTTTATGGCTGAGCGGGGATTGGAATCCACACCTCCAGGCAATATTCATTGTGACACCCCGCTGGCTCTCCTGTTATTTCTGGGGACCTCCTTCCCCCGGTGGAGTGTTGTGGTCAATGGAAGAGAGCACACTTTTTGGGTCCATTGTTCCGTTTTTGTCCCATTTAAAACATCTGAATCAATCAATTGAGTTACTGAAACTGTGTAGCTATGCATACGGGGGTGGAAATAAGGGTTCAAATGGGATCAGCATTGCAGCCTTTCCCATGTTGGTCAGATGTGATTTTAAATCCAGGTCCATAAAAGTCCGCAAAAATTCAAGGTTTTTTTTTTTTTTTAAAGATTCCCTCCTCTTTCTCCCCTTGCTGTGAGGCTTTTGTAATAGGCAGCCCAAAATGTAATCTCTTGCCCATAGTAAGAGTAAACTCGGTCTCTTTGCCTGACTCTGTGTGTAGCACTGACAGCACCATCTACCCACAAGAAGAGGGGTTAGCTGCCATGAAGGAGCTGCTAATTTGAAGGACAAAAAATTCTTTAGAGAGAGATCCTTAACCCCAAGACAACCCAATGAGGACTGAGTATGATTGGTAGATAGTGCTGGCTGGCTGTCCAGTGAGCATGGGTGGGGAAAAGGAAAGCTAGAGAGGAGGGGGAATGGAATGGAGAATCCTGGGAAAGGGGCATGGCCAGCTGGCTGGAACCCAGAGCAGCAACACTGCAAACGGCAACGTTTTCTTGCAGCTCGTACTCGTATTGCGCGCTGGATATCTCACCGAAAGCCACTGCTTCATTCTCGACTGTTTTTCCCCCCGCTTCCATCCTGTTGTCCCCCTCCAGGTGCACTACATTGCCACGGCGGCCCTGGTGTGGATGTTTACACGCTACGATTTACCCAAGCACTATCGTCTGCCCCTCACTTTCCTCCTGGGCATCAGTGTTTACAAAGCCTTTTTCATGGAGTGAGTAACTGGATTTTCTTTGGTGGAGGCGGGAGAGGGAGTGGCTGTGGGCCTTGTCCGAGGAGCTGGTGATGCCTCGAGGTGCGGAAAGTGGACTCACGCAGCTGGCGCCGGGGTTCCGTGCTGCCCTTGAGACATCCTTGGGGGCCCCCCGGAGCCTGTGTGGGGCTTGCCTGAGCCGCACCACGTCCCTCGCCCTGCGCCAGGCCACTGGACCACTCACCAGGGGCACCACCACGCCTGGGCGACCAGGCACCGTCCAGGGCCTTGCAGCCCCAGGGGTCCTCAAGCAGGTTCCACGATGCCAGTTCTTAAAAAAGAGAGAGGGGCTCCTGTCCACACAAGAGGTCGGGCACTGCAGTGTCAAGCCGGAGTAATTCCCAGTATTGGTGTTTCCCTGGAGGGCCTCCCTGGGTGGCCCACATCAAAACATTGCCTGGCCCACGGCTTTGCTCAGTGCTGTGTGGGGTGAGGGGCGGGGGCTGGAATGAGGCGCCACCCAGCCTGCTGCTGCATTGTGAGGGGTGGAGTTCAAGCCGGGGGACCGCGGATGGGTCGGGGGGAAGAGGGGGAACACCGAGAGGTTGGGAAGAGCGTCATGATCACACAAGTTGTGGGTGGTGAGTTAGGGTGACGAGAGAGTGAGCAAACCCCGAGGTGAGTGCGAACGAGCAAGGAGAGCATGTGGGGTGTGAGGGCAGGGCAGAGACGGGGTCTCCGGGAGAGTGTGTGTGCTCCTGCGGGAGGGAAACGGAGAGGGAACCTCCTGGGAAGAGCGTGGCTGGCCGGCATCCTTGCTTGGTGCCCTCTGCCCTGCCTTGCCTTCGGTCCTGCTGCAGCGTTGCCTTGTGTGCGCTCAGGCGCCCAGGCTGAGGTCGCACAGGGAAAGCCTCTCGGTAGCTCATCCAGAAAGTCTGTTTCCCGAGATGCCAGAGCACCTTTCCAGCACCCCCACCCCCGTAAACGTGGCGGCGCAGCTGCCCTTGTCACTCCTCTTGTTCCGCCGCGCTCTTTCCGTGCCCTCCACAGCCAATCTCTCTCTCTCTCTCTCTCTCTCTCCGCAGATCTTTCGTTCATGTTTTCCTCCTAGGCAGCTGGATGGCGCTCTTGGTTAAAGCCGTGATCACCGGCCTGCTTTCCCTCAGCTCCCTCACCCTCTTCGTCACTCTGGTGCACAGTAACTGAGGCGCTGCCGGTCCCCTCCCCACGCAGGGGAGCTGTCGCCTGCGCCTCCAGGATCGTCCTGCCATGGCCCAGCTGGGGGCTTGGTCGTGCTCGCCGCAACGTCGGTTTCTGCATGGCCCCTGCTCTTGAGCCACAGGAATAATAGTAATAAAAAGGTTTTTTTAAAAAAATTGCTGCAGATTTTAGGATCTGGCTGTTGTTGGAGCATGCCCAGTGCATTCCGTGGGAGGGGGTGCAGTGGGACCTTCGGTCCGCTCCTTGGAGCGGTCATGCTGAGCAGAGGCCGGTGAGGCCTCTTGCTGGACGCCATCCGTTTGGCAGGTTGCAGGGAGTACGATGTCGGTCCCAGGCAGGGTGGCGAGCAGGTGTGTGGAGTGCGCATCGTGACGGCCCCCTGCTGGTGTGTCCTCACACCTGCCTGCCCCAGACATGGTTGGGGAAGCTGTAAGATTCTTTATAGTTGCAGCTTCTCAGCTGGGCACCTTGCAGTGGGAAAGAGCTGTGCTGGCAGGAGGAGGAGGGGGCATCCTAGGGGTAGGGAGGAGGGGAGGCTGCGGCTGCAGAATTGATCTGGTTCTGTTTGGTGACCCAGCATCCATCCTGCTTTGGTGCTAAATCTAGACAATCAAAAACGGCTGTCTTGAGAAAGTGAAGGGTGTGAGATGTGATGATTGTGGAAATGTGAGTATCTGTTGGGGGGCTGGTAGGATGTTGCCATAAATGTAGACCTTGGGGACAGAGTGAGGTTTTGGACAAATGCTATGAAGGAGATTATGAGTGGCCAGACGAAGCAAGGTGAAGTGGATTCTTTGTAGTGGCTCGGAGAGAGTGCAGCTACTTCTGCAGTGTGTCTGTTCAGGGTTAGTCCTGGCACAGGATTCTTGAACGCATGTGGGGTCTCTGTACATGTCTCCATGTGAACCTTCACCTTAGCCTTGTGTTTACTATTTCGCTGTAGGTGATCAGAAAGTCCAAGCTGGTGAGTCACCAAGTTGCCCTGGCATAGGGGGGACGGGTCACTGCATTCCTTTGTCAGCCTGCCTGGCTTGTTTGCTAACTGCAGAGGAAAAGAAGTCCCTTCCTTCACACATAGCAAAGAAATGCAGTGGACTGGCCTCCTCCAGAGGCCTGCTTGGCAAACTCGGGGTTCTTTCAGGAGCCTGTTTTCCCAAAAAAGTCCTGCTCATGGAGGGAGCTTGGAAATGCAGGCTGTTAGCCTCTTAGCGGTCTAATATGCCGTGCAGACTTACTTTCAAAAGGCGTATGTGCGTGCTAATGTCCATGCTAGCTTAGTGCATGAGGGTGCTGGAGGTTCGACTCCCTGCTCCTTAGGTGGAGGCAGAGTTGAATCCCTGCAGCACCAGCTGATCGTGTATTTTGGTACATCACTGCAAACGTCAGGATGGATTCAGGTGGCGGTGCCATGAAAGAGCAGTAGCCACTTCTGGCAGATTAACTGAGTGGCCTGTGGTTGGGATCTGCTGTGTGCAGAAGGTGGGGGAGAGACGGAAATCGATTGCTACAAACAAATGAGTCGTCACAGTCATACTTCACTGTGTCCTTGAGGCCTCTTGGGGCCCTTGCAAACTGACCACGAACAGTATTAGGTCGTAAAAGTGTTGGGTGCTTTTCAGTCCACGCATGGTGACGATCATGACTTACACCTTACAGAACTTGGAACGCTTCATCTCTGGTCACCTTGCATTGAGTGTGACTCAACATGGGTGAGCAGCTGCTTGGCTAGTTGGTAACAACCCCAGTTTGCTCCATTATCGACCCTGAGCTTAAATAAAATGAAGAAAAATGTTTAACGAAGGCAACTGGAAGTGAACACCACAACAAAGTTGAACTTGGGGTCCTGTAGGAAATGATCTTGATTTGCATAAATGTCCTTATTTGCTATTTTATCTTACATTTTATTTGAGTTCTGCTCCTCATAGGGAGGGACGGAGCTTCGCAGGGCACTTGCCCGGCCTTGCTGGTCCTCCTGCCCTCCCTCTTGTCTTGTTGAGATTTGGTTGATATTTGCGTGGTTTATCTTGGCAGCCTCTGAGGTGAGACCCCCCCACTTAAAAAAAAAAAGCACACTAAAATTTTCATACTGCAGAATTCTATGCCCAGTACCAATTTCTATACTTAGTCACCATCTCAGCGTATACACAGCTTTGTTCCGTTTCTTTCTGTCTTTGGACATCAGCAACCGCAAAGGGTCGTTATTTGCCCCAGAGCAGCTGGAGCAGGACCTGTGGAGCGGGAAGCGTTTGTCTTAGAGGCGTGAAAACAGCAGGCGCGATGCAGCAGGACTGATGATGGAGACAAATCCTTGGTTCCTTCTTACTGATTTCTTGCATCTCCAGGGAGCGGTGTGGACTGCACAAGCAGGGCGGGGTGAGAGAAGCGCGGTCCGAGAGGCTCCATCTTTAATAGTAAAGTTCTTTGTCCCACCAGCCTGAAAGAGGGAGAGAGGATGGAGTGAGGGGATGGCCCAGGAGGGCATCGGAAGACTGACACAGTCTCTCAGATGGGGGCGGAGGGCTCCGCAGAGGCCTTTCTAGACCTCCTGCCCCTGCTCCCTTCGGCTGCAGAATCTCCAAGCGAAGTTGAGAAAGGGGATGTTCCCAAGGGGCTCGTCCTTCACACGGAAGTGGGCAGGCTGGGGAGGAGAACCTGTGCACTGGTGTTACCCCCTTGCACTGGAGGTGGTGTCTGTTGTGTTTAAGTGAGAGCATTTTTCAGGATAGTGGTGCCTTTGGAGCAGAAGTCAAGGGCACCACTTGGGGATGCACAGGAGGGCCAGCACCATATGCTGAAGTTAGTGACGTGATACGCAAAGGCAGAATCCAGAGGGCTGCCTCCACCAGTTCCCTCCTGCAGGGGGTGGGCACCATCCGTTCAGTTGTGTAAGGGGGACCTGCGTCTTATGGAAGGGGAGTTAATGCTTCCTCAGGGGGCCCCAAAATGAGCAGGAGCACCAGGAAGGAGGCAGATTGGTGGGGCTCCCGTACACAAGCCCTGCCAACTGCCTCCTTCCAGCAAGCAGCGTTTCTGCTGGTTTTGGGTTGCCCTGGAAATGCTCAATTTCCATTCTGCAAGCAGCGAGGGCCATTTGTGCCATTCCGTTGGCAGGGGTGCAAGTTCCCAGCTGGATTCTGCTCATTATCTTCTATAGAGAAGGGGTGTGATTAAGCTGTTGAGTCCAGAGTCAATGGTGAACTGTAGCCCGATGGTTCTGACTCATCTGCTTGCTGGGGCTGATGGGAATCAGGGCAACAACATCTGGAGAACCACAAGGTCCTCATCCTGGGTCTTCACCTTCTCAGTTTGCACCGCTGCTTGGGAACGGGGCATTTCCAAGAATGACTTTGCACCCATTTGGTCTCAGATCAGACTAGCTGCCCACGCTTCTCTCTCGCCTGCTCTCCTCAACTGGCTATCATTGGGACTGGGAAGAAAAGGTGGTCTGGATGGCAGCCACTGCAGGACAAGTACAGCCATGGCTCCCCACCTTGGGTCTTGAGTTACTTTGGGACTGCAGCTGCCATCGCTTCTGGCCAACAGGGCCCGTGCTAAGGAATGATGGGCGTTGCAGGCAAGCTGCATCTGCAGGCCCCAGGCGAGGACGCGCTGGCGTGTGTCTGCTTACAGCAACAGACGTCTCTGCATTTGCAGATGCCAAACCGATGTGAGCCCATCCTCCCGCCCCCCGCAACTTACTTCCAGGATGCCTCCGGACTCCCAGCTTTCGGATTTCATCATAAACAAAGATGAGGATACCAAAGGGCAGTGGCACCAGCCACCACTGGAATCTAGAGTGGATCAGGGAATGGAAAACATGAACACGATGCCACAGTGCTGAACCCAGCTGAACACGCCTGGCTCTGCTTTGGCTCGGCCTGATGGAGACGGGGCGGGGAGGTGCTCCAGAACCCGAGCACGACCGGGACTGGTAGCCTTTTGCCACTGGCTTTCGGCTGATTCGTGGCCTGGGGTGCTTTACAGCCGTAATGAGGAATGGTAGGGTCCCTCAAGTTGCTTGGTAGGAGCTGGGCAGTTCACCGGCAAGGAGGAGCCAGCCAGGTCGTCGGATGGTTGTGACTGCTGCTCATGGTGCTGGCCTGAAAGAGCACCCGCATGCGCTCAGCTGCTGTGCGCAGCTCTTCTCCCCCTTGAGGCGAAATGAATTAGGCGAAATGAACGGAGAGAGCTGAGCAAAGGCATGATGATTGCAAATTGTGTCTCGGGATTGCCTCCAAACAGTGCGCACGGTTCGTGTCCACATTGTTGCTACTGTCTACAAAGTATTGGGGGGCTGACAGTCCCAGTGAGCTGGCAGCCTAACGTGAACGAGACAAGGAAGGGAGGCCTAGATGGAGGGAGCTGCGTTCATGTAAGTTGCAAGTACTGGGGGTTAGTTCAAGCAAGGTCTGGGGGCAAAGGAGCGTTGTGCAAAGGTGTCATGCAAAAGGTATGACCGGAAGGGAGCGAAGAGCCTTCCTTGAGGGAACCAGCAGAGACTGGTGGAGCTGGAGGAGCAAAGGTCACAGGTATGGGTGCGTTTTGGGATGCGGGAGCGGAGTGGAGGAGGGAAGCAAGTGTGTGTGCCTGTGTTTGTGTGGATGAGAAAGAGGAAGACGGGGAGAAGGTCTAATGAGAGCATACTCGGGGCAGATTGTCCCCCGTTTCGGCTTTCAGAGGCGGCCCTCCCCCAGTCCACCAAGGCTCCTGCACATACGCACCGTATTGGCATGAAGTTGAAGATATTGGGCATCCCAGGGCAGTAGCAGAGGAAGTTGCCCAGGCAGAGCTGAAACACGATGGCAATCACCAGGACTCGGTTTCTGGAAAGGAAAGGAGGAGAGGGGCTGGTCAGGGGAAGAGGAAGGCGGCGCGTTGCTGTCCATTTCTGTGTGTGGGTGGCAAAGTGGCGGGGGGCTCTCCTGCTCCCAACAGCTCGTTAAGTGGGGACGGGGAAAAGATGGATTCAGGAGGGGGCTGCAGGCATGCCGACCCTGCCCCGCTTGGGGCAACCGTCTCGGGGATGCAGGCAGTTCCAGATTTGGGACAGGGTGTAGGGAAAGTACCAGCTATGCTTGTATTATTTATTTTGTGTTCAATAACTTGGTTTGCTGAGTCCAGGGCTGAGCTAGTGTCACTCGCCGCCACTGCAGGCGGGATCGTGCGTATGAAGAGAAATGCAAGCGGCCAAAGCTGGGACCGAGCGGAGCGCGTGGTTGGTGGGGATGAGCGGGGAATTCCAGTCCAGAATTGGGAAGGCGGCAGCCTAGGGAAGGCTCGAGTGGAGGAAGGGTGCTGGATTCTGATGCGGTCAGTGGAAGTTCAGTGTGGCGCCAGAGGTGTCTTTGGTGAAAATGGGAATGGGGTGGGGTTCTCTCCCCAGCTCCGGGAGAAGGGAATGAAATCCACATGGGAATGGCAGAGGCCCTGTATCCTGTTCATGGAAGAGCACAGACTCTTGAAGTTCAGAGGTTGTCCTCTGGGAGGATAAGCAGGGCACTTAAATAAAATATAATGAAATACATCTGCTCTGCTTTTAAAAGGATTGCAAACATAATTATTATCTAGACATTCCGTTTCATACGCATTTGTTGATACAAATGGGCAACACTTTCATAATAAACATGATAATAAATACACAGGGAAGCAGCCCTATTCCTCCAGCCTTATAATGTAGTACCATCATCCAATTCAGGCAGAAATCCTATATAAATTTATCTGGGAGTAAGTCTTACTAAATGCATTGTAATTTGCATCTGAGTAGACACATACAGGATCACACTATTCATCTAACATTTCCTTAGTATAATAATGCAAAGGTGTTCTGGCTTATGTAATTACTATTATAATCCTGCCTTGCTTACTACATAATCCTACACATGTCTACTCAGATGTAAGCCCCATTTAGTTCAGTGTAATAATGAGGGGACTCACTGGCATGAGAGTAGCTATTGTATTGGAGCATTAGAATCTTAATAATCTGCAAAATGTCCCCAGTATTTTCTGCACTTGTTATTCCAATCCATTTCTCCTCAGAAGTAAGTCTCATTGAGTTCCATGGGTCTTACTGCCAGGTTCATGGGTGCAAGTTTGCAGTCTAATCCTACACTTTATTTGTTTAACCTCATTTTTGTTCAGGACTGCAGTGGTCCATATAGACAATTCCCTTCTCCCATGTAGACTTTTTCAGCGTGTAGCCAACAATAAGCTTGCTGCTAAAACCTGTGCAATGAAACATTCTCTTTGTCTGTATTTTGGTTTTAAATGGTCAATTCATGGAATAGGGAGGGATAAGCATTAAGATTGAGAGTATTATGCGTATCAGTGTATAAACGCTTTAAATAAGTAAGATTCCAGCTCTCAAGCACCCTGGGAGAAGCAGAATCGGACCTCTTGGAACCGTGTGCCCCACTTACCGGAAGAATCCTTGCTGGAAGACGGAGAGGCGCCGCGTCTTGCGGATGAGCACGTCCGCGATCTGGCACACCTCAATGCTGATGAAGAAGACGGTGTAGCATGTGTACTGCTGATACAGGCGCTGCCCAAAGGTCTGTGGAGCGGAAACGATGGCCGGCGGCCAAGACATGACATGCAGCGGGTCCTTCCTCATTGCCTGCATCCCAGCGTGGGGTGGACCCCTTGCTCGGTGCCCTCCGTGAGCCTCCCACATTTTTGTTTGCACGAGAAGGGAGGTGGGTACATCTGTATGAGATCATTGGCTCCAGACGGTGCAGGCCTGGGTCATCCCCACACCCTTGGGCAGCTGCTGGGCCCAGCCCCCCAGCAGGGCCCACTGCCATCGAGGCCTGCTCCTTGCTTGCAGGCGCCATTGGGGCACCGTTTTGCATTTCCCACAAGGCTGTCTGCCCATGAGGAAGAGGAGGAGAACATTTAGGGGGCTGTCGAAATGTTTTTGAGGGCATTACATGGTACATGCAGGTGGATGTCTGCAACCTTCCAAGTTTGGGAGGTGGTGGGCAGCCATACAGGATTGTGCCCATAACTGATTAATGTATCCAGTTACTTGATTAACTGTCAAATATTTAAAGTTTAAAATATCAGAAGTACCAGCCCAGACCTCCATCTCCAGCAGAAGGTGTGTGTATGGTTGCGGTGACTACGTTTTCCTGGCTTTCTAGCTATGGATCAGCCCCTTGTCTGCTGCCTTTTAGCCTTGTGAGGGTAGGGGTAGGAAAGAAATGGGCACTGCCCATATCTCCCACTCTAGGCAAAAAGTAGGTTGGGTGTAATCTGGAGATGAAAGCATGGCGGTCAGGAAAGGGTTAAGGTGGTCCCCTCCCCCTGCTGTTCATCTGCTCTTTAAGGGCATAGATTGCAACGTGCAACAGAGCATTCAGTATCATATCACCATCTGCCTTGACTTTTGGATGGTGGGAGTCCCGGCCCCTGTGGCGTCTCTTCCACTCACCCACTGCTGTCCGTAGCTGTCCTCCAGGTCCTGGAGATGGACGTTCTCCCACTGGGCCCGGAGGCCCAGGCACTTCAGTGGGTACCAGCCCTCCTGGGCCATGGCGGTGAAGTAATCGGTGAAGCCGGCAAAGGACTGTATGACTCCTGGATGGGGTGGAGGCATAAGGGGGTTTGGAAGAGGGGGCCACCGATCACACATACAGTGTTTCTCTCGGGCTGTTTAGCTCGCTCCAGAGCAGCCTTCTCGAAGACGGCGTCCTCTTTTGGCACCACAGCCTCCAGCCATGGCTGGGGTGGATGGAAGTTGGGATCTAAGACATCTGGAGAGACTCGCGTTTGCTGAGCCTGCCAGATGCCAAGCCACGTCCTCCTGATGGGAACTGTGGTCCCACTGGGAGATTCAGAGGACTCGACTTAAGCCATGCACTGTCGATCAAATGTTTGAGGATCTGTGATGTATCTGACAGACAACTGGGCTCATTGTGGGTTTGTGGCTGACCCCCTTCCCTTCCTTCCCATAGATACTCCTGCAGATGTCCAAGGGGGCACCGTGGAGGAATGTGTCCCTCCCTGCTCCCTCCCTGCTGGAGGAGTGGGGGAGGGTGCCAGCTTGAGAGGAGACCACCTCTGCTCTGCAGGCCATCCCAAGTACCACTTGGGCATTTGGGGGGGACCGCCTTCAGCACCCCTTGCAGCCGCTTGGCAAGACCATCTGGGGAAGGGGCTTGGGAAGAGGCTTCCTTGACCCATGATGGGCTGTTTTGCCCTGGGTCAACATGGTTAATCAAGGCAGTTTATAATCCAAAATTAAGCTGACCAGCCCATCGTGGGTTCCCAGGACACAAGAAGCCATGGGGATTTATAGTCCGTCGTGTGAACTCAACCAATGTCTTCTCTCTAACGCCTCCAAGGACAGAATCTCAGCAGAGGCAAGCTTTGCTTTTATTTCCTGAGACTCCGCCCTCCAGCCGTGATACGCACCAATCTGGAAGTAGGAATACGCAGCCAGTGCTTCATTGACCAGGCGGTCCCGTCGAGGGTTGCGCGGCTTCAGATGCATGATGTCGCTCTCCGCCTTTTCATAGGCCAGGGAAACTGATGGGAACTGCAGCGGGAGAGGGGAAAGCAGGGGGTCAGACACAGCCCTGGGAGTCTTGGGGGAAAGGGTCTGCCAGAAACTGCATGGAGACTGTGTTTGCCCCTACAGATCCTGCACACTCAGAAACATGGAATTCTCTCTGGCAGGCAGGAGTGGTCCTCCTGATCGGGAATCTGTGGGGAAGGTCCTTGAGAAGCAGCAGCTCTTCAGGCCTTTTCTGACACCAGTGCAAACACTGTTTGGATTCTGGGGGACTACGGAGCCCAGAAAGTGCCTTATGCATGGCCTGCTGTCAGTCCGTCAAACCAAGTGCTGTCCACTGTGCCTGGTAGTGCCAGGCCAGTGGTTCAGGCCATGCTGGATAACACATGAAACCCCAGCTTGCATTTCATGTGCTCTGAGATGGCCTGACCAGGAGTCAAGCCATGCCGTGCTGGGAGGGTGTCATTCCTCCCTCCCTCCCTCCACCACATCTCCATGAAAACTTTCTCCATGCCAGCTTGGCCATGTACCTCATGCCAGCAGAATTCCCCTCAAGGGAGAACGCCAGCAGCTTCAGGGGTGTGTGATGTTTTGCAGGAGCATGAGAGGGCATAAAAGGGTTAACCGTTCCTTCCTGCATTCCCAGCCCTGATCACCCCTTCTAATAAATAGATCTTCTATTTAATTAATAGAATTTTATTATTATTCTTTTATAGTATTCTGTTTTGTTCTATAGAATTTTATACAATTTTACCTTCTACTTTGATTTTAATAGAATTTAACAGAACTTTAACTCCCCCTTCCCTCCTCTTCCTGCTAAGTCCCTTTTAAAGCTATCAAAAGTAGTAGTCCTGATCACATCTTGAGGCAGTGAGTTCCAGAGGTTAACTATGTGTTCTTGAGTTAAGAAGACTTCTCCATTCTGGGTCTCCTGCCCATCAATTGCACTAGCCTGAGTTCCACGGATGGGAGAGGCCTGCTCTCTTCTTTCTACTTTCGTCACACCACAGATGCTTTTATAACCCCCCATCATGCATTCCGTGCTCCTCCCCCACAGGTTGAGATGGGGTGGGATTTGGGTGCATCATGTTGGCAGAGAGGGACGCTTTGAAACCCGATGTTGAAAGCCTGCTCACTTCCTTGAAGACCATCAGGAGCATCAGGTCATTAGAACAGGAGCTCAGGACCTGAGGCCCAGGGGCTGAATCCAGCCCAGCTGGGGGCCCAGTCTGGCCCCCTAGGGTTCCTTCATGACAGTGACCCCTTTCCCTAGGCCCGGCCCAGGCCACTGATGGTTTTGTGGCTTTCCAGCTTTTGCACAGCCTTTCCCCCCATTCTAGAAGGGTGTCTTCGCCCTCCGCCCCATTTTCAGTTGCAGCCCCCACTGGAATGCAACCCAAAGAGCTTCCCTGAAATAGAATCCATCTCTCAGTGGAAACAGGTTTGACACCCCTGGCTTTAGAGGCGTGTCCCCTAACCTGTTTCTCGCAAACCCCATCCCAGCATGTTGTTACTCACAATGTCCGTGCACAGTTCGATAAAGAGGATGGTGATGCAGCCCAGGGGAAGCGGGACGCTGGCGGTGATGTAGATCAGGTAGGGTGCCAGCTCTGGAATGTTCTTGGTCAGGGTGTAGGCAATGGATTTCTTGAGGTTGTCAAAGATCAGGCGCCCTGCAGAGGAGAGACAGACGTGGCTTTTCCCCGACCGCCCCCATTGCTGAGGGCAGTCCTCACCACAGGCCTTTCCTGCACTCTCCCCATGCAGCTCCACCAGCCATGATGTCCTTCAGAAGTGTCAGACGGATACCCCCATTATCCCCAGACAGCACGGCTTGGCCGGAAACAATGGGAGCTGCAGTCCAACACTTCTTTCTTTTTAAGTAATTATTCTGAATTGCAAAAATTTGTAACAAGAACAGAAAAACTTAAACGATAAAAGAAGGAAAATAGTTGCAATAAATATGTATGAAATATAGACACATATCTCTATATTCCATGTGTATATAAAAAAGATGCCACTGTCCATAGGGTTAGTTCTGCATAAGTAAGGAAAGGCAAGCTAGATATCCCCATGTTTCTTGGGGTGGGGAAAGGGAAGAATACATGTTTTTAAAGTGACTAAGGGCACACTCCTGTGGCCTCCTGACATTGTCTGGGTGGCCATAGGATTTTTTGGAGTCCCAGCTCCAAGATCCTGGGAACATGGAACTAGAAATCTGAAAGCTGAGTTCCTCCCCTGCCCCGTTGCAACTACCATGGAAAAATTGCTGCCTATCCTCTGGGACCACCATTGGATCACGGGGTGGTGGGTGGTGGAGGGAGAACAAACGTGCCTGGGGGAGAGGGAGGAGGCTGGGCCCAAGAACTTGAGCCAGCTGCTGCCAGCATCTCAGCCTCCTTCCCCCTGCATCCCTCTTCCAGCCACCTGGCAAAACACCTGGTGCAAGGTGAGGCAGCTGTGGGCTGCTGCCACAGCACCTAACTGGAGGCAGAGGATGCTTGTAAGCCTCTGAGTTTAGCAGGGATGCCAGGTGTGGCAGTACCAGCAGCATCGGTAGAACGTGGCACCTACGTAGTATCCTGAAAGTGAGCCCTGCTTCAGTGGTAGCACCGACTCTCGCCAGACATGGTGGGGTGCTTGGGCCAGAACCTGCGGGCTGGACTTGGGTGGCCACGGGGAGCAATCCCTGCAGGCCCCGTTGCTCAGAACGGCTGACGAGCTCCCTGGCAATTGCCGGGATCACACCAGAGGGTGCAAGCCCAGGGCGCCTCCCCTGCCCACTGTTGCCGCCGCATCCCCACGACCGACCCTGCTCGACACCGGTGACGATGGATGCAAAGTTGTCGTCCAGCAAGATCATGTCGGCAGCGTTCTTGGCCGCGTCGGATCCAGCAATGCCCATTGCCACGCCGATGTCAGCTTTCTTTAGAGCCGGGGAGTCGTTCACTCCATCCCCTGTGACTGCCACGATGGCACCCTGTGAGCAAGGAGAGCAAGAGGTGGGCATTCAGGGGTCTGCAAGAGAGACCTCAAGCAAAACGTTGCAGTGTGAATTGTTTGTGTTCAGGATTTGTGACAGCTGGGGCACTATTCTACTTTTCTAGGCATTGCCTTCCCTTTTCGTACTTGGCTTTCTGTCTCTGGTTCAGCCGCAAAGTCACGCTCGACTCTTTGCAACCCGATGGACAACATCCCTCCAGGCCTTCTTGTCCTCCACCATCCCCCGGAGTCCACTCAAGCTCACACCGACTGCATCAGTGGCTCCTTCCAGCCACCTCATCCTCTGCCGCCCCCTTTGCCATCTATTCTTCCCAGCATCAGGCTCTTCTCCAGGGAGTCCTTCCTTCTCATTAGGGGGCCAAAGTGTTTGAGTTTCATCTTCACTGGTGAGGTGGCAAGCTGGGGAAAGCTCCTCTTGGGCTTGGGGGTCTCTTACCAATTTCTGGCAGCTCTCTACAATGATGAGCTTCTGCTGTGGAGATGTGCGAGCAAAGACCATCTCTGGGTGCATCTTGAGGATCTCCACCAGTTCCTCGGCATCCATATCTTTCAGCTGCCCCCCATTGACTACACATGCCCGGGCGTCCCTGGGAGCAGAAATAGAAAAGGTCAGAATCCCTGATTCATAGCAACCAGGAAGGTCTTCCCACCAGGGTTTTCCCCATCTTTTCCTTGGGCACTTGATGGGTTTCCAGCAGTTTAGTCTCGTGTAGGATCAGTGCTGGAGGGAGGTAACTTCTGGGTGCCCGCTGCACAGCACGGCAGGTGCAGGTGCTCACCGCTTGTTGACCTGCTCCACAGGGATGCGCAGGCGGGTCGCAATATCTTCAACTGTTTCACTGCCCTCTGAGATGATTCCCACACTGGCAGCAATGGCCTTGGCCGTGATGGGATGGTCTCCCGTCACCATTATCACCTGGAAAAGAAATGGAAGCAGATGGGGAATGAACCTTCTCATGTGGGTTTCTTGGCTATGCTGACTGGACAGTCAACGCAGGGAAGCAAGGAGGTGGCTGGCTTGGGGCTGGTGGTTGAAAGAATGGAGTTCAAATCCCTACCCATCTGTGGAGTTGCCTCCATAGTCTGGGGCCAAATACACTCTTCCAGCCTAACCAACTTCTCAGGGGTCTAAGGAAGCTAAAGTAGAAGTAACCCCCATGCATATTGTGCAAACTGTCTTGGGGGAAGGGTAGAATATACATTATTTTTGGAAGGGCATAACATGGCCTGGATTAAACAAAGACTATAGGGATAAGGGAGCTAGGGACACGGCTTGAAGGTCCTAGTGGAGCAGGTCGCTCACCCGGATGCCCGCAGTGCGGCATTTCATGACCGCATCCGGCACAGTGGCTCTGGGGGGATCAATCATGGAGATGAGGCCTGCAAAGCAGAGTCCGCTGGTGGGAAAGTTCATTTCCTCCGCATCAAAGGTGTAGCCGCGTGGAAACTCATTCTGTGGAAGGTAGAGGTGGCAGAACCCTGTGGACAGACAAGAATTGGGTTGAAGTCTGCACCTCGGCCCATCACGCAGCTGCTGTTTCTGCGCTCACTGGTGTTTCTGCAAGGATTGTTTCCTCCGGTACAGGCATCCCATCAGCTGACACCCTGGTAGGTCGGGACACTGCCAGCCAGTGCCTGGCACTGTAAGGGGGGGAGCCAGCTCCCTTGGGCCTTCCCTTGAAAGTCCTATGTTGCATCATTCTGAGAAATTGTGGGGGTGTGAAAGGAGGCTCCATGCCGCTCATGGAAGCACTGTTGCTGCCACCAGTAAGCCTAAAGAGGGAGCCCCACCAAGAGTGAAGAGGGCCTTCCAGGGGACATGCTACTAAAGACCTTCCAAACCTGGAGCTGGCCCTGCCATTAGCTCAGTGGCAGACTTTGCTGGGATTGAATACCACGGGTCTCTTACCCAGCACACGCTCGCCCAGTCCACCAAGGTCCATATACGCTGTTTGGAAAGCTTCCTTCCACTGCTCATCGAGGGGCAGCTCTTGACCCTTGATCATGATGGTAGAGCAGCGTTCCAGGATGCGCTCGGGAGCACCTTTCATCACCAGCAGGTAGCGCTGGTCTCGCGGGTCTTCTAGCTCATGGATGGACAACTGAGTCAGGGGGGAAGAATGTGGGACCGGTGAGGATCTACTCACACATATACTGGGCTGGTTCCCGATAAGGATTTATGGATTTTGATAAATCTGTCCTATCTGTGTTTTATATATTGTCAGGTCTCCTTTGTCCTGTTGCCTGCTTACGGATGGAATTGTAGGAGAATTTTGTTCTCTTTGCATTAATTTGCACACATGCATAAATACTAAGGTGCATTAGGTAATGCAAACTTATGCAAATATCACCAAAAGTGATTGAAACACAGACGCACCCCAGCATCCACATTTCCATGCTTTCACTTACAGTGGGAATTGTAGAATTTTGTTTTTCTTCATATCTTTGTATAAATCAATATGCCATGGAAGGTCCCAATGCTAACAGCTGCCTTGGGTTCCCCTTAGATTTGTTTTTCAGCGTAGCAGCCCTCAACAGCAACATCTAGCTGCATATTCAGGACCCATGAGTGCAATGCTCTGGGCAATTTAAATGTTGGTTAGACCCGACTTTCTCTCAGAGAATTACTCCAGGACCTGTGAAGAGATGAGGAACCCGACTTGTTCCTGGGGCAGGCCCTTTCGTTGGAGATACTTTGGAGGAAGGAATAAGATCACTGCAGCTTACATTCCTGGAATGCAGTTGCATGCCTGTGTCCAACATAGACAGAGGAATGGTGGGCTGCTGTGACCACAGGCAGGACCTTTTTAGTTGTGGCCCCCTCTTTGTGGAATTCCCTCCACAGAAAAAGATTGCTTTTGCTATGTTTTGATGTCACAGAAACCCTCTCCCCCAGATTTGCCCAAGCTTTTTAACATAAGCTCATTTAATGCGGTCACTCAAACTGTTCTTTGTTGGATTTTAGTATATTTATTTATTTAAAACCTTTATATGCCATCACCACATGCCTTGGCATCTCGGGATGGCTTACAACATAAAAGTATAGCCTTATGTTTAATTTTTTATTTTATAAACTGCTCTGGAAACAATGGCTGAAGAACAGCAAGTACATCGTTTAATAGAAAGAAATACATGGTTGGTAGAAGTCAGGAAATCACCCACTTCAACAGGTGTTTAGCTTTGCTCAGCTCATGCTGAGCTGTGCAGACTTGTATGCTGGGTTTAAAAACTGCTCTTCCTGTTTCCTTGGTCACCCTTCCTCCCAACTTGCTTACCTGAGGGGAGGTGTGATAAATGGTTCCACAATGGTGGAAAACAAGGACACCAAGTCCTAGCTCTGTGTCTGAAGGCTGGGCACCTATTATTATCGATCAAATCAGAGGAGCCGAAAGGAAGGGCAGATTGTGGTCCGTAGCTCAAAGGAAATGCAGAATGCAGCCTGTGTTGATTTCTGGCATCTACTTTGAACAGCAAGACTGAGAAAGGCCTCTGCCAGGCCTCTTGGAGATCTGACCTATCATGGCAGAGAGCAAGAAGGACTATTTGGGTCAATGGATGGAGAGGGAACATCAGCCGCTGACCTGGAACTTGTTGGTAGAGTTGAAGGGGATCTCACAGACTTTGTTGTGGCGTTCTCGGTACTCCAACACGTTGCCCAGGGTGATCTCAGAGAATTTCAGCAAAGCAGTCTCCGATGCATCTCCGATCACAATCCTCTGGGGGTCAGGAAGGCCAAAAAGACATGGAGGCAGGTTGGTTAGTTCTGTTGAGATGCCCCATTGGAGGGGGACTGCCTAGCGCCATTCTAGATGATACATACAGGCAGCATGTCCCATAAAGGATCTGATAACTGTACATGCAGATGGACCACAGAGGACATAGCCTCCGAGCATGAGCAGAAAGTCTCCCCGCTTCACTAAATTGTCACTTATCTGGAAAAAGGTGAGCAGTGGGAAGGTTCACCTCACATCAGGTTTGACAGAGTAAGTGTTGGAGGTGTGGGCAGTGGAAGGATGCAACGGAGGATCAGCACCTGTATGGCTGCCTTTGTACTTCAGGCAGGAGGCCTGGAAGGGGGGTGGGCAGGAGCCTGGAGGACAGGCCATGGGCCGGTGGAGCTGCTCCCCAAAAGGGGTGGTGCGGCCAAGCCCAGTTCCTTCCGCTGGTTCTTGCCTGAGCTGGGGCGGAGCCACGGCATCATTGCCCTCTTCTCAGGGCGGCTCCAGGGTCCTGTCTGGGTGCAAGCTGCAATGTGCTTTCTGGCACTGCCCCAAGAACAGGCCAGCTTTGTGGAGCCAATGCCCTTCCACCAGGCGGCACCCCCACCCAGATGATTGCCACGGGAATGAGACACCCCTGCTCTTGTCTGGCAGGTTTACTTTCAGGTAGGAGTGGTGGGTGGTGTCCATTTGGGGGCAGGCCCACCCAGCTGGCCAGCCTTGCTCCTGCCCCAGAGAAGATCTATGGGGCACGAGTCAGGAGGAGATGGGATGATTCTGACAGCTGCACCAATCTGGGTCAGCCGTCAGCCGTGCTTCCTGGCTGGCTGCTTGGCAAGCGGATCAACAGCCTCTCACCTTGAGCAGCTCTCTTGTCTGGGGTTTCTACCACGATGGGTTGCATTGCCTGAGTTTGAATGACACAGCAAGCAGCTGTGGTGGGGAGCAATCTTAGTACTGACCATTGTGCCTAACTCTGGTTGACAGCCATGATAATTTATCATGGTTTGCTAGTTGTGTTGTGTGAACCCAACTGATGCTAGCAATGCATAGCATTTGCAGGGAGCTGGAGGGGCTGCTGTGGGAGCGAGGGAGTGGAGAAGGCCAGTGTAGTTGATCCAGCTTAAATCCCGATCCAGTCTGTTGGGTTGCAAAATGCAATATGCATTTTAACTGCAATTGTACGATGTTGTTTTGGCATGTTTTCTTGGGTGGTCGTCAGTTATGTCTAAATTCAGTGAATATTATTTGTATTCCATCTTTCTCTAGGAAGCTCAAGCATCTATTTGAGGTCCTCGGTCTGCCATCCAGGCCCTGACCAGACCTGACCAGTCTGCTGAGCTTCAGTGATGTATCATTAATCACAGTGAAATGTTCCCCATGATCATTCTTACCTTTGGCACTGGCACATTATCCTGGCCTGATTTGAAAAAGGCACGGTTGCAGAGGCTCACCACTTTGCATAGCGCTCTCCATGTCTCTGATGACTGATCGAAACTCTGCCCTGAAAGGAAGGACGAGAAAGTGGAACTGCAGAGTTGGCAGCTGCAGGACCAGAAGTGGCTGTGGCTTCTTGCAACCCAGCCCTGCCTGGCTCACGCTGCCTGGGAAGCAGCTGCCAAATCAAAGTGTTAACCGAAAGCATCAACAGCAAAGCTTGTGTCCACAAAGCAGTGGGATGCAGCCCAATGGCAGGAAGTCTTTCTCAAATTTTGTGTGGCCTCTGCTGTCAACAGAAGCAGCCACATAAGAAAGCTTGAAGCCAGAAATGCTTGGCAAACCTGACTGAGTCATGAACAGATCAATCGCTGGTTGAGCAGTCAGAAGCATGAAAGAGCAGAACAGGGCAGGGTTTCCAATAGAAACCACCCCTGCCGCTCAGCGCAGTAAGCGTGCTGGCCTTTTAAACACAAGAAACCCAAGCTAAGAAGGAAACCAATTTGGCTCGACTGAATCCGCCCTGTCCTACCAGCAAGCAATGCCTGCCACTGTTCCTGGCCTGGCCCCTTCTAAGTGCAGCTCTACCTGACTGGTCTTCTGTGGTGTCTGCAGTATGGATTTGGTTGTCGAACCAAAGATGGGAGACCGTCATGCGGTTCTGGGTGAGGGTCCCAGTTTTGTCAGAGCAGATGACAGAAGTCGAGCCCAGAGTCTCCACCGCCTCGAGATTCTTCACCACACAGTTCTTTCTGGCTAAGCGTTTGGCAGTGAGGGAAAGACAGACCTGCCCAGACAGAATCAAAGGGAAAGGGTGAAAGTACGAAAGTTAGGTCAGCTATCTCAAGTTGAGTCTCTCCATATCCCTTTGTCCTTCAAGCTCAGTTTTGTCTCAGATTGTCTCAAGCTCAGTTGGCAGTAGCTTTTCGAAGTTTGAGGCACATGTTCTGAATTTTTACTTGAGAGTCATAGGAATGGAGATGCTGGGGGCTGAACCAGGACAGGCTGTGGGCAAAGCATTTACTCTTCCAAAGCAGATGAGAAGCGGCCCTCTGGGACTCACCATGGGTCTGTGTTTGATCACTCCTTGAACCCCTGACCAGTGCTTGGAAGCAATGTGGCTGCTCAGGTAGCCTATAGGAAGTGGCTTCACCCACACAAGGGAAAGAAAGCTGCACACTTGGGGGGACCCCCCCCCAAAACCCATCCTAAGTGTGTGTGTGTGTGGGGGGTCAAAACAGGCCAGTGAAGATGGGGCATGCATAGTGGCCATGGAATACTGACTGACTGTTGGGGGAATGGAATGGGGTGTCATGCAAGGAGGCATTCGCTGGAACCTGGCACCCTGAAATCGGAGCCCTCTGCATGGCAATGTTTCGTTACAGGCCCCATCTTTTTATTCTAATCCAAATAGAAGCAACTATTCGGATCTTTTGGGATAACTGGAAAATACTGCCTGCTTAAGTTCTGTTTGTCATTCAGCTGTTAATGTTACAGGAGCCCTCTAAGATGGCCTAGCTATCCCCCGGCAGCATAAGTGGCTCTTCCCAGAAGTGATTCACCTCCATCCATAGAGAGGGAGGGAGAAGCCCCACCGAGATAGCACTGGTTTACTCCCAGGTAGCCACAACACATGTGGACAGGGCCATGGGATGTGTGTGCGGTGGGAGAAGATTGATGATCCTTACAGTGACAGGTAACTGATGAAGAGCGATACTTACCGTGACCGTTGCCAGAAGGCCCTCAGGGACATAGGCCACCACGATGGCCATGAAGAAGACCATAGCCCTGAGGAAAGGGTAGCCAATCACCATTGCAACCACAAAGAAGGTGGCACCAAAGAAGATGGCCAGGCCAGCGATGATGTCGACAAAGTGCTCTATCTCAATGGCGATGGGCGTTTTCTCATTCTCCACACCCGAGGCCAAGCTGGCGATGCGGCCAATGATGGTGCGGTCCCCAGTGTTGATGATGATGCCGGTGGCAGTGCCTGAGGGTCATGAGAAGATGCAGAGCTCAACGGGATCCATCACCATCCTGCCCCATGGGCATGTCCACCACGGTGCATTTGCCAGGAACACCACCATCATGGCAGGCTGGGCAGACAGTGGATGCCCCTTGTATGGACCCTTGTATGTGCCAAAGGACAACGTTCTCCATTGCAGAGAAACAGGCAGGGCACATGACTCCTGCTATATCAGGACAAGGCTTATGGTGCTATTTGGGCCTATTGGTGACAGAAAGAAAGTCTCAGGCTAAGTTTGGCTGGCTACTCAGGAAGCATCAGGAAAGAAAATGCATCAGCATAAAATGTGCATATATATACAGAGATGCAGTTTTATATCAAGTTAATATAATTTAGATAGAAATACAATACATCCCATAATAGCGTGGAAGACAATGACAGGGTCTCCTGCATGTGTTGACTCTGCTCTCTGGGTGCTAACTGGTGATGGCTCCAGTTAGCACCCAGATAAATAAATCAGATAAATAAAGATAAATCAGATATAAACAGATTTGGACAGCTGTTCAAATGGAGGACACCTTCAAATAGCAGGTGGACCTCTGGCAGCCCTTCGAGCAGAGAAATGTCCCATGCAAAAGAGGACATCCCTGTGTCAGCTCCAACTTGTCTTCCTACGAAGTTGCCGCAATCAGCATCTTTCTCCGGGGGTGTTCCTGACAATGCGATTCTACGCGTAGCAACAAATATTCTCCCACCTACTGATTAGAGGGATTTCCCCTGTCTGTCCATCAATAACTCCCTAACTACACAGAATAAGATTGGGAAAATTTTATCTTGTTTTGTCCACAGCTACGAGGAGCTAAAACAACATCTTCTTTTTTGTTTTAACTTAGAGAAAAGGCAAGTAAGGGATGGGGGACCTGATAGGGGTGCACAAATTTATACATGGGGAGGAGACACTGGATCTTTACTTGCACCCCCATAACACTAAATCTCTGGGTGATCCAGTGGAGCTGAATGGTGGGAGAAGCAGGGCTTCGGCCAGAGCATTGTCTAGTTTTTTGTATTTTTGTATTTAATGGTAATTTATTATGTTCTATTGTATTTCAATGTATTTTATTGTGTTGTAAGCCACCCCGAGGCTTCGGCAAGGAGCGGCATAGAAATGTTATATTAATAATAATAACAATAATAACAGTAATAATAATAATAATGGAATTTGCTGGTACAAGATGTGACAATGTACACCACCAGCTTGGATGGCTTTGGAAGGACACTGGAAAAATTCATGGAGAAGGCTATCAGTGGCTGCTGGTCATAATGGCTATAAATTACTTCCAGTATTGGAAGCAGTGGGCATATTTAAAAAGTTTGCCGGAGAACACAAGCTAATGTATTCACGTTCCCTTTGTGGGTTTCCCAAAAGTATCTGGTTGGCCACTGGGGACTAGATCGCCGCTGGTCTGATCCAGCAGAACTTGTAGCGTGTTCTTAGGTTCTTAATTTGACCCCTGCTTTCCACATGTACATTCTGAGACTTAGCTACATAATGGTTCAAAGTCAGCTACATAAAAGCTTTTTTATTTGATTTTCTGCTGTACACCATTCATTTATGCTTGATTAAATCTAACTTCAGTTGGACTCTGAGGTTTGTCTGCACAGCGTAAGCAAGCAGACATTTATCTCCTGTTGGCCAGATCTCTTGATGCTCATCCCATACACTGACCCAAGGGGGAGAACAAGTGGGCTGAACACTTTCTCAGTGGTGCCTGGGAACTTCATCTTGCAGTGCTCTTGCCTTCACAAATAGCCCATGTAATTCTGAGGACGCCTCCATCTTGTTCATGGTGCCCTCTATAGTGGGAAACCTGCTTCAGAAACGGATTTCAGCACCATGGACAGCTCTTCCGGAGCACAAAATGAAAACCAGTGTTAGATGACCAGCCCTATGGACAGCATCGAAGGCTCCCATGGCAGAATGTTTTTTAAAGGCAATGGCAGATCTGAAGGAAAGACTGGCAGAAGTCCTTCTTCACAGCCAACCTGTTCCCTGCAGAAACCAGTGATGAGGACGGCATGTGGTCCCATGCATGACCTTTTCAGCTACATGTATCTTCAGGGATGGTAAAGCACCTTGCCACTGGCAGAGCACAGGCCTATGCAGAAACCCCATCCTCCTACCTTCTAAGCACATGGTGGAGAAGAAGGCAATGTTCCTCGTTTCCAGGGGACTCTCATGAGTATACTCTGGGGTTCTTGCTTGGGGCTCTGATTCTCCTGTCAAAGAGGAGTTATCCACCTGAAAAGGGGGTGGGGGGGGAGAGAGAGAGAGAGAGAGGACTTGTCTTACTCATGGGGCTAACATGGACTCACATGGATCCACACATCCATTCCTTTGTGTGGATCAGCTCCCCCAGGTGGCTTGGCAGATTTAATTTTGAGTCTTGCAGCCCCATTACAATATGCAATTCCTTTCCCCATTAAAAAATCTCAAAATGGGTGGGAAGGACATACTCTTCTCCCTATAGTTTCTTAGTAGGAAATGTCTCTGGATTAGCATCATGTTCGTATTTCTGAGCCCAGGGTGTGTCTGAATGATTAAGTATTGATCTAAAAATGTGGGGGTGGATCCTGGACCTGCCTTCTGCAACAGCAAGATTTCCTTTCATGGAGGTCCCAGTTACTACCCTGGGAAACAGGGAGTGGGAAACATTGAACCCTTGAATTTTAGATATGTTTAAATAAATGGTTACATTTTTATCCCGCCTTGCTTCTGTAGAGTTCCAAGGCAGCCTACATGATCCTCTTGCTCTTGTTTTAAACCCTGCAAGGTAGGCTAGGCTGAAAGTCAGAGTTTGGCCCAAAGTCACCCCACAGGCTCCATGGGCAGGGTCAGGATTGGGATCCAGGTCTCCTGAGGCCCAGTTCAGCATTCAAACCACTACACCACACCAGTTCTCCCACTATTTATTACAGAACCATATATAATCATATATCAAATATCAACGTGTGTGTCTGAAACTAACAAACACTCAAAAGCAAAACTACTTGATATGTAGCCAAACAAAACCAAACCAACCAACCCACTAGCTGTGAAAGCAATAGCCATGTCTGTTCTTTTGCAACAGGGCTTGGAGAAAAGGTTTCTTGTGAAGAAGAAAGAATGAGCAGAGGAGGGGTTGCTTAACCCTTCCTCGGCTCATCATTTTCACTCTGAGTTATCCCCCACTGCAGTGGGATGCTGGAACCATTTCTAGCAGAAAGTCCACTGCGTGTGGACAGTAGCTGATGTAGGGAGAATTTCCACAGGTACATGAAGTGATGATGGGGAAAGGGTGAAGCTCCCACTTGCCCAGCTCTGCTTCGTGGCTGCAATGGCAAAGAAGCAATGGTTGCCAGGATTCCCACACAAAAGTGGCCATATGACATTCTCATTGCTTTCATAATGAATCCTTCTCTCCTCTAAACAAACCATCTAGTTCACAGCTTCCCCCAACATGCATTCTCAAGCTGCAAGAAGGGGAGGTCGGTTAGGACTGGGCTTCGTTTCCCACCCAGGCTGGTCGTACCTTGCACCCTTGCCCACTGATGATCCTGATATCCGCTGGGACTCGGTCTCCCCCTTTGATCTCCACCAGGTCACCCACCACCAGCTGATTGGCATTGATCTGGAACTTGTCCCCGTCTCGAATTACCGTGGCTTGCTGTGGTCAGGAGAAGCAAGAATCAGGCATAAGAACTCTAAACTTACTAACTTTGTTTATTTTCTATCCCCCACTTAGCCATGGCCATCTGAGTCTGGAATGAAAGGAGCTGCTTCAGGGCAGACTGTTGGTCTCGACTGCCTAGGACTGGACGTCTTTCCAGGTAGTGGGACCTGATTGTTTTTACTAGAGGCAAAAGAGGTCACATCTTTTGTATGCTCTGCCCCAAAGTCAAACTCTTTCCCCATGAGAGTAAGGTGCAAGTAAAGGAAAGGAAACCCATCTATTTTTTAAAATTGTTGGTCTAATCTATGACCATCTCCAGCCACATTTGCATCTGTGGGGACCGAGGCCCTTCTACTTACCTGTGGCACTAGATTCTTGAAGCTTGCAATGATGTTGGTGCTTTTGAATTCCTGATAGTAGCCGAAGCAGCCGGTTACAACCACCACTGCAATGAGGGCAATGGCCAAGTAAAGCTACATGGGTTGGGGGGGAGGCAGAGGAAAGCCAAAGGTTATTGCCCATCTGGGCCTACAGGAAGGGCAGGCATGCTTGGACACCCGCACCCCATCTGGCACGGGCCCTCTGGAGTGGCCCTCTGTTTCTCCACTGTAGCTTGGTTGAGCCTGCAACTCTCACTCGGACTCGGAGGCCACGAGGAGGAGGAGCTGCTGGCCTGTCAAGCAGACAAGTGGGCACGAAATTGGTGAGCCATCATGGGGGTGCCAGTGGCCTTGGGAGGTGGACCCATTGATGCAGGGGAGCCCACGGGGGGTGCTGTGCCCCACAGAGGCCCTCCCACTCCTGAAGCTGAACTGGCCCCCAGGATGCCTTGGCCACTCCAGTTCAGCATCTGCTTGTGCTATTTCTTGGCACAGCAAGCATCTTCCATTGCTGGGGAAAACTGGCTCCAGAAATCTGTGCTTCCAGCATCCTGCTGGGTACTTACATTGTCTGCACTGGTCAGATCTCCCTGACCACACTGGATGCCAAAGGCGATGAGGCAGATGGCAGCCGCCACCCACATGAGACACTGCAGTCCTCCGGCCAGCTGACGGGCGAATTTCACATACTCGGGGGTGCCCTTGGGGGGCTTCAGCTCATTGGGGCCGTCACGAAGAAGGATCTCTCCTGCCACAGTGCTTGTCAGACCCTGCAGGGGGAGCAAAGGGTAGACGGGACAATCAGAGGACCTCTCCTAGCCCAGGGGTTGGGGATGGGAAGAGACAGAGTTACTTAAAGTATCTCTTTGTATCCAAGCTTCTTGGAGCACCTTACATACAAGTGGTAAAATGAGGCAGCCTAAAAGGACCAGGGAAAAGGAATGGAGAGGGAAGGAGAAAGGTTTTATAGCAGTAAAACCTATGGAATGGTGCTACTTCTTAGTACACTGTGTTGGAAAGGCTAGTGCTTTGACACTTCCAATCCCCGGTCTAAATAAGGTACTCTCTGCACCAACACATTTGCATTCTTTTTCTTTTCCACCTGACAACTACAGAGTTCCCCATATTAGAACCAAAAGTAAAAATAGATGGGAGGAAAGTCTCATTAAACTAAAAAAAGCACAATGCAACACAGCACAACACAACACCAGTGTGAGAGCCAGTGTGGTGTAGTGGTGAAGAGCATGGGATTGGGACTGAGAGGATCCGGGTTCGAGTCCCCGCTCGGCCATGGAGCCAACTGGGTGACTTTGGGCCAGTCACAGACTCTCAGCCCAACCTACCTCACAGGGTTGCTGTTGTGGGGATAAGATGGAGGAGGAGAGATGATGTAAGCTGCCTTGAGCCCTTTGTAGGAAAAAGGCAGGATATAAATTGCAATATAAATAAATAAATAAATAAACATGAACAGCACTACGGTGATGGGCGTTAGTAATTTAAGCAGAAATCTAGAAAGGGCAAAAACTCCGCTTCTTCATTTTAATGGATGATAGTTAAGCTCTGGCATGGCTGAAGAAGAGATGCTCAAGCAGAAGGGAGCCTTCAGCTATTTCAGGAAACACTCTGTGTTAATGGGTTTCTTGCATTTCTCTAGAGAAGCACATTTTTTTTCAACCAAACCTAATAGTGATGGGGGAGGGCAAAGGCTTTTCACTCATATTTGTTGAATTTATGTGAAGAAGCCGATCTCTGAAAATTCTGGAGAGTAGTTTGAAGCATTTCTCCAGCACTATGGACCATGCCTGCTAAGTCAGATTAGCTTGACACTCACTCTGGTACAAAATCTGGGAAGGCATGGGAGCAGGGAAAATTGCACTTGCGAATGTTCAAAAAATATTCTCATTCAATCCCTCACTGCTCCTTTTTCCCTAAAGAAGGGACTGATCCTGTGCTCCCCACATAGTATGTGGGGACCCCAAAAGAGCTTGAATATCCAGATCTGAGGCTGGAGACTGCTCCATGACCTTGTGGTTGGGAATCTGAACTTTGATTCCTGGTCGGGGAAGAACCAAGGCAGCTGTCTCTCCAAGCAACTCTTCCTGCTCTTCATCTTATCCCCACAACAGCAACCCTGTGAGGTAGGTTGGGCTGAGAGCCTGTGACCGGCCCAAAGTCACCCAGTTGGCTCCATGGCCGAGCGGGGACTAGAACCCAGATAGCCTGAGTCCCAGTCCTGCACTTTCCCCCAATACACCACACTGGCTCTCGTTCCCTCTCCTTCCAAAGCACTCCATCTAGATGGCCAGAATCAGCCATCCAATGGAAATGCCCAGTGGGAGAAGATCACCTCTGCCACATCTTCCACTTTGCACTGGATGATGATCAGCTGCTGAGTTCGGAGTCTGATAATCATACCAGTAGGATTGTACCCTAAGAAAGTTGTTTGCTTTGGGGATTTCATGGGGTATGGAATCCAGCAGTACAATAGTGTGATCTTATAGAAGAATGCATGTAAAGAATACATTTAGTCTGAAGTACCTAATCCGGCCTAATCTTGTAAGCTAAGCAGGGTCAGGTCTGGTTGAAATCTGGAAGGGGGACTTAATGTTGTGAGCTGCCCAGAGAGCTTCGGCTGCAGGTGGTTTAGAAATGTAATTGTTGATGCTGCTGCTGCTGAACTCCACTTTGTTCCATGGGATTTTTTCATGGAACAAAGAGAAAATTCCATGCTATAAGAACGAATCTTAAAAGCATCATCGATAAAATTAATACTATTCCCTTAAAATGTATCATAGCATTGAAAGAAATCTACCAATTTGGGTCTGGAAGGTGGGGGGGGGGTGACATCTGAAAAAAAAATCTACAGTTTCTGAATGCTTTAGGCCACACTCTTATTTAAATGCTATATTATTTCCCAGCTCCAGGTGGCGCTCCTTCTTTCATTTGAGGAAGAAGTCTTCATAACATGCATCACTCGCTCTGCTTGCTTCATTTCTCCTCCTTGAACTGAGGGCATCACCTTGGTGACACTGGTCTGATATTTCAGTTCCAACTCCTCCACAGTCAACCGGTGATCATCCTAAAGGGAGAACAGGTCCAAGGTGAAGAGAAGATGACTTCAGAGAAGAGACAGCCCATCCCGGCGCCCCCCTTTGACTGTGACACAGTGCCCTGGTGTGTATGACACAGGAAAAGAAATGCAGTTTAATGCTCCGATGAGACAGACAGAAGAGCGATTAGCAGTCCTAACCGATGGCCGCTAGACAATGGTGGGATAAGATTTTCCAGAGTCCCAAGTCCAACCTTGGAGTGCTTGCCCTTTGTCCTTGAAGCTTGTGCAGAAAAAATTACCACAGACTGTGGCTCAGGGGTCACCAGAGTGACCTTAGGGACGGGAGTTGGTGGCTGAGAGGAGAAAAGGCGTGCTGTGCCAGTGTATGAGGCACCCTGGTGGCATCTCACGTACCTTCCTGCCTGCTCGGAGGCTGAACACCTGGATGGCTGAAGTTGGCCACCACTCAGCAAACCTGATGGCTTAGCAATGATTCGAGCCTGGATTCCAGCTACCTCCACTTCATATTATTTTTCCAAGAAGCAAAAAGCAACTGTACTGGATGGTTGAATCAAGAGAGCTTTTCTCTCAGTGCCTCTCTGTCTCGACACCACCCACTGCTGGCGGAATGAAACCCCCTTTGGGCCCACTCCATGCAAGAGCTGCTCCTGACTTACCACATCCATCTCTTTCTTCATATTCTCCAGCTTCTCCTTTTTCAAACCTTTTTTCTTTTTCTTCTTGATCTTAACATCCATCTCTCCTCCAGAGTCTTTCCCCATTTCCACTGAGTACATATCATACTTCTCCTGAAGGGAAACAAGAGAGCCAAAGAGAGAAGCAGAGAGACGGACCATGAATTCAAATTGAATCACCACTGCAATTAATCTCTGAATGCTTTATGACAAGGGACAGGCACTCTGTACATGCTCAAAGGCATTTTTTTAACCCTTCCACGCATTTCAAGGCTCAACTCTGGCAAGCAAAACAGAGTCCACAATCCTCAGCTGAAACCTGGCCTTATGACCTGTACAGAGTGACTACCCAAAAGTTCAAAAGCCATTGAAAATTGGCGTTTGGTTTTTTATGAGCAGTAAGGATTTTCTTAGAGTAAAAATTCCATCCTTTGGAGGTGGGGAGGGCTGTGGAACAGAAGCTAAGCAGGATGATTGCTTTCCATCCCAAATTTCCAAGCAGCATTTAACCAAAAATCTGACGTTCCATTTTGATATAAATCTGGCACTTGTTGCATTCCCTCGGCATGAGAAAACCAAGGGAACATTAGAGAGAACTGGAGCTATTAAGGAAATGTGAGTTGATTAACTGTACATGTTCTGGTTGATTACTCTGCATACATTTCTGCATGAGAACAAATCCAATGCTTTTGAAGACATGCTTCCTCTGGGTTAGATATTGACTGCTACCTTAGGAATGTCTACTTGGTAGTAAACCTCATTGAACAGTCAGTCTTACTTGGGCTATCATGAGGGTGAAGTTGGAGATAACTTCATTTGCGCCATTGATATCAATGGGAATGCAATTCAACTAGCTAACTGCACATATTCTGCATGTTTTCAGTGACACAAACCCCATGCATGTCTTCAGTGACACAAACCCCGTGCAGTTAAAAGAGTCTCACTCCCAGGTAATTGCATAGAACGTTCCTGGGGACACTTTCTCCAGTTAAGATCTGCCAGGGCCCTGTTGAAATGTATTGGTGTACAGATTTCAGGAGAGGACACAACTGGAGCAGAAAATGGGCAGGGCCAGAATAAAATGTGGGAGGAGCTATGCAAGCAACACTTTTTCAGTGTGCAATAGAGGAAAATGTTCCCCATCTGTGGAAGATTCTGTCCATTGGCTTTGTAGTTGGAGTGACAGAGCAAGACAGAAGAAACCACATCAAAATCTGGGTGTGGGGTGGGGGTGGCTTGGGGACAGTCAGGAGACTCGGGTTGAGAAGCTGGAAGTCCACATTCTTCTGAGATGCTGGAAGTTCCTGAACCCTTGAATACAGGACTGCCGCCTCCATCCAGATCTAACCATTTGTTCTGAAACAACGCGTCCATGTGCCACAGCAGGTAATCAGCTGTGTGGTGGCCTTTGTTCTCTTTCCAACAGAATGCTTCTTTTTAAATGGATGCTTGCCACTTACAGATTTCTTTTAAAATAAGCACTTGTAGTAAAAATGGCAAAAGTGAAGCCTCTCTCTGATCAATTTCATCCACACTTTGAGTTGCACAAAATGTTTTTAAGCAATTAATCTCTCCAGTGAAGTGCCTCCCATATTGCAGCCTTGGTAAAGAGGTTTTGCTTTTTAAAAGAACAATGTGGCTTCGCACACCCTCATTTCTCTGATGGGTGGACGTTCAGCGGTTCCTGCACTTATTGGATGGCTTTGATTCCCTTTGAATGAGGGCACTGGTTTATTGAGCCTTCTGTATGGTTTAGGCATAAGTGGGGGCTTCCCACATAATCAACCCAACAGGTATCTCAGAATTCACTTTTCCAGATCACATTTCTAGGGAGACAAGCCAGCAGCCCCAAATGCCATTACAGTGCACACCCACAGCCTTCTGAATCTACTCGGGTCTCTTCTGTCCATTCACTTGTTCCTTTATCGCATTTCTATACTACCCAATAGCCACGGTCCTCTAGGTAGCTAACAAAGGTTAAAACTATAAAAAACTGACCTACGACAATATATTGATGTTAAAAGAATCAACCGTAAATCCAGGACCCAGTACAAATATCAAATATTGCCAAATGCCCGGGAGTAGAGGAAAGCCTTGACTTGGTGCCAAGAAGAGGATAGTTGGTACCAGGTGGGCCTCACTGGGAGGAATGTTCCATGACCAGGTGGCCGCTATCAGGAAGGCCCTGTTGCTCTTCGCAAGAGCTGCCATCTCCTTTGCAGACTCAAAGCTTGCTGACCTCCTCCCAGCAGAAGCGAAGGGGAGAAGGTGGAGGAGGAAAGGTCTACTCCCAGCTAGCGGGAGTTTTTAGTCCAGCCTTCCCCAACCAGGTATGCTCCAGATGCGTTGGTTTAAAACAACCCTATCATGTCACTGCTCGGGAATTCAGGGAGCAGTAGTCTAAACACATCTGGATTTCACCAGATTGGGGAAGGCTGTTCTGCCCTTAGTCCTTAGCCTTTCTTCAGGCCAATCCTTAAAAAAATATTTGCAACATGATAGCAGTAAGAAGAATGAAAACATGCAAGCTATGCACGCATTATGTCTCAAGATTTACATCACGACCTTTGATCAAAGGAGCGAGATAACTTAGAATAGGTGGTAACAGGAGCCAATAAACTCTCTCCTCCCATCTGCACGTATGCTTGAACTGCCATCTAGTCCGACCCCCGGCTCCAGCCGGCTCCTCTCACAACATGCCTCCCATGTGCTTGTCCAGCCTATCCTTGCACACCCGCACCGATGGGGCCTCCACCACCTCCCGTGGGAACCTCTTGGGGCCCTAACAGTCAGGAAGCACTTCCTGGCATCCAAACTGAACCTTGGTTCCTTGAGCTTGGCTCCGCTGGAGCGCACCCTGCCTTCCTCTGCATCAAATAAGCAACAATTTCCTGTCCTTTCAGGACACCCCAATGTGCTCTGCGCGGTGGCTCTCCCTCTCTGCCTAATGGCTGGGTTGGCTCTGCGCCACAATGCTCTTTCCTTCAGTTCTGCAGTCTGGTGGTTCCATTCTTCCATTCCTGCACCCTCTGCAAGGGGGGCTTCTGAGCCTGCTTAGCTGATGCACATGGGGAGGACTGGAGATGTGCGGCTTGTGGATCTGCTCCCTGGCCAAGCCCACCCCAGGAAGTCCCTTTCTGCCCCTCGCAAGCTTACATGGGGGTGGGGGGAGCTGTGGCTGGAGGGCTGAATGAGTGCTTGTCCCTGTTCAGCTTTGGCTCTAGGTTTGTAGCTTTGTCAACAGCCTCAGGATGTGAGTGTTTTGTGAATCCCCAGTATCCCATGACTCCCCCCTCCCCACACACACACACTCCGTCCTGGATACTTGGAGGGGACCTGTTAACCAAGCTCTTTCTAGTCCCGTGGCTTAGATGGTCCAGCAGGGAGACTTGACCATCACAGTTGACCATCACACTTCATTTTAGTTCATGGGCAATTGTGGATCTTGTTTTTAGCAAAAGCTGACTATATTCCTCTTGGTCCTCATGAGGTTTTTTTTTAAACTTTCGAGCATGTGTTTGCTACGTTCTGCTCAGCTGGTTGGGTCCCTCCTGGTTCTGCTCTGTTCAGTGCACAGAATTTTGGCATAGAACCTGGATATGTGAAATCATTGGTTCTTTTGCTAAGCAAGCCCAAAATGGAATTTTATTTCTGTGCAAGTCCCAGCAGCTGCTTTAATTCTCTCTCCTGGAACTAGTGAAACCTTGCCGTGGAGCACTGTTATCAGCATCTGTTGCTCTCAACCTTGCTATCCTTTCCCTCCTAATTTCTCTAGGCTGACTAATACACTGCAGCAAAAGACACATGCCAATCATATGGGTTGCAATACCCATGTAAAAGTACACATTGAAAGGAAGAAAACGAAGTACCCTGTTTGCTCTTTCTAGCTGGCCAAATTGTGATCTTACAGGGAGTGTCATTGCCCTGCTTTAAACACAGAATTTTATGGGAGTCTAGCAGCTGCCATCTTCCATTTGCAGTCTTCCTGTCTTTCCCCAAAACTTCTGAACTTTTTTCTTATCAGGATAAATCCATTACAGAGGGAAAACAAAACAAAACAAAGTAAAACAAATACGCAGAAGAGCGCCACATGCCTTTTGACCATAGCTAGAAATAGTCCACCTGGAAGTGCCCACAGAGCACAGCCTTCTTTGCGTCCATTCAGTAATAGCATTAAGAAAGTTAATAGCAGTATACAAATAGAGTGAGACTAGAGGAACACAGACAAAGAGAGAAGGCGTTTAGCGGGGTGCTTCTGTATAGCACTGAAATATTTTGTTTTTCCTGCATTCATCTTTATTGGCTGGAATGTACCTTGGATTTAAAAATGGTTTTTTTTCCACTCCAGTTAGCATTCGTCTAAGCATACACATAACACAAAAAAGGCCCAAAACCTTTTCAAGTTTTATGGACAACAATCTTTTCTTTGGCTTTCTAGAATGATCTTTTCATACTTGAGGCACGAGTATTTTTTTTCTTCTTCTTCAAACGCATGTAATATGCAAATACCGAAACCACATTGGCTGGATTAGGAGATCAATTTGTCATTAGGTGCTGTCAAGTCATCTCTGACTTACCGCAACCTGATGAATGAATGCCTTCCAAAATGGATTGCGCACCACACAAATTGTGCAGTTAATGTTCAAATGCACGTATGAGCATCGTGCATGAAAATGATTCAGTGCGGACAGTCTCCCTAGAGAAACTCCCAGGCCTTCTGCATCAATAACAGAAAGAGGAAACCAACAGATTTTCATAGCTGCGGTTCAACATGTTTACTTGCTAGTGTGAGAAAGCAAACCACTCGTTTAAGGGGAAGCTTCAGCTGAAACGGGAAACCCAAAGCCTCCCTTTTCACTGGAGTATCCAGATGAAAACAGAAATGCCCTTACCGCTTTCCCCATCTTGATTCCTTTGGGCCGAGTTCCTTCTGAGATCAACAGGTCAGACCTGGGTAGGTCTTGAGTATTGGAGGCTGCTGCAGATGCTGCAAAGACAGCAGCAAAGCCGGGTAAACGGTGGACCCTCTCTGGCGCCCTCCTTTTATCAGTTCCTGTGGATGCCACCTTGCCCCAGGAGCAAGAGGCGGGCCCCAGTCCCACGCAGAAAGGCCCTCTTGCGTGCTTGAAGTCACACTCCAGGAGGTGACGGACCTGGAGGGGAGAAAACAAACACCCAGCAGAAAACCTCACCTTGGAGTGTCCTTTCCAGGCTATCTGCCTCTGGAGCAAACAGACCCAGCGGCCAAGGCAAAGACCTTGAAGGTCTGGAAGAACGAAGGAGTCCCTAGTAGAAAAGGACATAAATAAGAGGCCTGGGAGCTCTCATAAGGACACACGCATATCATTGTGGGATCAGAGCAAGGGTCTATTGACGCCATCATTCTGCTCCCCATGATGGCTAACCGCTTGCCTCTGGGAAGGTGACAAGATGGGTCTGAAGGCAATCTAGGGAGGGCCACATGTCCTATTTCACACAGGGAGTCTGTACCCCTGGTCCCAGTCTGGTTCCCCCATGATGCTGTCGACTGTAGCTTCCAGCACTTCTGGTCATTGGCCGTGCTGGCTGGAGTTGCTGGGAGCTGATGCCTTTCATAACCTATCAGTGACATGCACAGTTTGGAGGAGGGGTGGGGCACCAGGTGGGGGGGGCACATGCATAGTGTGCTAGAGGCAAGGTAGGGTAAAGCCAAAGGGATTAGGGCAACTCAAAGTGACGAGCCTTCAGGGCCGGCAGGTGTCACCATCTCTAAGGTGTGCCCCCAGAGGCAGACCTTTCAGGGCAGGCACAGGGGCATTTCTAAGGTGTACCTGCATGGAAAGCAAGACGTGCAACATGGATTCCCGATCGGATCAGGAATCCCACCTGAAGCCATTCTTACAGTGTCAGGCTTTTAGCAGCCATGCTATGGCAAAGCTTTTGCTTGTTTAGTCCTGACATGCCCTGACATGAAAGGCTGTTGAGGTGGTATTCTTCTGTTTGAAGGTGTCCTTCAGTTGCAGGGCTCTCTGGCCCAACTCTGGTGTGAACCCTAAGAACAGAGAGCAGGGGCCATGCCTTTGCCAGTCAGCCGTCATCAGCCAGGCATTGGACTGAAAGCCAGGCCAGCCACCTGGAAACTGTCTTAGCTCCCATGCTATGATGCATGTCTGTTTAAATTGCAGTAAATAGTTCAGTTCCAGAGCTAGTCATATTTCAAGTGCATCCATTGAAATGAAGGAGAATTTAGTTATTCCCATTGACATCAATGGGTCTACTTTTCGTTTGTCAATCAGGAGCTAATCTTTTATTTTTAAATTTGCACCTACAGCAACTTGCAACTATTTGCAGATTTTGGTCCTCTTTCTTCCTCTTTCCTTCCCCTTTCCCCTTTCCCCCTTCCTGAACATAAGGAAAGCTATGCGGGATCATACCAAAGGTCCATCTAGTCCAGCACTCGTACACATGGTGGCAAACCACCTGCCCATAGGATTCCTCGCTCAGGATGGGCTTGAGACCCTCTTCTGCCCATCTCCTCAGCAATTTCCCTTTTCCCTTTCCCTTTTCCAGAAGTGCATATACGGCCACTCTAGGCCTCTCCTCTTCTTGCTCCCCAACGTAGGGTTGCTGCTTTTAAAATGCAGTCTAAGATGAAATTCAGTGCCATTGGCAAGACATGCTCTTCATCTCTTTGGTGTCTTTCAGTGCTCGGCTCCAACCTCCACTGACATCAAAAGGAAGCGTCATTTTGCAGCAGTAGCGAAGCCCACGCCGTGGAGAGGAAGCCAGCAGCAAGCTTGCAGCAGAGATCACACATGGTGAGGCTACACCCTCGGGTGCTCTGAGGGCTATGGCGGACACCTCTTCATCCCTTTCCCTTTGTGGACGCTACGTAAAGAGTGTGCCACAGATGTGCACATGCGTCTGTTCTAAGGACGGAATGCTGGCATGCGTGTTCTGCAGCTCCCCAGCTTTGGGGGAGACTTCTTACTCCCAGAGTTTCTCAGAATGTTCTCTGAAGGCCAGCATGGAATACTGGTTTGTGCTGGACTGGGGACCACAGAATCTGGGTTCTAATCCCCACTTGGCCGTGGAGTCCACTGGATGACTTTGGGTCAGTCACTCACTCCCGGCCTAACCTTCCCCAAAGGACTGTTGTTGTGAGGAGAAAATGGAGCTGTGCAAGCCACCATGGGTATCCCACAAGAGGAAGAAAGATGGGGTTTACGAGCAACGTCGTTGTGATAATAACAATAATACTTCTCAAAGTGGCTGGACTTCACCACCTCCACTTCTCTTTGAAACCCTTGAGAGGACCTTGCACTAAATTGCCCCAGGGCTGGTCCGGAGCTGCTTCTGAGAGAGCTCAGAGACTCCCGCACTGTACTGGAACCAGAACTCTTTGGAGAAAGCTGTGCCCTCCCTCCTAGTTATCCACAGGTGACCTTCTGGAAAGAAAAGGAGAGATAGGGAGGAGGAGGAGCAATGCGCCGCGAGGCGGGCGCATGCAGCAGAACAGACCCATGCGCCAATTTGCCTTTTGCACTGTCGCTCAGAATATCTCCTCCCCACCCCTGTTAAATCTCTGCCTGGCTGCATGCTCAAGGCTTGGAGTTTTGCCAGGGAGCTGTGTATAACCTTGAAAATAAGCTGTGTGTCCCAGCTTGTGGTGGCGGCATACACAACAGGCCTGTGAGCACATCCGTGACGTACGATTTGCAATCAGCGGCTTGGAAGGCAAACTCCGGTAAGGTGGCATTTCACGTTTCAGAGGCATACCGCTGTGGGTGGGTGTGGTGGAGAGAGCATGTCAGGACAACCCAAATGGTGCTGCAGCATTTTAGATGTCCATATTCCTAATTGGAGTCAACAGGACTGATAAAACATGATGCAGTGCCTAGAGTGATGACGTGCCGTGATGTATGGAGCTGGGATGGATGCCAAGAGGTCACTGAAACGGCAAACAGGTTCACTATTTTAGGGTAATAAGTATGCATTAAAAGGAGCACAGAGCACACACAGGGAACGAATGTGGTGTAGTGAATAATGTGTCTGTTGGCTCTGGATTGGGCCAATCCAGTTTCAGACCAGCCCTTGGCCACAACATTTTCTGCATTGCACTCCGTTCTCCTGGATTAATTGCTTACTGTCCCTTTGAGGACAGCCCCGTATCTCAATGTTCTTCCCCATCTTCCCTTGGATTGGGATGTGCAGTGTTGCAGGTCCAGGAGATCATGGTCACATTTCCCTCCTACGTTTCCTTCCTCTTGCGAGGGACCCAAAGTGGCTTACAGGGTTCTCATTCCCTCAATTTTATCCTCACAACAAGACCCTACAAAGTAGGTTTGCGTGAGAGTCTCTCACTGGTCCACAGTGAATTCCATAGCTGAATGGGGACCAGAACCCAGACCAGATGGAGTGTCCATCCAGCACTTAATCACTGCAGCACAGTGGCTCTCTTGCAAATATAGCCATGAAGTTTACAAAGAGCTGTGTGAAGCCTTATTGGGCCCTTCCAACTCTACTGCCCTCTGATTCTATGATGCTTCATGGTGCTACTCACTCCTTGCTTTGCTTAACTGGTATTTGACTGATGAGCCTTCTGGGATCTTTCCTATGCTGAAGGTCTTGGAGCCTGACCCTTAGCTGTTCCTCCCAGAATCCAGGCTCTGCTTTGACTGGACCCAGTTCTTCAGACCCTGTCACTCAACTTGCTGATCAGCTTCCTGGAAACCTGGGAACAGTGGTACTTTCAGCTGGGCTAAAGCCATATTCAGCAGGATTCAAGACCCAACAGAGTGCCCCAGAGAGAAAGCCAAGACCTTTCATAGAAAATACCCATTAACTGTACAATGAAAATCAGTACAATGGTACAATATAATTTCATGTTGATTTATTTGTTTAGTTCCAGGAGGATCTCAAAGGATTACAAAGCTTGTGCAAGATTCTTGCAGTTATAATCACAATCAAGGATAGGATCAGGAACAGAATGCACGTACATGGACATTTAGCTGCTTTGCTTTAGAGCTGGTCGTACCACACGGAGAAAGTCAGGCACGGTTTTGAACCCTTGATCACAGACAATGGAAAAGATAAGTTTTTCTAGTGGCTCTTTTCAAGGAAAGGACAACCACCTTCTTAGTGTTTAAAGCAAGACATGCAAGCCATTGCAGAGGAAATGAGGTGGAACATGGAGCTGAGCAATGGCTGTTGGGGGACAGCAGTGGGGGACAGAGTGTAAGACTAAAGTTATTACAAACCTGAAGCCTATTTTTCACGAAACAGTGAAAAGTGGGAGGATTTGTAAGCACCTGGAGCCAGGGCAGATGTCCCAGTAAACCTTTAACTTGCACTAATTCTAGTCATTAGCTGCAAGCCTTTACGCATAATCCTAATAAAGATCCAGAGCTACCAGATCACCACAAGGCTATTTGAAAAGCATCAGTCAATGTGCATCACAAGAAAAGACCCAGCCATCCTGAGCTCAGCACACGAGTCCCAAGAAGTTCACAGTCCAGGAAAAGCAGGGACCCTTCCAGATGTAGTTTCCAGCAAAGTTTAGTGCAGGTTGCTTGAGGTTAAATACAGGGGAATAGCTGCTAATGATCATTTTATTCTGGCTGGGGAACTTGGCTCTCAGGAGGTAGCTCTGTTTCCCAAGATGTCTTTGCCCTGCGCTTTTTGTTGTCCTCCCAAACACCCTTTCCTGCAGAGACCGCCTCCTGCTGTCCCGCCCTCATGGGAGATGTCTCTGGTTTAGAAACATGGACCTCTTTCAGAGTCATGTCTCCCAGGCAAGGAAGATAAGCTGTATCAGAATCCTGCATTTCACCCCCTCTTGGCTTGCCAGGGGAAGTGGGAGACCTGGTCAGACTGATTTCTCAGACATCTGCTTCCTGTGGTTGGACCTGACTCTTTCGCTTCTGACTCAAAACTGGTGTCACATGCTATTGTTTTGTGTTGACTGGGGCAAGGTCTCACAGCAGTAGACTAAAGAAGGCAAGCGGTATATTTGGGCTGGTCAGGAGAGGGAGTGGCCCAGAGGAACCAGAGACAGAGGGAAGGGCTGAAGGAAGGGGGTTAGAATAGGGAGGAGATCCAGTGAGTGGTAGAATGAGATTAAAGGGGAGGAACTGATCTAAGGCCATCTCATTCTAAGAGGATGGATCATGATATTTGGTCACTAGAGATACTAAGACAATTTGGTCAACCCAGAAGAGAATATGGGTGCTCGCCAGACCTCAGATGCTTCCTACCTGACTTGGTGCCCTGTTACTTTGCCTGTCCATGTTTTGTTGTTAGTTTTGCATCATACAGCTGTGTTGTGTGCAGTGGACGGGCCATCACTCGGTAGGACTTCCAGCTCACTTGACATCACCTCCCATGTGAAGGTTTGCGGTTCACACAGTCCATTGCTGGTTCCGTCCCATGATGTACGTGTCTGGGTGAGCCAGTCCATTTGTTTCCCATGATGGGATGATCCAATAGTCATGATGTTATAACAAGGCTTCTCTGATTTGTTCAGCGGATGGGGATGAGGGAGATCATTATTTTTTTCTTTCATGAAGGGATATGGCCATTGTGCAGTGCAGTTCTCAAGGGCTTCTCAGGGATGTGTCATTTCTCTAAACACTCTGGCTCTGGACTATTATTAGGGTGAGATAAAAAATCCAAATTGCAATCCCAAATCCGAGAGATAAATGGCCCATCAGATATGCCAGCCTGGAATTTTTCTGAGCAGATGTGCTATTTTCTATGCGGTTGGCTTCTTTAGTCTGGGGAGAGAGAGAGATAAGTATTGAATCAGTGAATACCTGCAACTGGAGAACACATTTTCTCAGCATGTAGAAACAGGCAGTCTTGTGTACCACAATCTTCATAAGCTCACTGTCTGGGCCTGAATCCTAGCAAAGCAAGAATCATGTTTTACTGGCAGCTCACCAGATTTGTTTCCCAGATTCCAAGAATCCACTCTCTGGAGCCAGATGCAAAATATGTTGTTTGAATACGAAGATCTTTGAGTACAAAGATCTGAAAGATGAAACAGGTACCTTCAAGCACAGCTGTAGCCAGGGAATGTGTGCTTGGCACAACAGCCAAGCTCAAAAATCCTTTCACGGATACATTTGCTCCTGTCCCCCCCAACCCCCCCCCCCAGCGCATGAGTTCCTGTTTCAGTTGCTTTTAGGTGATGTCAAGTTTTCTCTGACTTAGGGCAACCCTATGAATGAATGCTCTTCAAAACATCTTGTTCTTGGCAACTCTGCTCAGCTCTTGCAAACAACTGAATTTCGGAGGAGGAAGACCCTTTTGTGCTGCATCAGTCAGCGATCTACTAATAGATCCAGGTCTCCCTTCTGCCCTTCCCTGATGTATGGTCAAGGCTCAAACCATCCCTTTGGATGATCCTCTCAGATTCTGTAGACACAGATCTGACCACTGGTGTGCTCTCCCTGTGAGCAGTTTGCATATTATTCCATCACCCCTCCTACACACATAATCCGGACCGTTCACAAAGAATGCCACGCTTTCAGAGCCAACTTTATTGCAATGCCCACTCCATCCTCATCTCAATGTTTCCTTCTCTCCCTCCAACTACAGTGGTACCTTGGCTCATGAACCTAATCCATTCCAGGACTCTGGTTGTGACCCAAACTGGCCATGAGCCAAGTTAAATTTCCCCATAAGGTTCAATGTAAATAAGGTTAATCCGTTCTGTAACTATTTTTTAAATCAGAAAAATGTGAAGTGAAGTGACATAGAACAACAAAGATTGCAGTCATCTGCACCTCCCCCCCCCACAAGCACAAGTGCGGCCATCTCCCCGCGCCCCCAGACCATGATCGCGCCCATTATCCCTGCATGCACCGGTCATCCCGACACGCTGGCGGGGGGTGGGGGGAGACGGGCGTAAATGTGGGCGTGCTGGGGGCGGGGAGATGGGCTTGATCATGCTGTGGGGAGGAGATGGCTGAGATTGCGGTTGCACTCATGCAGGAAAGACAGGCGCAATCACAGGTACGCTTCTGCAGGAAAGACGGGCGTGATCTCAGCCATCTCCCCACTCAGGGGTGGGGTGGGGTGGGGAGATGGCTGCTATTGTAGCTGCCACCCAATGCAGAGTTCGCAACCTAGGTCAAATTTTTAATGACATTTTTGTTCACCACCCGATTTGGTTGTGAACTGAGGTGTTCGTGAGCCGAGGTACCACTGTAATTGACTCACACAGTGACTGCCCCTACTGCATATGGATTGCTTGCATGCATTCCTTTTTGCTGACAAATTCACAAGCTCACGCACCATGAGTGCTTGTGTAATCCGAAGTCTGTGCAAAAGGGGAGACTAAGGAAAGGAGGAGGCACCGATCGGACACCAAGGAAAAGGCCTCAAATCAATTCTTGCTCTGCAACTGGGTTGCATCCTGATTTACAATTCCCAGCCTATGGCTACAGCCCCTAGCTGGGGAAAGGCCAGACTGGTGCCAGGAATAAAATATTGGCGGACAGACCCAGAGCAGACAGTTGTGGCCGGTCACAGTTTCCAGCCAGCTCCTGGACAAGGCTGATTGAATTACGGGGCTGGACGGGGGCGTCTGCGTCATTGTGTTGAGCCCGTCCGCACCAGTCTCTGCTCGAGTCCCTCCAGCAACAGCCCCAGTGCGTGGCTGCGTTGAGCATTTGCTTGCCAACGCCACAATATCTTTGTTGTCATGAGCACTGCCTTGTGAATGGCTGCAATAGCCATGCTTAATGCCCGACCTTCTTTCATTCCTTGCTTACAGTGTTGAAGCGGACTTTAGTCCATGGTGCCCCAAACATTGCCAGGTGCCACAGAAGTCACTGTGGGTTTCGCTGCCCTAAGGTGTTCACAGTGCTGGTGCTGCTACCGTTTTCTTTATGTCAAATTGTTTATGCTGACTTGAAAGGAGAGGGAAAGGGAAGGAGGAGGAGCAGAGAGAAGGACTGTGAAAGAGAGAGAGAGGAGGAGACAAAACCAGGGAAATGAAACAAAACATATATATGCCCCACCGCCCTGGCTCCTTGTGTGTACTTCTAAAGTGTGTCCAGTCTGTTGTGGTAAAACCAACAAAGGTCTTGCACTACCTTAAAGACCAGGAGCACAATGCTCTGTATGTTTAGACAGAAAACATGACTGAATGGGGGTGCTGAGAGTTGGAGCCCTTGTTTCTGCCTCAATGTGTATAGGCTCGGGCCTAACAAATCTTACCTATTTTTTTAGCATGAGCTTTTGGGGACACCTACCACTGGGTGCCTGTACCAGAGAAAACCATGGTGCAATTACTCTGGTGCGGGCACTAATGTCCCCTGCTTCCTGGTATGGAGAAAGAAAGGCCATCCACTTCCTTTTCTAGTGGAGAAGACTCCTTTGGTCCTTCTTCCCTGCAGCATCTCTATTGCTTTGTCTGCTGGTGATCTGGTTATGGCTTATGTGCTGTAGCTGTGCAGCTTTGAGATGAGCTGTAAATTGGGTTGGATTGTCCACCATGACTTCATCTGGAATGGCAAAGCAAATGGAGGCATTCTTCAATTACGCATCAGTGCTATGGCACATAATATCAGGTGAGGGGAGTACCTTGATAGAACTGTAGAGCAGGGCTGCTAACATTAGCCAACCAATTCCTAGAAGCCAATGGCTAGCATTTCCCAAAGTCTATAGCAGGGATGGATAACGGGGTGCTCCTGCAGCTCCCCAGGGTGGACCCAGAACTCCCCAAAATTCACCTTCTTCAAAATGTGACATCTTCTCTCAAACAAAAGGGTGTCCAGTGCTGCTAGGAAGTGCCCAAAGAGGCAAAGTCAGTGGTTTGCAATTGTGGTGCTTGGGGGACCCCAAAGGAGCTATACATCTGCCAATATGTTTGGAGGCATAGTCTGGTGCATAGGCGGTTTACAAAAACACTGGCAGGTTCTGTATTAGCGATGGTTTCATTGCATCAGAAGCCTGATCTGGTTTATACTGTTGAGTATTTGGCCAGCAGTTTCTCTGTTTATACTCATTAACATTTTCCAAGCAGTTCCCTCTTCGATTCAGTTTACTTTATTTTGCAACCACTGCTAACTTGTTCCACATTTTGTGCATGCTATCTGAACACATGGACTGCCTTCCCTCCTGTGACAGAGTGCTTTTCAAAATGATGGGCTGCTTTTCCTGGCCAAAATCCTGGCATGGGGAGTGAGTGAACCAACCTTTTTTCAGAATGACTTCCCTGCTGGTTCTACTGTGCAGTGGAGTAGAAAGTCTGGCTTCCAACTCACTGCCAAGATGGTTTTGCTCTGGATTTTGATCCATGGAAACCCACACCTCTATGGCTTTCAGCAGGGTTACATCCCTTTTAGACTACATTTCAGAAAGTCCTTTTACCAAAGCACCAATCTAAAGTGGCCCTCCGTTTTATCAGTAAAGAAACAGTATTCAGTCTGTTCTTAAGATCCAGCAAAAGGAGGGACCACATGCTCCTCAAGGCACCAGGGGAATTTTCCCAACCAGTGTGCCCATTTTCCCCATCAGTTTTCCCACACATCGGTGTGCCAATCCGTGTGCAGAAGGCATGGCTGCTCAGAGCAGCTGTTAGCTTGCATGGCTCCACAGCCCTCTCTTCAATGTGTGTGTGTTTCTTCTAGTGCAAACAGTGATATTGCTGTGCTGAGTGGTGACTTAACAACCATTTGTTTGTGATGAACTGGCTAGCTGTAAGATCTAGCTGAGTGGAGACCCCCTTAATCTACAGAAACCAGGAAGGGGTCCAATGCTCCCTAAGGCTTGAAGGGATGCTCCAGAAGGTCCTTTTGCCAAGCCATGACATGCACAGCAGCTATGGCACAAGGGGACAAGGCTCTCTCCTGAGCTTAGCAAAGCCGAAGCAGAAGTAACACCAGAGCGATGCTTGATCTCCACAGGGCTCCGCAGTGATATGTCGCAGCTCACCTGGTGGGTCTCCAATCTATCAGAATGGATGCCACTCTACATGGGTTTAAATTGCTGTCTTCTTTCGCTGTAACGGAACAGCTGCAGCTCCAGAATTCCCCTGAGGCGATGCAGAGCCTCTCTGCACCTGTCGCTCGCTACACCAGGGTTTGCTTTATGGGAGGAAAGGTCCCTTCCAGAAACCCAGAAGCCCCGGGGTTTCTGAATTTGGGACAGACCATTGGCCTCCCCACAGGCTTCTAAATACAGCTGCTAAGAAACTTGCAAGGCAAAAATAAGCCCTGCTCCATCCTTGGTTATTCCAGCATTGCACATACACACATAACCCAGGCTTACCTTTACAGAGAAAATCAAGGCGGCAATGCCAAAGGGCAGGCAGCAGCAAAGCATGGTGAAGATGGAGTAGGCCAGGTGATCTGGCTGGCTGCTATACTGGGCAGGTGCAATGAAGACATCCTGTGGAGCCTGGAGATTTGGACCTTGGCTGGATGCTTCCTCAGTGGGGGCATAATACGCCTGGTACTGGGATGGCATCTGCTGAGGTACCCCATAGGGGGGCGGAGGTCTAACAGGAAGTTTCAGTGGTCTGTTCTCCTCGTAGTGTTGTTGTTCTGAGTAAGTGGTAGGGTTCGGAGCAGCGGGAGCGCTGTCTTTGATCTCTTCATAGTTTCGGTGGCTCATAGTGCAGCCTGTTCCTGTTCTCAGTTCCCACTCTACGATTCAGCAAGCATGCTCGCCCTTCTTTCTCAGCGGTTAACATTCAGCTCTCTCTCCTTGGCTGCACACTCAGTCTGTTCCCTGCTTTATATCTTCCTTCTCCCCCTGTGCCTGACTCATCCCGCCTTCTTTTGGCAAGACGATGCCCAACTTATGGATTGCTCTGTCTCCTGGACAGGATGACCTCACTGTGTCTTACAACCTAGAAGGGAGGCTAGAATGGACATTAGGCGAGACAGGCAAACACATGCAGACTGTTGCTGCGGGGTGTGGAAGCCAGAGCCTTGAGAACAAGCACTGCGGAGTGGCCCGAACCTGTAGCTCTCTTTCTACAGGGGTCTTTTAGCACCCTTTATTGATACCAAGGCCCTTTTGGCCAGCCTTGCCACCTTCTCTATTATGCATCTTTGGAGGTTATGTATCCCTTGCTCTGTTTGTTGATTCCCTGTCCTCCACTAAACTGAAACATGCTGAGAGGGTAGCAGGGCTTTTGCTTAAGGACCTACTCAAGGGAAGAACACCATTGCCTTGCTTGAAGTCAACCCTCTGCAGCCGCTGGGCCCATCATTCCGTGATGCCTCCGCATGCATGTGCGTGCAGCCTTCTGAGGCATGTGCAACAGAGGAATACCTGTGGCCACCCACCCAAGCACAGAGAAACCGAGAGTCTGAAGACTTTGCGGAAGAGACTGAATCCCGAGATGGGACAAGGTATCATCACCCATGAACAATGTTTTAATGAGACATCCCCTAAACTACAAAAATAGGGGCAAAGCAGGGCCTGTGACTTAGCAGAGCCATGGCTGAAAGTAGGGATGCTCATTCTAAAATAGGGAGATGTGCAGCTTCTGTGGCAGCACACAGATGGGATGGTCGTGTACATCTGCAGGATCGTTTTCACATCATCACGCATGTGAAAAACTCCCTCTTCTAGGGCCTTTAATGTGTTTGCAGTCATGGCAGGCTTGGTCCCCCACGAACTGGGGGTCCTGCTTGCACCCTGGAGTGGGTGCCGTGGTGGGAAAGGCGGAAGCCGGCTCGGCCTGGGTCTGCATACAAACCGCTCTGTGTGTGTGTGGGGGGTGGTGGTGCAGGGACTGCTGCACAGTCCGCGGCTCTTCGGGCCACTCAGGAGTGCCTACTGGGCTCGGGGGCGGGGCACCACTGGGACCAGGGTGGGTGGGCGGTTCCCCCCCGTCCGCTCCACGGCTGGGAAAGGGGACCATGCCCTGGGCTTCTCCTTCCCTGTGCAGAGGCCATCAAGATCTCGCCTTTCCCACCATGTTGCCTGGAGTGATCGATCTGCATGCCACACCGGGTTTTGCCTCCCCACAACAGTGCTAGCACTGAATCGACCTGCGGGCCGTGGCATCAGACCCTCAGCGCAGATGGCAGCGCTCTGAGTCGACTGTGGAGGAAAAGGGGTATCTGCCCCCTCCTGTGCAGGGAACGGTGGCAAGCACCAACCTGCAGCACCCTGCAGGGGCGGCATCACCCCCAGGGGAGCAAGGAAACACGCAAACAGCAAGGGCACCCCTTCCTTTGGTAGAACATCCATCCCTCTTGCAGCCTGGGTGTGAATTGGCCAGCTCATCCATACTGGAGCCATGTCAAACTTGGAGCTGCCGTTCCTAAAATTGAGGTCAAATTATAACCCAGTCCAAGTCAATCTCCCTGCTCAGTGCTTTCATGAAGACCTTCCACGAGGGAAAGCCCGTTCCCTTCTAGTCATTAGTTTCCCCCTCTCTGTCTATCCCTCTGATTCAAGATCTGCCTTCTGGGGCAGCAGAGCAAAAGTTTACCCACTCCCTTTCACTTTTCATCCACAGATTAAGCCTGCCCGATTCTTTCAGTTTTCCCTTTCAGGACTTGCTTGCCGATCATCCTCACCCTGCTCCTCTGAATGCAATTAAGTTGACACATCCTTCTTACAGTGCAGCAGCCAGAACTGGACACAGCTCCAGATGAGGTCTGGCCAGTGCAGCACGGAAAGGAAAGGCAATTTCTAATTACTTGGAGCCTTGGATTTTGTTTTGGCTGCAGCTAATCACATTAAGTGTTTCTGAAGACACATCACATTGCTAACTCCTGTGCATTAGATTATTACTTATTGTTGCTATTACTTTGGCCTGAGCCAAGGACTTTGCATTTGTTTCTGTTGAATTTCATTTTGTAAATTTCCACTTGGTTTTCCATTTTCTTGAGATTCTTTGGGACGATAGTCCTCTCCTTTGAGGAATTGATGCTCCTTCTTTTTTGGCATCCTCTGCAAGTTCATAAGGATTGCCTCCACCCCCTCATCTGAATATTTGATTAAAATATTCAAGAGTGCTGGGCCTAGGAAGCTTTTTACTGCACCCCACTGGCAACATCTTAGCACTCTGATGAGGAACTATTCATGAGCACACCTTGAATGGGCTCATGAATATTCCGGCTCTGCCCGGCTCTGATAGCGTTCCTTCCTAGTGTTCCAATCTAGCCCCCACAGAACCAACTTGTGAGCCAAAATGCCATAAGGCATTTTGTCAAACGCCTTGTTGAGATAAATTACACCTGTAGCATTCCCACTATCCATCAGGCTAAGCTAAGCAGGGCTTATTCCGTTAGCCTGGCTGGAAGATTTATTTCTCCCTCTTCCCTCCCCATCCCTTAAAAATGTTGTGTCTTTGTAGACAGTAAGCCTGCAGGCTGGGAGGGTCATATTTTACTGATATGTAAAATGCTCTGGGAGACATTTGGAGTACAAATGTTTCAGTAAGTACAACTCCAACCCAAGTATTTGAGTTTTATTTTCAGTATCTGACCTTCTAAAGAGCAGTCAGGGTTGATCACCTCTAAGACTGACTGGTTTGATCTCCTTGTAGTCCAAGGGACTCGCAGGAGTCTTCTCCAGCACCACAATTCAAAGGCCTCATTTCTTTGGCACTCAGCCTTCCTTATGCTCCAACTCTCACAGCCATACATTGCAACTGGGAAAACCATAGCTCTGACTATACAAACTTTTGTCGGCAGTGTGATGTCTCTGCTTTTTAGTATGCTGTCTAGATCTGCCATAGCTTTCCTCCCAAGGAACAAGCGTCTTGGCTGCAGTCCCCATCTGCGGTGATCTTGGAGCCCAGGAAAATAAAATCTGTCACTACCTCCATTTCTTCCTCATCTATTTGCCAGGAAGTGATAGGACCTGATGACATGATCTTAGTTTTCTTAATGTTGAGTTTCAAGCCAACTTTTGCACTCTCCTCTTTCACCCACATCAAGAGGCTCTTTAGTTTCTCTTCATTTTCTGCCATGAGAGTGGAATCGCCTGCATATCTGAGGTTGTTGATATTTGCCCTATCAAACTTAATTCTAGCTTGTGATTCATTGTCATACTGCACTTCTATTCAAATAAAGATACTTCTCAGTTTGCCTTGGCACATATAGATTAGCATATGCAAATTGTTATGCAGTCTGGCATGCTCTTTGCCCCCTCTTTTAGTGCTTCATCGCTACAGAGAACAGTGTCTGGGCCTGAGCAAGAGGGCTGCTCTACCTCGAATTTGGAATTTTACTGAGCGGATTAAGATGCCTTGCACGTACCAACATGTGCCCTCAGTCCAAGCTAGACATTACTTTAATCATGTGGCTAGAAGCCAAGTCTCTTTCTTTCTTTTTTTAAATGACAGGCCAAAAAGTTAGTTTGGACCACAGCACACAGGGGGGCTTAACCCTTCTCTCCCCAGACACGAACCTGACAAAATCCCCCAGCCCATCCTGTCCTTTGCTTCTACTGGTTCCCGCAGGAGCCCTCCCCCAGGGCTAATTGTGAATCTGGGACGGGGGATTTGTATTGAGCTCCTGGTGGGCAACAGAGGGTTAAATATCCCATCCCATGCATTTTGGTCCTAATGAAAATTGCCTCTCCATCCCTGGGAAAAATATTATTATATATGATCAAATTTATTCTAATTAAAAAAACCAGACACAGCGGCTTGCCGTGCCATCATAGTAGCATCTCCTTTCATCCTTCTTCCAGGGCCACATGTAGTGTCCTATTTTAGTTCACCGTATTTCATGCCTGATCCCTGGAGGTTTTCCTCTCTTGACATTCCAGCTCTTACATCAACCGTGCGGAGCATCTTTCAGCCCAGGGCTGCATCCTGTCAGAGAAATTCTCAGGGTGCTGCATCCCAGAGTTGGGTGGTGCGGAAGGCGGCGGTGCACTGGGCCCAAGGCGAAAGCAGCCTATTGAGGGCGCCTTGCCCAAGCACCTTCCGAAACCCGGAGCCGGCACCAGAAGCAGCCAGGCATCGCAACAACAGGCATTTCGCTCATCGGGGATAAAAGCAACAGAATCCCTGAGGCCAGAGGGATTTCAGATAACTTTAATGAAGCAAACAGCTTTTGTTGGCTAGTAAATAACTAGGAAAGCCATCCTCATGCCTTGCATCAAGCGAAATAAACCCAGTTCATGAAATGCACAGATGGATAAATGCTGAGGGGACTATCATATTTCCTACTTGTTGTGGCCCGGGCTATTGTTCAATGGTGTAGATATTCCCTTGATCATTGGACACAGTCTATTTTATAGCTGCTATGTACATTTCCTATTTGTTGTATTACAATCCTAACTTGTGCTCCCCTATTTTGTAAGCCACCAAGAAACTAAGTAATGCTAAAACAGACATTCCTTTCATTTATCACATTATTACTAGACATTTATGAGGGTCAGCAAAACATGCTTTCAAGCTTCGACCCTAAGATCTGGTTAATGAACTTGTTAAATATCATTACAGAACCAGCACTGGAAATGAGTGCATGCATGTGTGTGTGCTTTCTAAAGGTGATCACAATCAAATTGAAGCTTGCAATCATGTATACATTCATATAATTAATTTATATACATATAGCATCTGTATTAAAATGCAGTAAATAATTTTGCATGGAATTTACTCTCCTGCAGGGAAAGGACTGTACTTCAGGAGCATGCTTTGCATGTAGAAGTTCTCAGGTTCAATTCAAGGGATCTCCAGGTGTGAAAATACTTCTGCATGAATCCCTGGACAGCTGCTACTCCATGTAGATCAGAGGCGGAAAGCGTGTAGGTCTCCAGATGATGTTGGACTCCTATTCCCATCACTCTAGTCTGTGGCCAATGGGCAGGATGCAGAAGGCTGTAGTCCAACAATCTTTGGAAAACTTTTGGTATAGAAAATACTGATATGGTGCAATGGTGAGGCAGCTTCATATGCTGATATTTTATGTGGCATCTTTGATTATTGATGGGGCAACATTGCTATATTTTCTCATAGAATCTAGAGCCATAGCTGTTAGCACTGAAAACAGGGCAGGGCAGGGCCTGCAGACTAAACAAGAGATTTTTATGTGCTGTCAAGTCATCTCTGACCTTATATATGAAAGCCCCCCAAAATGTCCTATTTATAACAGTCTTATTCAGCCTTGGTAAACTGAAGATGGTGACTTCCTTTATGCAGTCAATCCTTCTCAAATTTGGTCTTCCTTTCCTTCTCCTACTTTTCCTAGCATGATTGTCTTCTCCAGGGAGCTTTGCCTCTTATGATACATCCAAAATATGACATCCTCATTATTTACCTTTTTTTTTGCTACTGGGGAAAGTTCTGCTTTGATGTGATCAAGAATCCCCTTGTTTGTCTTTCTGCTGGTGGAGAAACTCCTGAAGGGCAGCTCCAGGGCAGCAGCAGGAGCTGAAAGTGACACTGGTGGAGGATCTTTCACAGCGAATGGGGCGCTCAAGCTAACTCTGGTTAGTACAGCATGGAAGAAGGACATGGTAAACCACTTCTGAATTTTCTGTGATGAAACAGTCCAAAATGAAGAGAGTAGATTGCATATAGAGCCGTAAATGGGATGGAGTTAGAAAGCAAGACCTGGGTAGTAGTTCATGGTATGAAAACAGGGCTTTTCCTCTGTGAAATGTTGGAGGGCAATGGCAGCAGGTCAAGGGAAGACAGGGAGCTTAGGCAGGAAGCCTGGAAAAGGGAGTGATCCAGGGAAAGATCGAGGGAAGAAGGTTGGAGAATAGGAAGTAATCCTAGGAAAGGGGAGGAAAAAGGAGCTATGCATCAGGGAGGATAGGTTATGCCTCCACTGAATAATGTTAAAGGGATGGATATTTTATTCTTGGCAATACAGGGGTCAAAAATAGGAGCCGTGTCCCTCCATCAACTGGGCCAGTGATTTAAATGTGACCTTGGTGACAACCAGTATACCTGTTCTCATGGTATAGTTTTGAGTTGGGATCTTTCTTTCTCGTAGAGCTGCATCAAGTATGATGTTAAACATTTGATGCTACTGGGCCATTGCAAAGCTATTAGTAGCTCTGCCTTCCACAACCTGGGGCCCTCCGGATAGTTTGGCCTGCAGCTCCCCACTTCCATTGCCATTGGCCAGGCTGGCCATGGAAGCTGAAGTCCAAAGCATCCAGAGCAGACTCGGCTGGGGCAGGCAGGCTGCACTAGGCAGAGCTTCCAGATCCCTTGAGGGTCCCTCAAATGCAGTCCTTTGCAGTGTGCACAGTTTGGTCACGCATTTAATTGTATGGAAATCGCCTTGTGTATATGCGTATGCGAAGCAGCGGTTCTTGATGAAACGATGCAAAGCGCGTGATGGCAAAACGGATTTTCTCTGACTTGTGCATCAGGGCGAATGCTCTTTATGAATGATCCTGAGGCTTGTATGGTGGGTGCTGATCGATGTTCTTATGCCCTTAAATAACTCTAATTAAAATGAAATACAAAACTGAACCCACTATCCCCACCCCAAGTGATACGTGGCCCAAGGTGCGAGCCAGTGACGAATATTGCCGAGCAGCTCTGCTGTTTCCGGAGCGGTTGGCATTTTTAGTCTGGGGAGCAAAAGAGATAAGCGATGGTCAAATAAAAATGCAACTGGATAATATCCCTTGAATGAGGTACTGCCTGGACCTCAGCAGTTGCCATCTATATCCTTAAGAGAAAACAATGGAGTTAAATGCTCAGATTAAATCACCTTTCCCAGTGATCCTGCATTTTGTTTTCCTAAGCAGCAGTCAGCTCTGACCACTAAACTGCATTAACATACAATTAAATACGGCCTTATACAGCACATTGCACTGTAGTGCAGCAGACTGCAGCCAAGGAACCTGCTTGCCTTGCTCCGTCTTCTGTACTCAGGTGCTAACTGTTGATGGACACAGTTCTTAAAGTTTAAACTGAAATTGGGCAGGATAACTCTTCAAATGGAGGACACCTTCAAAGAGAAGAGCATCCTTTAGCAGTCCTTCAAAGGGAGGATAGTCCTGTAACAGAGGACATCAGCCACCCTAACTGGTATTGCTCCTATTGCACAGAGGGAAGCAACAGTGTCTCCACCTTCCCACTCTCCGTCATGCACCTTCTCAGTCTTGAATATCTCTGCACCTGCATGGAGAGACCTACCCTTTGACTATGACCTCTGCACATAGAATCCATTGCATGTAGGCCTGAATCATGCAACTGATATCCAGATCTAATATGGGAAATGATTTACGTGATCCTCGCCTATGCTTATTCGGTCTCGCATTTGTGTAGTTCATAAAATAGCAGAGTTGGAAGAGGCCATGAAGACCATCTGGTCCAACCCCCCGCTGTTGCAGGACACCACATTACACTACCCCACTCAGATGGCTGTCCAGCTTCTTTCTGAATGCCTCTAGTATGGGAGAGCCCCCCACCTCTCCAGGCAGCTGGTCCCACTGTTGTACTGCTCTGACAGTGAGGAAGCTCTTCCTGATGTCCAGCCTGGATCTGGGTTCCTGATGTCCAGCCTGTGACTCTATGATTCCTCCATGTGATAGGACAGACGGGTGAAGGATTATCCAATATGGCTCTCCTCTCCCTGATGTTATGTACGAGTTAGAATGTGACCACAGGGTGCATATATTCGAAACTGTTCCTCTCCAGCACTGTTCCAACAGAGCAAAGAGCCCCATCTAAAGATGCAAGAAAGGGGTAGTCTTCATTGCATGGCAGGATGTGCCAGACCACCATCTTGCCCAACGGTAACAGGATCAAGTGCTGTGCTGATGGTGCTTTCTGAGTCACCCACACTCCCAGCTGCCATCGAGACTGTTTAACGAAATTTGGAAGGAAGCAACATGCATAACAATGCTCACATATATGGCAGTACTTCATAGTGGCACTTGGGAGCCCTGATCCCACACTAACGTAAGTTCTGGTTGACAAAAAAAGCTGCCACATTAAAGCTGCCTGCAAAAATTGCTCCCTGTTTTTGCTTCTGTGCAGTCTGCATAAGAGTTAAGAGTGCCACAAGAAGTTTGAAAGCATCACTCGAACACTTTCATTTCCCTGTTTTGGCTCTCTTTGTAGTAGTGCAGAGATATTGCCCACACCTTCAATAACTCATCAAATCCAGGCTTCAATTATGGGTGGAAAGGGCCTTAATCAAATTATGAAGCCCTGATGCCCCCAGATTTAGCCATTGTCTAACTCATAGTCTTCTTCAGTCAGTAGCAGTGGTCCAGCACAAACATTTTATCTGTCTGCCTCTCTCTTACACCCACAGACAAACAGACACACACGCCTCACCTTTACAGAATAGATCACGGCAGCGATCCCCACGGGTATGAAGCAACAGAGCATGGTAAAGATGGAGTAGGCCAGGTAATCGGGTTCATGGACAGGCTGGGCAACTGAGAAGACGACAGTCTGTGCAGATTGAAGGGCCAGACCGTGGTTGAATCCTTCCCCAGGTGCAGCATGGCAGGGTTGGTACTGGGGTGGCATAAGGAGAGGAGCTGCAGATGCCATGGGGGGTGCTGATGGATCAGGTGCCTTGTAGGGCTGCACAGCTGGATAGGGTGGTGGATTCTGAATGGCTGCAGGACTGACCTCAATTTTCTCAGCATTTGGGTTGTTCATAATGCAGGTTTACCCTTGTCTTTTTCCTCCTTTCCACAGTCAGCCCCTTCCTTTGGCGGTTCTTCCTTTTGCTGGGCCTGGGCACAGGTATTCTGCTCACTTCTTGTTCGTTGCACCTTCTTTAGTCTGTCTTCTGCTGTGGCCTGGATAATGGCTGGACAACACAGGCTGCTTTGCTCTGCGTTGCTTCTCTACTTCAGGAGACTTTACGCATTGTTTGGGGTCCTGGACAGAATGACGTTGCTATGCCTTGCAGTCCAGAAGAATGAACAGGTAGAATGGAAATGCAGCAATGTATATCCAGATCAGACCAATTTGAACTAAGTGTAGAAACTCTGGTGAGAGGAAATATATTCCCCAAAAGCAGGGGGTCTTGAGCACGTCACTTCCCTCCCTTTCAGTAGACTCAAAGTGAAACCTTCAAAGCCCAACACTTTATCAACACTTCTCTGTTTCCTGCACAGTCACGATCAGAGAAGCAAACACTCTGAGATGTGGGAGAAGCCTCTGCCCATGCCCAGGGCTGAATCCAAGTGGGAATCTCCCCTCCTTTTCTCCCTTTTGGCAAAACGTCTGGCTCTGTGCTTGAGGTGGATCCAGCTGCTTGTGGGTTAGGTGAAACCTTCAGAGCTGGTCTTCTCTTCACATGATATCCCCTGACTGGATCAAGGGACTCTGTTTCTATCAGTCCCCCCTGCAGCTCTGAAACATCTCCCTGCCTTTCTCCATCTGGAAGTCTTCACTCGGTAATCTTGAAACCTCAAAGCCCTCACCCCGCACTTGCTCCTCTGCCTCCTCCTCAGAGTTGGACGACTCTGTCTGAGCGGCCTGCCGTGTGTGTCTCTGTGGTTTCACTTTCCCCGCTTCTGTGGTGTGGGCGCATGTGTGCTTGCACGCTTGGACACATCTGCTCGCCACATCCCTCACTCTTGTACAGCAGAAAGTAGAAACAGGCTCCTAAATTCACACCACGGATCAATCTGAAAGTTTTGCCACCTCGCTTTTGGTGCCTTGTCCATGGTCCTTCCCTGTAACCATGATCTCTCTGTCCTCCACTGACTGGAAAATGCCGAGGGGGAGCTGTGCTCTTGGTTGCAGACACGCCAGAAGAAAAGACACCATTGCCTCACAGACAGCTTAAAACCACATGCTGTGGTTGCCATGCATGGCGTGACAAGCTGCGCCACTCCACAAAGCTCCAGAGCATTTGAATGCGTATGCACCAGACACACGGTGCACCCACCAACCCCCCCAGAGATTGAACTTCTGGTGCTCTCAAGGAGCTCAGGGTTGATTCTCGGGGCAAGTCAACATGAGCGGCACCTTCACACCATGTTCTGCCAAGGCATCCCCTAATGACTTCCTGCACGTTGTTGAAGACTAGTTATCAAAAAGCATCAGTGACAAAAAGGCTGCATAGTTGTTGATACAGCTCTGTGCAAAGGGTAAGTCTGCAGAGTGTCTCTGTGCCTAATTCCTGCCATGTGCTTCAGGTTGTTTGCTCGCCATGTCAAAGGCAGCAAATACAATCCCTGTGTATGTATTTACTGGAAGGGGGGCAGCCTCGGGCAATCCACACTTTTGCAGGCATTGTAATACCTGACTAACTGGTGTCTCACAAGATGCTCACCCCAACCCTCCTCCTCACATGGTTTCTGAGGACTTTTTTTTGCTGAAAGAACACTATATAAAAGTCTTCAATAAATAAAATAACATTTCTGACCATTATATCCCAGGTTTCTTCATACCAGTTACATCATGGCCATTTTATTGTTGTTTAGTTGCAAAGTTGTGCCCGACTCAGCACAACCCCATGGCGATCATTCCTCCAGGCTCTCCTGTTGTTCACCATCCCTTGGAGTCCACCCAGCCCTACACCCATCTGTCCAGTGACTCCATCCAGCCACCTCAACCTCTGCTGTCCCCTTCTCCTTTTGCTATCAATCGTTCTCAGCATCAGGCTCTTCTCCAGTGAGTCCTTCCTTCTCATTAGGTGGCCAAAGTATTTGAGTTTCATCTTCAGGAACTGGCCTTCTAAAGAGCAGTCAGGGCTGATCTCCTCTAGGACTGACCGGTTTGATCGCCTTGCGGTCCAAGGGACTCGCTGGAGTCTCCTCCAGCACCACAATTCAAAGGCCTCAATCCTTCAGTGCTCAGCCTTCCTTGTGGTCCAACTTTCACAGCCATAAATTACAACTGGAATTAACCATAGCTTTGACTATATGCCATTTTATATGTTATGCTTTTCTTATGCAGTTTATTTTAGTGTGTGCTAAACTTGAGGCACTGTTCTCTCTGTGGGGAGAGAAGCAGTTTTAATGTGTTGAGGCAGGGAGTGGTACTAATCTGATCAGACCAAACTGATCTGACCTCATTCGCTTTCTCACCTCCCTTGTGCCCCCTTCCTTCCTGCAGTTTCTCTCTACTGCTTCCCCCTCCCCTCTTTTCCCTGCCCTTGCCTTTGAAAAAGAGTGTTTGCACTGTCTTTTCAAGCCTTCCTGTTTGCCCCTGAATGAACAACTAGTTGAACCACCTGTCTTCTCAAATGCAGACCATAGTCTCTTCAATGACCTTACTCAGAAGTAAATCACATTGCCTTCCATGGAGCTTCCTTGGGGGGAAATCAGCATGGGAGAGCGGCTGCATTCACTTGTTTTCAAGTGGAATTGGGGGAATTGGGGGTGTCACCCACATAGAGAGATGGTGCCTGAAGCACCAGCACCATCTGCTGCCTTTCCCTTTCCCCTTCTTCATGATTTTTTGCAAGAGGTCAGAAAGAGATGTCTTCACCCACCCTTTTAAAGGTCCCCTCCTTTGCACCTGTGCCTGAGTAATTCTTTTAAAAAGGAGTAATTGCTTGCCCACATCACCTGCCAACCTGCTCCTGCTTCTCTCTCTGGGTGAAGAAAGACCATACTTTCAACTCAGGGCAGTTTAATGTGTCACAACAAGCAGGGCTGCGGGTTTGCCACCACTGGCCGTAGCCCACCAGGCTTCCACTCGCAGAGGACTGCATAGCCTGGCTTGTTTCCTCATTTTCTGCCCGCTTCATCATGCATCCTGGGAGCCCCTGGGAGCAATACCCCTTCCATTATTATTTGGAGAGAAAATAGCAGGGGTTGAGATTATGGGACAGGAGGCCTGGGTCCTAGTCCTGGCTCAGCCATGCAGCCAACTGGGTTACTTTGGGCCAGTCACAGGCTCCCAGCCTGACATCCAGATAAGCCCCATCGGGGATAAGATTGAGAGAAGCAGTAGGAGCATGAGGTAAGCCTCTCTGAGTTCTTTGCAAGAAAAAAGGCAAGGTATGCACCTAATAAACATCTTGCTTCTTCTTGATTAGTCCTCTGAGGTTTTGAGGTGAGCTCTCCCTCTTGCCACCCATCTCTTCAATGCTTCCTAGCCAATCCTGTCCCTAAGGGGGGTGCTTTGACATTAAACTAAACACCTTTGCTGTGACTGTGCCCTTCTCTGGATATGTACTTGCCTGCTTTCTCCATCTTTAGAAACCAGGGTGATTGGCAGAGTGCTCAGCCAATGGGACAGAGATCGGATGTCTGAAGTGGACCTCTCCCTTACATCTCTTTCCACAGGACTCCAGCAATGGAAGAATGGAGTTCCACAACAGACAACCCCAGTGAACAGAAACCATACAACAGACCATTGTTTTCTGTCATGGTTTTCTGGCTTGAAACAAGCTGTGGAGTCCAGACAACATGACATCCCCTCCATGGGAAAACCCGTGATTGCTTGTGTTGGCATGTGGACCCAGTCAGTGGAGACAACAGTGCATTTGTCAGCACGCGTCCCAACTGTGATTAACATGTTTTGTGTGAAGATTGCAACTGTGCTTCCTCATAAACAGAGGGGGCCCCTGTGTAGGATTCCCCGTGGTACCTAAATCCCCTGCCACAGCCGAGCTGGTTCACCATCTTCCACCTTTCATTCCATTTGTTAAAGCCTGCACCTTATCTGGGTCGCAGGAGCACTTCCTCTGAGATGTCAGATGTACCAAGTCACACTTCAGATTCCAAATGCAAGAAGCTTTATTCAGATGAGCGAGAAATCGGAATGGCAGCACGGAATACAAATAAAACACTTCACTTTCCAACCTCGTAATCGTAGGGGTATCTACTCATGAGTAGACCCCATTGAGTTCAATGGGCCTTACTTCAGATGGGTTGGAGAGGGGATAGCAGGAAACCCATGTTGTGAGTACAGGACAATTGTAAAGAGAGATTACGCATGTATTTCAGCCTTCTGAACAAAGTCTGTTGCAACAGTAACTGCTTTTGCCATTAAAACAGAAACTATGATAATATCAACAATCACCAGCAGAATCCCCAGTCCGAGTGCTGTGTGGGATAAAATAAGCGCCAGCTTGGAGTACTGCCGAGCAGCCATGCTGTTCCCAGAGCGGTTGGCTTCCCGGGTCTGCAGACAGAGAACAGTGATGGATTAGTTACAAAAATGCATGTGGTCACAGCCGCGTGTGTCCTTTCTCCGTTGTCCTCTTCTGGCATGGAGAGAGGAACTCAAGGGGTGCCAAGAGGAGCTCCTTCCTGGGGCAGCTGAGTTGGGCCCCTTCTCATGCTCCAACAAGGGGAACCCTCTTCTGAAAACATTCAGCTCCCAGTCACTGGCTTTGCTCAGGAGTCACCCATGCCTGTGCTCCAGGGAAGAACATCAAGGGTCCACTTTACCTCCAAGAAGAAGAGAGCTGAATGGCGCACCAAGCCTGTGCTTCAAACTGCAAGGTTGGCAGGAGCTGGGACGGAGCAACGGGAACTCACCCTGTTGTGCAGATTCGAACCGGCGACCTTTTGATCAACCAGCCCAGCAGCACAGCAGTTTAAAGCACTGCGCCACCTGCATCCCAAGAGGGGTGGGTGCAAAGGACTCTTAATCCAATTATGCAGCTCAAACTGTCCCCACATTTGGCGAAATCACTGTCCACCCTGCAGGCTTGTAAAAACAGGAGCAACCAGAACCATCTCTAAGCCAGGCTGCCTGCCTGCCTGCCTGCCTGCCTGTCCGTCTGCCTGCCCCTCTCGTGCGCACACAGAGACGCACATACATGCACGCCTCACGTTTACAGAATAGACCACGGCAGCGATCCCCACGGGTAGGAAGCAACAAATTAAGGTGGAGATGGAGTAGGCCAGGTAATCGGGTTCATGGACAGGCTGGGCAAGTGAGACGAAGATGGTCTGCGCAGGTTGAAGGACCAGACCCTGGTTGAATGCTGCCCCAGGTGTAGCATAAGAAGCCTGGCACTGGGGGGGCATGCTGGGAGGTGCCCCGGTGCCCATTCTGGATGCTGACAGATCCGCTTCTCCGAAGGGTTGTTTCTCAGAGGCAGGGGGTGGATGCTGAGTGGTTGCAGGATTGATCTCGACTTTCTCACCTTTTGGGTTGCTCATAGTGCAGGTCTGCTCTTGTCTTTTTCCTCCTTTCCACAGTTCTGCAGGTGCTGCCTTGGCCGCTTTTGCACCCGGTTTCTCCTTTTTGCTGGGCTCGATTCTCGGCCGGGTGCCCTGCTCTCTCTCTCTCTCCTCTGTGGAACCTTCAGTCCTCTGTCTTTCTTCTGCTGTGGAATGAATCTTCTTTCTTTCTGCTTGGAGGTTTGCTATATAATACAGGGAGCCTTGCTTTGCTCCTCTATTTCAGGGACTCTTATGGGTTGCTTTGGGTCTCGGACAAGATGCTTTGGTGTATCTTGCACCCAGAAGAATGGGTAGGGTGGACATGTAGCGATGTGTCTCCAAATCAGACCAATTTGTACTAGGCATGGAAACTCTCATAAGAGGAAATATATTTCCCAAAAGCAGAGTGGTGTAAGAAAAGTTTCCCCACTTTTGTGGTGGGAACACGCACACTCGCCACACCTTCCTCTGTCACACAGCTGAGAGCAGGTGTAGATTTTGTTGACTCTCTGTTCATGGTATGAATCTCTTCAAGAGCTTCGTGACTCGCCTAGTACATATTGCAGATGGTTCTTTCCCTCTTACTGTATTCATTCAATCTCTGCCCACCATTGCCTGAAAAACGCTAACACGGCAGTGGCACTTTTGATGAAGGACACGCTAGAAGAGACCACCACTGCTCAGAATGAAACCTCTTCAGTTGCGCGGTGAGGCAGGGCAGTTTGCATCAGTCTGTGATGCTTCATGCCACACAGCACCTGAAGTGCAATGCTGCACATGTTTAGACTGGGACATGCTGGATGTTGCTGTCCTTGTTTCCTGTCTCAGCATGCACAGAATATGCCTTAGATGTGTCTTTAGCAGAGACAAGATGTAGCCATTGACTTTGGGACCGGACTTCTGGAGTCATAGAAACATGGAAACAGAGAAAACATACGGCATCCCCTGCAAACCGGCCACCAACCTTGTGGCCCTACACTGCACTGACTCCAACCTGGCTATATCCTTTCTGTAATGAGGGGCCCAGAACTGAGCACAATACCCCAGTTGCGGGTGCACTAAAGTCATGTAGAGTGGTAGTAATACCTCTCTTGATCTAGAAGCCACACTTCTGGCTATGCAACCAAGGGTGGCGTTCGCCCTCTTGACCACTGCATCACACTGCTGACTCATGTTTAGCCTGCAGTCAACCAGCACCCTGAGGTCCCTTTCACAAGTGCTGCTCTCCAGCCACTTGTCACCTAACCTGTACTTATGACAGCTATTCCTATGCCCCAAGTGCAAGACCTTGCACTTATCCACATTGAACGCCATCCTGTTGTCTCCTGCCCACTTCCATAGTCTGTCCAGATCCTTTTGGATCTGGAGTACCTGCTCCTCAGTTGTGGCCACTGCTCCAGTTTTAGTGTCATCTGTGAATTTGATCAGCAGACTGTTCACCCCTTCTTCCATGTCGTTAATGAAAAGATTAAACAGGATCAGCCCCAGGACAGAGCCTTGGGGGACCCCGCTTGTCACTGGCCGCCTTCCCGATGATTCCCCGCTAATGGTTACCTTCTGCTTTCGGTCAGTCAACCATGCCCTAATCCACCAGACTGTGCTTTGGTGTATCCCAAAACTCGTCAGTTTCTCCACCAGAGTATCATGGGGCACTTTGTCAAAGGTCTTGCTGAAATCCAGGTATACCACATCCACTGCATCCCCTCCATCTAGACATCTCAAAACCTTGTCATAGAATTCCGCAAGGTTTGTCTGGCAGGACCTGTTTTTGCGGAAGCTGTGTTGTGTGGCTGTCAGCTTCCCTTCTCTATCTAGCATCACTAGATTTCTCTCTATTATGAGCCTTTCCATTGTTTTTTCTACAATGGATGTAAGGCTAACTGGTCTATAATTCCCCATGTCCTTTCTACTACCCTTTTTGAAAATTGGGACCACTGATGCCACCATCCAGTCCTCTGGAACTTCACCCATTCTCCACAAGTCCTCAAAAATGGAGGCCGGCGGGCGTGAGAGAACCCCTGCCAACTCTCTAAGTACTCTTGGGTGTAACCCGTCAGGGCCTGGCGCCTTTGTAATGTCCAATGCCCCGAGGAGCCCCTCGACTTCAAGGGGGGTGACTCTAATCTGTGCCCCCAAGTCCCCAGCCTCATCTAATCTCCTATGCGGATATCCCCCGTCCTGCTTTGGGGAGAACACAGAGGCAAAATAGTCATTTAGCATCTGTGCCTGTTCCCTCATATCAGTCACTGGATCTCCTTCCTCCTTATTTAGTGGTCCCACCACTTGTCTCCCCTTCCTCTTCCTATTTACATGCTGAAAGAAGCCCTTTTTGTTGCTCTTGATATTCTTGGCAAGAGGTTCCTCTTTCGTCTAATCCCTCTAACCACCTCCTTTTGCATCCATGGTGGCACTCTCCTCTGCCTCCCCACCTTACTGACTAGAGGTATTGTCAAGGCTTGCACCTCCAAAACCTCCCTTTTGAGTGCCATCCACTCCTCTTCAACTTGGTTACCTTCCTGTAACCTATCCCAGGAGACTTTCCCCAGTCTGGACTTCAGTTGGCCAAAGTTGGCCCTCTTGAAGTCCCAGCTTCTAGTGCTCGACCTGCTGCATGTCCGCAGTCCCCTGATCTCAAAGCAAAGGATGGAATGATCACTCGCATCCAGAGCTCCCCTAATCTGTACTTCACCTATCAGCTCCTCCCTGTTGGTCAAGACCAAGTCAAGGATGTTTCCCCCTGTTGTCGCCTCTCAGACCCTCTGTGTGAAAAACCCTCCCTCTATAGCTTCTAGGAAGCAACGTGACCTGGCTGTCATTGCCGAGTGAGTCCCTAACTAATATCCGGGAGATTGAAATCTCCCATAATTACTGTGTCTCTCCCCCAAGGTATCCTTAGAATCTGGCCTGTCAGGACATCATCCAGGGTCTCAAGTTGACCTGGAGGGCGATAACATACCCCCACTGTCAGGTCTCTTTCCCTGTCAAAACCCCTAAGTGTCACCCAGACTGCCTCTACCGATCCCCATCTGTGCTACATTCTATCTCACTGCATCCTATCCCTTCCCTGACGTATAAAGCCACACTCCCACCTCTCTTTCCCTTCCTGTCCTTTCTAAAAAGTTGATACCCTTCTATGTTCACATTCCAGACTTGCCTTTCTGTGATTCCCACCAGGCCATACCCTCCTATTCCCAGGAGAGCCTCAAGCTCTTCCTGCTTATTACCCATGCTCCTAGCATTGGTGTACATGCACCTCAACTCCTTCCCACCGCTTCCCTTCCTTGGAGTTCCCAGCCTCCTCCTTCCTTCCATCCTCCCTGATACCTGGCCCCTCTCTGTAGGAGTCCTGTCAGTCCCTGCAGTATCTCTAAAACCCTGCTCCCAGAGCCCTGATCCTCCCCCCACACTTGACCAGTGCAGACACGTTACTGGGGGGCCTGAACGCCCCCCCCCTCCGGCTCAGTTTAAAGTCTTCCGGACGAAGTTCACTAGAGCATCTCCAAAGGATCTTTTCCCCATCCTCGTGAGGTGTAACCCTTCCCTTGCCAGAAGTCCATTGGCAAGAAAACGAGTGCCGTGGTCGAGGAACCCGAAGCGTTCCTTCGGGCACCACACCCTAAGCCAGTCGTTCACCTCGGAGGCCCTCCTGTCCCTTCCTGGCCCAAATCCCCGGACAGGTAAGATTGACGAGAAGGCCACTTGGGCCTTCAGCTCCCTGAGTTTCTTCCCCAAGGCCTCGGAGTCCCTGGTGGTCTCGACCACACCCTGCCTGGCCACATCGTTTGTGCCCACATGGATCACCAGGAGCGGCCGGTGACCCCCGGAGCGAACAAGACACTCCACTCTGTCCTTCACGTGCCGGATGCGTGTGCCCGGCAGGCAGCAAACCTCCCTTGTCTTCAGGTTGGGGCGGCACACTGCCGGCTCAGTGCCCCTCAGCAGGGAGTCCCCAACAACAGTCACCCGCCGCCGTACCTTCCCAGTGCTGGTGGGCGGCCGTGCCCTGGCCCTCGCCTCTCCCGCAGCGGCCCCCTTGCTGCTTAATGTCCCAGGCTGGGGGTCCTGCTGGTCCCCCGAGGCCTCATCAGCCCCAGCCTCCCCAAATGGAGAGAACCTGTTTCCCAGCTCCAGATTGGTGCCAGGAGGAGGAGGAGGTCCTGTGGGTGACATGCCTCCAGGTCTCCGCAGCTGCTCCTCCCGTGGCCTCTCCCTCAATCCTCTGTCCAGAGGGGGGCTGCTCCGGGGGGGGCCTGGAGAGCTCTCTCGCCCACAGGCACCTCACCTCCTCCTCTAGCAGGGTCACCATCTTGCACCGAGGGCAAGTGTATCCCTGCCTCTCCTGGGGGAGAAGGGCGAACATGTCACAGCTGTCGCAGCGGACAGCAACACCCGTGGCTCCCGCCAAGGCCATCTCCTGGTCTGCCATCGGGATCCCTTCCGAGACCCTACCTTGGTCCCCTGCCTTGTCTGCCTTGCAGTTCCTCTCACTTGCCCAGTTCTCCCAGACAAAAACCCACTCGCACACACACAAGGATAAAATAAACTTAAATTGGAAGAAAAACAAAGCAAAGCACAGCACAGCAAAGCGCAAACAAAAACAAACAAACAATCAACCCTCTGCATCCCAGGGAAGGGCGTCTCCGGACAGCCCGGGCCGCAGCCAAGGGACGCAGACAAGGGATGATGCCTTATCAGTCCCTCCGGCCGGTGGCCCTGCCCCCTGCTCCCTCCTGGCCCCTCCCACCCCTCTGGCTCCGCCCCCTTCCTCTCCGCTGCTCCTGGCCCCCTGCTCCCCTCCCAGCCCCTCCCTTGCCTTCGCCAGTCCCCTGGCCACTCAGCCTCTCTCCCAGCCTGTGCCTCTGCTGCTCTGCCAAGAGGCCAGAGCCAAAAGAGTCTTTGAGGAAGGGGCCAATGTTGAACTCTGATGGGGTCGGTGGTTGCAACCCCCCCAAACGATGTTGTGGCAAGGCATTTCCTAATTCCTTGTTGCATCTTTTTGAAGTCTCTTTGCCACATGCGGAGTTCATTGGTCCTGCAATATCCCTTTCCTCTACTGACTGAAAAGTGCTATCAGGACAGCAATTCCCAGGACAGCAACACGCCCCCCCCCCCCAAAAAAAAACAGCACTGACCAAAATTATCTTGGACACTGCTCCTTCCTCCTGCCCTGCAGGGTAGGCCAGGCTGCCGAATCCCTCCGTTCACAGTCTCGGCCACCACACACCAAGTTGATCAAGATCTTAGGTGACAGGTCACAGCATTCAGCGGGCTTTTACCTGGCAGGAAGCAACTAGCAGCCAAGTCCCTTGCCCTGTTTGACCTACTCCAGCATCTTTCCCAGTTTCCTTTTCCTTCTCTTTGTTAAATCAGGAAGGCAGCAGGGAAAAATCTCTGGGTTACTAAAAGCAAGGAGTCAAATTCCAGGTTCTAAATGCAAGAAGGTATATTTAGATTAAGGGATGAGATAGATTAAGATTTGGGATGAAGGAGAAATCACAGAGGTAGCATTGAAAAGACACAAAACAGTTTTGTGTCAGTGCAGTTGTTTGTCTATTCAGAGGTGATCCTATTGATTGCAATGGGATAAATAAAGATGTGACTTGGTACAGGGTTAGGGTTAGGGTCTTTGACAAAAAGTCAATAGGAAGGAAAAGCTGAATAAGGTAATAGGAAGAGAGATGTACACCGAAGACGAGATCAGGCTTCTGCAGCTTGGTACCGCCTAGATTCTTTGGACTACCATGTCATAACCACTGAACACTGGGAAAGGTGAGGGTTGATGGGAGTTGTCTCATAGGATATGGGCATTATACAGGGGTTGCTTGTTGGCCAAGCTTGCCTAGTTAGGAGTTTCCACCTTTATGATAATCTAAAGAAACCAGAATATGAACTGCACTCAAAATATCAGAAGAGTATCAGCATGGATTTTCTCTAAGCTGCCATGTCGTTCCCAACACAATTCCTTGTCAGGTTAAGGACAAAGAGAGATAAACAATGGATTAGTGAAAAATTGCCAGAGAACTCTTCCTCTCTGCAGAAGTTGGTGCTCTTCAGCAGTCATGAACAGCTGCCCTTGCGTTGAATAGAAAGAATTGAGTAAGGTCCTTATCAGTACTTTCCAGAGACTGGTTATGCAAAGCAAGACTCCTTTATGAGTGGACTTTATGACCTGGCTGAGACTCAAACTGCTTGTTTGGAAAAGACTTTCTTTCAACTTTTAAGGCACAGATGTGACGTTTGCTTGAATGCATCCCTTAGGAATTCTTATTTTCTTTCGCACCAGACATGGGCATGGTCTATGAAGTATGCTACACTTGTTAAAAACTTTTCTTTGTCATCTCTCTTGTCACAGGTCTTGTTTGCCTGGTTTTAAAAGGAAAGAGACTGGAGGCAGAGATAGGGAAATAAGACAGCAAGGGACTGGGAGATTAAACATGCATGCAGAGAAAGATTAGATGTACACAGAGTCACATGCACACACAGTTATTGGTTTTACGTATCTACAATCTCTTCAAATGTTATGTTTCCATGTACAAGTGCATAGCTACTTCAGGCACAGCAAGTTCATGCGGTGGGAGAGGCATGTGCTTTCTTCCCCTGTGATAGGCCGGATTGGGAGTAGTACTGGAAATTATGTCTCCTTCTCTCTCTCTTTGACGTGCAGGATACTCAGGGAAATTAGACACCCACACACTAAGTGGAAACTTGCAATAAACTGATCATCTTTAACAAGTGGAGAACTTGGTTTGGACTGAAAGATGCAAGGTAGGAATTCAATACCCCTTGGTGCTTGCAAGGATATCCCAGAGAATTATCTTGCCAAGTGGTAATAAGAAGAACTTCTGTGAGGATTGGCTGGATCTATCTGGAGTCCTACACTGAGCTAGGTGTCAAACCCAAGAAGTGTTGTCATGCATGTGACTTTATCTGCATCAAACTGTTTAGGGTTGGGACCACTTCTTAGTAATTTGGAAGATCCATTTTTTGCTTCCCTGAACTCAAATCATACTAATTATGCCTTTTCTTGGTTGATCTACTGAATGAAAAGCTTTGAATATGAAATAACTTGGGATGGTGTTTAAATAAATAAAGGATGCAAGATTCAGTTTACATGCCTGGAAGTACTTCCTGACAGTTAGGACCCCAAGAATACGGAATGGGAGGTGATTAAAGCCCCATCGGTGCGAGTGTTCAAGGATACTCAAGGAGTGTTCAAGCCAGGGGTCAGACTAGATGGCTCAGGAGGACCCTTCTGACTTGCTCTGTTTCTGTTTCTATGTTACTATAAGTTCCTTCGAATTTTATGGTTCTATAATTGCTTCTCTCACGCTTGCAGGAAATAATCCTGTACTAACCAACCCAGGCAAAAATATTGTCCAAAACAATAGTCAGAGTCCTGAGTTCCATGATAGCATCCCAGAGAGCACAAAGAACATTGACTGACAAAAGAACCCTCGCTCAAGGGCTGAATATTATCCATTTTAACAATGGTATTATATGCTGTTTTCAGCATTTGTAAGCTGCCCAAAGAATCATTTCATCAATTGCATTATATGCTGCTTTCAGCATTGGTAAACTGCCCAGAGAACCGTAAGGTTATGGGAAGGCATAGAAGTGGAATGAAACAAGCAAACAAATTAATGTTAAGGGAACTGGGTCTCTTCAGCTTGGAGAAGAGGAGACTCAGAGGCGTTGGCGACATACAGGTATGTGAGGGGATGTCACATGGAGAAGGGTAGAGACCTGTTCTCCCCTGCAGAGGAAGGCAGGACACACTTCAGTGGAGCAAAGCTCAGGGAGCCAAGGTTCTGTTTGGATGCCAGGAAGCACTTCCTGACAGATGGGACCCCGAGGGTGTGGAATGGGCTTCCACGAGAGGTCGTTGAGGCCCCATCGGTGAGGGTGTTCAAAGATAGGCTGGACATGCACATGGCGGGCATGTCGTGAGCGGAGCCGGCTGGTGCCGGAGGTCAGACCAGATGGCCCGGGAGGCCCATTCTGACTCGCTCTGTTTCTATGTTGCAGCTGAAAATAGGACTGCATTTCTAAAACCACATATTAATCACTGGTGGCTGGTTAGAAGGGCAGCAGGGCAGCTAAAGGGAAGTAAATTCAAGGCAACCCCTTGCACAGAAAAGGGAAACAAAGGGGAATTAATTTTGAAATGCCTAGAAAGCAGGTGTGGGTGTAGAGAACCATACAGCAAGATATAAAAGCAGCATTTTGAATCTCCAGTTAACAACTCATGGCAAAGAGAAAGGAAATGGAGGCAAATTAACTTTGGACTCACACCTGGAAGTCAGGTTCAGTAATGAACATAAAAGCACACATTTATTTGGACTTACATTTATTCAGCTACCATTCCCAAGGCAGAGAAAATGGCAAAATGAAGCAAGAAACTTTAAGACTGGAAGAGTGTTGAGCAGTACCTTCCTTTGGATAGCGGTTTAGCTTGCAGTGACCCTGTTACACAAAAAAGGGGAATTGCAAAATCACGCAAACCACAGCAGTGGAAAATCAAGGACTTGCTTTCTTCTCTCTCTCTCTCTTTTGTGTGGATATTGCTCACTCTGATAAAAGGTGGTGGGGGACTCAGCACTCAGCTGTGCCCCTGACACGAGATGAAGTGCTATAGGAGATGAGTTGCTGGTCAGTCTAGGCACAAGAAATATTTTATTTCATTTTTACTTTTTAAAATCAGACTCCCTTTGGTGACAGCTATCCCACACTCTGAATACAAATGCTTACAGAGACACACTACATGTGCATGGAGATCACCATGGTATTTATTTATATCATAGTCGTCATGTGAGGGCTGGCTTCCCCCAGGAGTGCTTCTGTCTGCATCTGTGAGGTGGTGCATGGAAAATAGACCAAACGATGCTGGGAAGCCTAGGCTGGATTGCCGGAAAAGTTATCAGCAGAAGTTTCTTCGGCTTTGTCCAGGGATGCTGGGGCTTGGACCTGGAGCACAGCACCATGACCCTTCTCAACATCAAGTATACAGAACTCATGCCATTGCAGATGTCCATTTCTGGAATGTTTTAAGAGAAGAACATCAAGCCAGGACATGCACATTGTATAGGATACCCTCAGAAGTTGTTTGGTGGCTTAATATTTCCCTGAAGTAATGATCTTTACTAAGATGATGGACACACTTAAGAGCATGAGCCCCGTCCCAAGTGTGGCGTGGGCCAAGTTTCATGCTTTCCCAGAGTTGTGCCGAGCAGCCATGCCATTTCCCACGCTGTTCGCTTCTCGGGTCTACGTAGGAAGAAAGAAAGAAAGAAAAGGTGATGGATTAGTGGGGGCGGGGGAAAGAACTGTATGCAGCTAGAGAAGGCGAGGGTTGGGAGGAACCCTTTTGGAATCCATCCTCCAGCATCCACAGACTTCCTCGAATTCTTGGCCTGGTCCTGCACCATTCTCAAGGACCAAACTTCTTCTCCACCTGGTGTAGCTGATGTGGCAGAACCAGATGTGGAAGAGGGGTGCTGTGTGTGAAGTGTGTGGGGCTCCCCCACAGGTGCTGGGCACACACAAGAGGAATTTGCACCCAGGGCAGCTGCGAAGCGGACTGGAGTCCCGGGAGCTGAGCCCAAGGAATCTAGCAGATTCCCACCTCTAAATTCTTTCCTCACACACCCCTAGAGAAGACACTCTCCTGTTTGCAGGTGGATGGTTCCTGAGCAGTGATAGAACAGCTGCTGAGAAAGAATCTTTTTGTCTCAGCCTGCAAGTAGGTCATCCGAGGCCCATTCGGTGGTCACCTGAGCCCAGGGGAGCAGAATCACAAGCCTGGGGCTGAAATCCAGACCCCAGGGGATCCCAATCTGGCCCTTGATGCTCCTCAGGGGGCCACAGCAGCTTCTGGTCCCGTCCCTTTCCCCACCCACCTGCTATCTTTTGGTGGCTTTTGACTTTTGTGCAGTTCCCCCTTTACAGAAGACTGAACTGCCTCTCCTAAGACTTAGGCATTGGCAGTGAAACAGTGTCACGAAATGAATTTTTTAAAAAATCCTGGCATCGCTCTTCATGCCACTGGCCACACCCACCTCTGGAGGTATCTCCCAAAATGGAATTCGACTTTTGGTCCTGTATCACAGCCTGCGGTTCAAAGGGGAAGCTTATGGGGCCAGGGGACCCTTGCCCAGACCCATCTGGAAACAATGTCCCAGTAGGTCGGGTCTGATCAAGCTCAGCAAAAGCAGATGTCCTTTTGTAGCAATGGGAGCTGCATCAGGGCCATGGAAGCCACTGGGCAGGCATTGCTGGCTGGAACTCCAGCTGATTAGAGATGCGGGCAATGCTGGCATCAGCATCGAGCTAATGCTGCGTGGAGGCAGCGGTGGGCCAGATCGGCCCCAAGCTTTTACTGCCGTCCTCTGTCACCGGAGTCACTGCTGCAGCACACGACTCTGCTTGCTTCCATCTCAGGGGTAGTGCTCCTCTGCTTTTATTCCAGAGTTGCTGGGACCAGCGTTGCTCCCACATTGCTCCCTCTTGCACCTGTGTTGTGGAGTAGGGGTGTGCAAACCTGGTGCGTTCATGCTGTTGGGAGTGAGAAAGATGGCTGGCTTGGGTGCGCATTCTCAAGGACTGCTGGCTGGACTTCAGGGGAATCAGGGTGCGAAGCAGAACCGGGGTTGCCTGGGAATGAGGGCCAAGCCGAGTCTCTGAGATGTGAGAAGCAGGGACGCTTATCTCAAGGCCAGACTCCCCAGGTGGGCAGCCAGTCCCTGGGAGTAACCGGGATATACAGCTGGCAGGAGGGGCCTTGGAACAGGGGAGCTTCTCAGATTCAGGTGAGGTAAGCATGGCTCTTGCTCCTTGATGTGTCACCAGAGGAGGAGGGCAGTCCGACTAGAGGATCGGTGCGCAGAGTGGAGGCGTGCTCATTTTCAGAAGCCCCTCCCCATAGGGATGGGGTCCAGTCTTTCTCATAAGGAGAGCTTCCAGAGGGGATTGTGTTAAAAAAACTGCTCTGTGCCTGCTCGGAGATTCATTCCTGGTGATGTGTGCTTTGGGGTCAATAAAGGACACTTTGCAAGGAAAAAGTCTGGGGTTTTTGAATGAGCGAAGGGGAACTGCTTCTCCGATGCTTCCCTTCCCTCCTGGGAGGGGATGGAGAGAGGAAGTGTCCCTTTGGGGCCTGGGATCCAGCCAAACACGGAGCTTCTCCACTTGCCAGCGTGCCTCCTGCACCCCCTTCAGTGCTCTCTGGCTTGCAAATACCCCCTCCCCTTCTCCTCCCATCACCCCTAAAAATAGTTTGAGGTGTGTTTTCAAGCCTTCCTCATGGTTGTTTTTGTGCTCCTGATAAAAGCAACTAACTGAAAGGCTTTCCTACTCAGAGGTAAATTGCTTCATCTTCAGCCTCTTACTAGACTAGGTTGGTGCAGACACAAGCTGGAACGGAAAACTACACCCAGTGGTGGCTTTTCAACAAGCTGTACATGCCCACCTGTTCTTCTGCAACACTGTGCAAGTCGAGAAAACAGCCCCGGTGCAAGGAAGTGGTCAGGCCCTCTTCTGTGCTTCGCAGGATGTGCCATACCATCCTATTGCTCTGTGGTGACATGCAGAACCATGAGGGTAATTTATGCCTTTGTAAATAGTCCTCTGTTCCAGGATATGGCCCTCGGAGCAGGAAACGCAATCAGAAATCATGTCCGTGGCAACACTTGGATTCCAAAGTCCAGGCTGTAACTCAGATACAAAGCTGTAGGGAGCGCATGCACTGCAAATAGAAGCACAGCGAATCT